GCGGGTTTAACCGCTAACCGCCGGTTAGTCACTAACCGAAAACCGGTTGGTTATGAGCACGGTCGGTGTTCGGTAAGCCTGAAGGGTTCTCCGGTTAGCCGAGTAACCGAAGGTGGTTAACCGAGGTTAACCGACCCACCGACCCACAACCGAAAAATGTAAAAAAAGAGGATGAATAAAGTGGTTAAAAGTAAACCGACCCCCAGAAACCCTAAATCGACCTTCTATTCCATTCCACCCTCACCTCCACAGACACCCTGCCTCCTCCGCTCCCCCTCCTTCCACCGCCACCACAACTTCCTCTTGGCCCTCGTTCCTGGTTCCGCCGGCGGGAGACGGATCGCCGTCGCGACGACGGAGACGACAACGGCGACGAAGAAGAACAACTTCGTCCGCCCTCTTCTGACTCCGACCCGGCCATGCAAGAGGCAGAAGAAACTTGCTCCGCCCTCTTCTGATTCGCTTTAAGATTTTGAAACAGGTGGAGCGGAACCAGTTCGTCTCCGACGACCCCCGCAGAGGACGACGATCAGCAGCAGCTCCTCCTCCTCGGCACGGCGGCGGCGGAGAGCAAGGAAGTGGATTTGGAGATGATCGAGGACGAGGAGGACAGCGATGAGTCGGGGAACTACGGCGGGTTCTCGCCGGATGCTCCGGACGACGATTTCTTCGTGGGTTTGGAGGAGCTCACGAGTTTGGCTGCGGGGGATTGCTTTTCCGTGCCTTTCCCAACGGGGTTTGGGTTCCCTCTGCTTCTTACAGATCTGTTTCCATGGAGATTTGTTTCCATGGAGAAAGAAGGTGAGAGAAAGAAGGTAAGAGAAGAAGAAGGAAGGAGAGAGGAGAGATGTCTGGTGGAGGAAGGAAGGGGAGAGGAAGAGATAAGGTTAGGTATTAGTGGTGCAGAATTTTTTGGTTTCTTATTTATTTTTATTTTTTTTTTGAAAATGTTTTTTTTCGGTTGGCCGGCTAACCGAGCCTAAAACCAGAACCGACCGGTCGGTTGGCCGGCTAACCGTGACCTCTCTTCGGTCGGTGGTCGGCAGCTATAGAGGGTGGCTCGGTTTAACCGATAACCGGGTTTTCGGTTTTCGGTTAAACCGAAACCGACCGACTGCCACCGCTAGACTCCTGGACGTCCCATGTTGTTTGGAGGTCAACAAAATACCTACTCGACGAAAGAGGGAATTCTACTTTCAAACAAACACACCCACATAATAATATATATATATATATATATATATATTATTTCGCATCTTCCATTGTCTTTGTGTCTCTCTTCAATCTCACAATCAATCTGTCAGTCAGTCAGTCAAGAAAAGTCTTCCTTTTCATTTTCCAACACTAGGCACCGGTCAACGCCCCTCCCAACACGCCTACCTTAGCTTATAATTCCATAATAATAATAATAAACAACGACCCGAAGCGTATTCGGGTTGTGCTGGCCAGTGTTATCCATACTCTAATTTTGATAATAATAATATGAAAATACTTTAATTTCTATAATTTTGATAAGAATGTAACTCTACTTAATTAAATAACAATACTTATAATATAATGCATTACTACTCGTATTATCCGGGTTAATTGCATGATTGGTCACTGAAATTACAAAAAACGTTCATGTTTGGTCACTGAAAATATTTAAATCCAATCTTGGTCACTCAAATTAGTTAAATGGTTCAAGTTTGGTCACTCTCCGTCCATTTCCGTTAACTCTAGCTTACGTGGCAGTCAACTTTCCTAGTTGACCGTTAAATATGTGACGTGGCAATTAAAAAATTATTAAAAATAAAAAAATAACTTTTATATTTTCCACTTCATTATTACATTCATTGAAATAAAAAAATAAAAAATTAATTCCTTTTCTACACACCCCAAAACCTCTTCTTTTTTTCTGCAAATGCGTCGACTCGTCGCTCCAATCCGCCTTCGACCTCAACGCCTGCTTCGATTCCGGGCCGGCGTTCCATCGCTGCTGATCTCTGGAGGTCCACCGCCGACGCCCCGTCCCCCCACGGCCACCACCACCACCATTTCCACCGAGCACCATCCCCTTCCCCATCCTCCTCCCCTGCCGCGTCTTGGAATTTGAAAGATCGAGCCGTCGAGGGAGGAGGAGCAACAATTTCATCCGGCTGGAGCGGTCCTACTCGTTCGGATTCGAGCGTTCGGAGAGGATGCTGGTGACGGAGCCGGCGACGGTGTCGCCGTGGAGATCGAGCAGGAGATCATCGGCGTGGAGCAAGCGGCCGTCCCCATTCGGATCGTACCAGTCGAATTCTTCCAAGCATAGATTGTTCTCGTCGTTCAGGTACTACTACAGATCGGGGATCAAATCGCCCTTCTTCAGGCGGAGATCTGGAGGCGGAGGCGGCTTCTTCCCCCTCTCGGAGCGATTCCCCGCGCACCACCACCACTGCGGCGGCGGTTCTTCGAGGCGGAGCAAGTCCATGACAAGTCCGATGTTCCTGAGACCGTCGTCGGTGTTCTCGTAGAGCCGGCTGAGGTGTGGGGATCCGGAGGCCCTAATTTCTTCGGACAGATTCGGCCACAGCATGAGGTGAAATGCGACGTCGAGGTTACAACGCGTCGTCAAAGCGGTGGGGTTTCTACGGCGGCGGGCAGGTGTTGGAATTTCTTTTTCTTTTCTTTCTTTTCTCTGGCGCCGGAAGAGAGAGAGGGAGAAGAATTAATAGAGGTGGCGGAGAGGCATTTAATGAAAAAAATTGACCAGAGAGGGAAGGGAAAGAATTAATAGAGGAGGAGGACGACGATTGTCCATAGGAAGACGCGGCAGAGGATGGGGTCGGGTAGGGTATTAGGTTTTTTATTTATTATTTATTTTTTAATGAATGTAATAATGAGGTGGAAAATATAATTTTTTTTTAATTTTTAATAATTTTTTAGTTGCCACGTCACTAAGTTAACGGTCAACTTTGAGAGTTGACTGCCACATCAGTCAAAGTTAACGGTGTTGGACGGAGAGTGACCAAATGTGAATGGTTTGAGTAAACTGAATGACCACCAATGGATTTAAATATTTTGAGTGACCAAACTTGAACTTTTTTTGTAATTTCAGTGACCAACCGTGCAATTAACCCCGTATTATCCATACTCTAATAAGAAATACAACAAAGAATTGAATAAGATTGACATGTAATTCTGAAAGAAAAATCAGTTGGATGCTAGATTCTAATTTCCATAGGAGGCATTTAGATTCTAATAACTGAAAACAAAAGCAAAGTTATGGTTAGAGAGAGACTAGGGGTGTGTAATGGCTCGGTCCGTTTCGGACCATGAGAATCGCCGTCTGCTTGTGAAAGATATTTTAAAACTAAAGATCAGACCATCATTTCATTCGGTCCATTTATCCATTCGATCCATGTTTTTTCAGTAATTATAAAACTCATAAGACCAAAAATCGGTGCGTTTCGATACAATACCAGGCCATTGCACACTTGTAAGAGAGACAAACACTTGACTTTATTGGAAACTTGACATAAACGGCAAACCTACAACTGACCTTGTCATCAAATTTCGTCCTTTCTAGCTTTCTTCCCGGGGGTTTCTGCCTTACAAATTTCCATTCAAAGCTTGGAATTTTTCCAATCTATCTTTCCAATAAGTATGCAGAATTATTTCTCCAAGTTTGGAACCGAAGATCAATCCTCCTTTGGCCGAGTGGTAGGAAAGTGTATGGGATGTTTTGATTTTCAGGGTAGTTGATTACCGTTCACGCTTGCATAAAGTTCAAGTTTGGACTCGAAATATTTAAATCTATTGGTGGTACTTCAGTTTATTGAAACCGATCACGTTTGGTCACTCTCCGTCCAACTCCGTTAACTTTTGCTTATGTTAACCGTTAAATGTGTGACGTGACAATTTAAAAATAATAATATTATTTTTAAAAAAACAACCATATCATTTCCACCTCATTGTCACTTTTATTTAAAATAAATAACAAACCCTAATTTCTTCTCTCTTCTCCATCCACAACTTCCCCCCTCTCTCTAAAAAACACGCAAACAACATTCCCCTGTTCCAACCATGCTTTAAAGTTTGGTCACTGAGATTATAATAAACGTTCAAATTTGGTCATTCTAAATATTTAAATCTATTGGTGATACTTCAATTCTGAAACTGTAATTTTAAAGTTTGGTCACTGAAATTACAAAACAGTTTAAGTTTGGATTTAAATATTCGATTAAGATTTGCTTTTATAGTTTTCTAGCGGTTCAATGCAATTTTGATGATATCTCCATAAAAAGGAAAAGAACAACAAAAGGAATAGTTCCATGTAGATTTTCAATATATGATGAATTTTATGGTGTAGGATCAGTTGTAACGAGATTTGGTATCTTAATTTAAAGTGAAACCATTTATGATCGTTAACTTTAGAAGATTTGTTCTAGCTAAAAAAAAAAGTAAAAAGATTTTTCAATTTTTTTGTCTGACTTGAATCTACTTTGCTTTTATACTCGTATTTTGATACTTGTATAAAATGATAAGTTTATTTTGATTTACAAAATAATATGAATTTTTTGTATATTTTTTATGAGTATTTCTGACAACTCGGTACTACTTCTTACCATCATTTACGAAGGATGTACATAATGATATAAATTATTACCATATTTTGAGAATAATTATACCGACCTCTATCATCATGGTAAATGAGAGTAGACGATAGGAAATGGAATCCCAAAATTTTCTTCTTTTTTCTAGTATTAGCCATATTTTATGAAATTAAATTTAAACTTGCAACTTTTATTTTGCAAATATGAATTGCACTGATATATTTTGTAAATATTTTGCGAAAGGACATATGTTTTAATATATTTTAAAATATACCAATTGATTTTACAACAATGTGAATAACGATTATTATTTGGGTAAATAACCACCATTATTACATGAATTAACACGATTATAATCTGAATAATTATACATTTATGTCGATAAACATCAAAATAAATAAATAATTAGGTGCTGTTAGTCTTGAAATGTCACAATAATGAGAGAAAAAATCCATGATTTTCCCTCATCCCTTCATTTCCAGCTCCAATCCAAAGATTTCCACTTCTTCTCTTCACCCCCCCAACATTTCCTTTCCATCTCCCTATTAGACAATTTTTTAACGAACAAACTCCCAATTTTATATATGTTTGACTTCCTGAATCACTCCCAGGAGAAGAGAGAGGGAAAGGAAGAAGAACAAACAAGTAGCAGGCGGCAACCGGCGCAAATCCTGCAGACAGAACATGGTGAAACATGAAATCATCATCAAATTCATGTCTTCCCTCCTCTTCTCCTTGTTCTTCTTCTTCTTATTATCCTCCCTTCCACTCTCCGCCGTCTCCCAACTGTCACCAGCTCAGACAGCAGCCGTCATCGACATCGCCGGGAAGCTCACGAACAACTCCGCCGCCGTCCCCTGGAGCCCTTCCAGGCAGCCTAATCCTTGTTCATGGCGAGGAGTGCTCTGTTCAGCCGATAATTCGTCCATAACAGCTCTTTCCCTATCTGGGTTTGGTCTCTCTACCTCTGATTTCTTACTCGATGTCTGCAAGATTGAATCTTTACTCTCCCTCGATGTTTCCAACAACCATTTGAGCTCAATCCCTGATGGGTTCATCGCCGGTTGTAGCGGGATGGATGGGTTGAAATTTTTGAATTTCAGCAGAAATCAGTTAGTGGGTTCTTTGCCGGTTCTCAAAGGGTTTATAGGGTTGGAAACTCTGGATTTGTCTTTCAATTCATTATCTGGGAATGTTAGTTTTCAGCTGGATGAATTGCAATCCCTGAAAAGCTTGAATCTTAGTTGGAATGAGTTCAGTGGTTTGATTCCTGGGAGAATCGGGAATTCAACTGGATTAGAGGAGCTTGTTCTTTCTGTGAACAAATTCATTGGAGGAATCCCTAGGGAAATTGGGGATTACAGGAACTTGAGCTTGATTGATCTCAGTGTCAATCATCTCTCGGGTTCTGTTCCTACCGAAATCGGATCCCTCACCAGGCTGAAGGTTCTGATTCTGTCAGCCAATCAGTTGAGTGGAGCAATCCCACCATCAGTTTCGAGCATTCCAGCATTGGAGAGGTTTGCTGCAAATCAAAACCAGTTTGATGGCAGCATTCCAATGGGGCTAACAAACTTTCTTAGGCTACTAGACCTCAGCTACAACAACTTAACTGGTCCAATTCCAGATGATTTGTTAGCACAGCCAAGGTTGACGACTGTCGATCTCTCTTACAACTCGTTGAATGGTGCAATCCCTGCGAACTTATCTTCGTCCTTGTTTCGCCTGAGGCTGGGGAGCAATGCGCTGAATGGAAACATTCCTGCCTCATTTGCTTCACTTAAGAGTCTGACATATTTGGAGCTGGACAATAACAGCTTGAGTAATGTAGTTCCTGGTGAACTGGGTTCTTGCCGGAAGTTGGCCTTGTTGAATTTGGCTGAGAATGCGTTGACTGGTTTCCTCCCTGAATCAGTTGGAAATCTTGTCAATCTCCAAGTTCTGAAGCTTCAAACCAACCGTCTGATCGGTCTCATCCCGGAAGAAATCACCCAGTTATTGAATTTGTCAATCCTCAACATCAGCTGGAACTCACTGAATGGTTCAATACCTCCTTCATTGTCAAACTTGCAAAAGCTTACTCACTTAACTTTGCAAGGCAACCATCTCAGTGGAAGCATACCAGTCACAATCAGCAAAATGAACTCTCTAATCGAGCTCCAGCTTGGTCAGAACCAGCTGACCGGTTTAATCCCACAAATGCCAGTCAAATTGCAGATTGCTTTGAATCTCAGCAGTAACCATCTCGATGGCCATATCCCAAACAGTCTAGCACAACTACGAGACTTGGAAGTTCTCGATCTCTCAAACAACAACCTCTCTGGAGAGATTCCGGATTCCCTCGTCCGATTATCTTCCTTAATCCAACTCTCACTCTCGAACAACAACTTGTCTGGAACTGTTCCACCTTTCAGAAGCTTTGTAGCTCTTAACACAACTGGAAATGATGAACTCGTGTTCCCTCCCGCGAAACAAACCCCACCGCCTCCTCAGAAAAGGAAGAGGTCAGTAGCCATGGGAGTCATTCTTGCTGCTGTATCTGCAGTTCTAGCTGTTGCTGTGGTCGCCATCGCTGTTCTCTTGTTCTCGAGACGTGTTCTCAAAGTTAACAACGATCAGCAATCCGAGCCAGGGGAAAATGATCATTTCGTCGGACCACCTCAGCATGTCATCCATGGCAACCTCCTGACATCGAGTGGAATGCACAAATCAAGCATCGACTTCTTCAAAGCAATGGACGTGGTTGCCAACCCTGCAAACATCGTGCTCAGGACGAGATTCTGCACTTACTATAAGGCCATCATGCCTTCAGGAGCAATCTACTTGGTCAAGAAGCTCAACTTGAGTGAGAAGATTTTTCAGACGAATGGTCACGATAAGTTCACTGAGGAATTGGAGGTGTTGGGTAGGTTGAGCAATTCAAATGTGATGACACCATTGGCGTATGTGTTGACAGAGGACAGTGCTTATCTGTTCTATGAGAACTTCAATCAGGGTTGTCTTTTTGACCTTCTTCATAAGGTCGACAAAGAGAAGATGGTTGTTGATTGGCCTAGCCGGTATAGTATAGCTGTGGGAGTAGCTCAAGGATTAGCTTCTCTCCATGGATGTAGTACTGGACCGATTCTTCTGCTGGACCTTTCGAGCAGGAATGTTCTGCTGAAGTCTATGAAGGAGCCTGTTGTTGGAGATATTGAGCTGTGCAAGGTCATTGATCCTTCAAAGAGCACCGGCAGCCTTTCTATGGTCGCTGGCTCTGTGGGTTACATCCCTCCAGGTAATAAGAACACCAAGAAAGAAAAAAAGATCCCATCTTTGGCTTGAAGTTTCTCTGATCGGATACAGATATGAATGACGCTATGTTTCTATCTCTGCAGAGTATGCTTACACGATGAGGGTAACGATGGCCGGAAATGTCTACAGCTTTGGAGTGATCCTGCTCGAACTGGTTACAGGGAAACCAGCAGTGAGTGATGGGATCGAATTGGCCAAGTGGGCTGCCAGCAACTCGAAGAATCAAGACAGGTGGGACGGGATCATTGACGGTAACATCATCAGCAGAGGCTCACTTGCTATGAGGAGCCAAATGCTTTCTGTTCTTAAGGTTGCTCTCAGTTGCGTCAGTACCTCGCCAGAGACAAGACCGAAGATGAAGAGCGTGTTGCGTATGATCCTTAACGCCCGGTGAGAGTGCCCCTCTTCATCTGATACCACGAGACTAGACGTTCGAAGATCACAGCTTTATGTACAGGTAAAGAAGCTGCATTGGTGTTTGTGTACACTATTTGCTCCTGTTCTACAGGTATTATTACGAAGTGTTATACCAATTTTGTTGTCGTGCAATGTAGTATTTGTATTAGAGCTTCTGTTGATCATAGGTAAAGTCTATGAAGCGATCTGTTGAGGATCATTCTTGAAGGTTATAGTGAAAAGGGGGAAATGGAGAATGCACACATATGCATTATCATATCAAGAGTTCCATCTTCTCTGCATAAAATACTACTATACTAGGGCAGGAAATGAATCATGAATGTATAACTTCTTGAAGACATAGCTAGTAATAAAGGGTCATTATTCACTTACTGTGACGAAAATTCGTTCAGCATCTTCCAATCAATCTTCACATAATAATCCTACCTTGTCTTCGCATAGAAACTGTTCGACAAAATGGCACGACAAGTATCCTTCGCCCTTCGCATTAGCGATGTCTTCCTTCCCCCTGCCAAAGAAACCATGGATGGAACATAAGCTACACGCTCCAAGAGCATTCGATGCCACTTATGATCAACAACCCCGTTGTCCATGTCTATGTCAACCCTATCCTTCCGGCAGTTGGACCACCGGACGAAGAACTTGCCATGCTCCAAAACCCCTGCATCAGGAACCTGATCTCCAGCTTCAACATTGTACAGCCTAATCCAAGCACATTCCTTCCTCTCGAGCGCCACGTAGTCCAGCGCCACCCAAACCTCCAAGAAGATGCCGGATGTCGTCCTTGTTCTGTTTCCAGAGCAAACCGCGACCAAGCACGACGACGACCACGACCCGCCTTTCGCAATGTGAAACGAATGTCTAGTACTATACGGGATTGTTGTTGTTGTTGATGATGATGATTTCTCGCGCTGCTGTTTTACTGGCGGCTTCGGCAGGCGCAGGACCGTGAACGCTTCCCTGCTCATGTTGAAGGTAGTGAGCTCAAGGTGTTCAGGACCAATTAGACGAATCCAGTGGCAATTCGACAATTTGGGAGCTCGAGAGGACACCAGGCCGACTCTGTCGCCGCCGGGGACCGGCGACGACGGCCCGTAATTGCGGAGGCGCCTCCACGAGTTTTTTCCCCTCAGGCTGTAGACGTAAATCTCCTGGGGCGATTTTGCATCCCAGGGCCAGATCCAAACGATTACCTTGTAGTCCCCTGTTTCCGGGTCGAACCCGAACCCGAATTCTCGCCCGCAAGCGGCGAGATTGGGGAGGGAGGAGGGGATTGGCTTCAACGGCTTCGCTTCCGATGTGGTGGGGTTCCAGAGGATGATTTCCCACTTGTTGAAGCGGTCGGCGATGCAGAATATCCCGCCGGAGCAGCAGGCGACGAAAGGGAGGAGCAGAGTATCCGACCCGGGGAGGTGACCCGAGGATACGGGTCGGAGCGTGGCGTGGGAGTGGATGGAGTACCAAAGTCGCCCGGCGTGGGGGTGGGATAGAACATGAGCCTCCTCCTCCTCCTCGCCGCCGTCGGAGAAGAGGATCTTGGCGATGAATTCGGTGTCGTCGGAGAGGAGGCGGCGCCACGATTTGCTGACGCAGCGGAATCGGGCGATGGAGGCAGGGGTCGGCAGCCTGGACAGGATCTCCGTCTGTAGCTCCTCCGGTAGGCAGCGGTCGGCGTGGCGGCGGGGTACGGGGCTTCTTTTTCCGGCCGCAGACATCGTCTTAATTAGAGGAAATCTCATGATCAGAGATCGGCTAGGTTTTTTGATCGGCGATCGGAAGTTCAAATTGCTCGCTTTAATGTAACACTTCCTTTCAGAACTAGGTATCTAGGGTTTGATTATTATTACGTAGTGAGGTCCATAACTGATAACAGTGCCTTTTATAATAATCGTTATAGTAAGAGTAAACTCTGGTTACTAATTTTCTAAATCATATATTTAAAGATCAATTCAGTTAAAAATAATAATGGATGGATTTGATTCATCGAAATACATTCAACTGAAGGTCAAGATATAACGTGATCGAGATCATCTAACTGATTTAAACGGTTGAATTAGTCAAGTATGTGGTTTACGGTTGAATGAGTAGGTGTAACGTGAGCAATATCGTTATAACTGATTTAAACGATTGAAATAATCAAGTGGTTTATAGTTCAATGTCCAAATCTACCTTACACAGTCACCTAACCGCTTCTTTCTTATCCTCTCTATCTCACTATCTTTGCCTCCCCTTCCCTTCATTCTCCTGTCGCTCTTCGTCTCTCTGTCTCACACAGTGAATTGCATGTGACCAAGATAGTCTTCTCGTTTTAAATTTCACCAAAATCGAGTTGATACGCTCGGTCAGTTTGATCAAATCCACCAATTTTGTGATTTTGATGGAATCGTACCTCTTTAGAAATTCGGCTTTCTAATCCCTTCTTTCTTATGCTAACTATCTCACTATCTTTGCCTTCAATCGCCTCCCCTTCCCCATCCTTCTCATGCAGCTCTTCGGCCGTCTCTCACACAATGACACAAACTATAAATGAGTGATAGTTAAAAACAAAGGGTAAAAGTGACTTAGTACAAACAATACATGCTTGATAGTACAAATATGAAGACGTTTAGGTTACAATTTTGATATAAATCATTCAAATTTAACCATACAATTACGAAGATGTTTAGGTTATAATCTAATTATGTATTCATGGGTCTCTAATATCTACAAATAAAGTACAAAAAATTACGAATACATGGATGGTAGACTGTTGATCCCAATGACGTTTAGTTGAGAAGGACTTGGTAAGAAGATAGACGATATATGATTCTCTGATTTTGCATAGTGCATACGGACACTAGACATAACGTGACAATCAGCTGCGGTATATGACTTAGAAATCTTGTTCATGCTTCTTTCGGTGGCAAAGAGAAATGAAGTAGCAAATGGGGAGAAGGGAATTGCGAGACGAAATTTGGGGCATTACGCGACATCAATGTCCCTCTTCCGTCCAGCAATTATATTGAGTATAATTATAAGCGGAAATCAAAAAGAAAATCATTACTATATAAACCAAAGTGACAACAACAACAAAAAAAAAAAAAAAAAAATTTGTGAGAAATTCCAACAATTAACAGTGTTTTAGTATCTAAACGTGCACAAAGAAATCTGACCTTCAATCCCATCATCACACAAGACACAACAAAAACCTTCCGGCAAATCGAGCGGCAAGTGTCTTTTGCCCTTTTGATGATCGACTTTTTGCCTTCCCCATAGCGGGACAAGGAAATGGTGGACGGACGATAAGTCACCCGCCCGGAAAAGTTCTTGCCGCCGGACATCTGATCCATCATCCCATTCTCTATCGGTATATAACCCCCTTGAATCAGAATCCACCGCACGAAGAAGAACTCGCCGTGCTCCCAAACCCCTGTTTCCGGCGGAGTCGCCGGAGCAGGAATCACGCCTTCCGCGTAAACGTCGTACAACTTCATCCAACAGCATTCCTGCCGCCCTAACGCCTCAACGTCCAGCGCCACCCACACCTGCAAGGAAACCCCGCCGGCGACAGCTTCTTGGGTCTGATTCCAGAGTGCACCGCGACCAGGCAGCACCCATCTTTCGCCAGGTCCTAACTACTAACGTCTGACGCACTGCATTATCTCTATGTTCTTATAATTATCCATTGAAATCGAATCAAAAGATATTAATTCGAGCCAACTCAACTCAAAAGTCAATTCGATCATTACTTAACGGAAGGTTTTTTTGGTCTTCTGTAACTAGAAAAGTCAAGGTCATTCACACATTAAAGAGCATAACGGAATTTTGACATCAACGTATTCAAACAACAATTGAACAACACACACTACTTTGGTTCTTTAAGTTTTCTTTTCCGGTTCCTTCAATAAACTAGCTTCCCAAACACGTTCCCAAGGATTGAGGTTGATTACTGATTAGTTCCGCCAAAAGCAGCCTTCCATATGCAATTGCAGCACAGTCGTAGCGGACTAAGCACCATCTGCAAGCGTCCTCTTCGTCGTGCTGATGTAGAGAACTGCAGCAAATAGCGAAATTTTGTATTACTAACAACTTATTACCACCACTGCCATTGTACACATACATATCAAACACAATACACAAGGTAGTCTTGGTTTAAGAACTGATTAATACCGTTGTTCCCTCGGATGAAAGCATCTCCATATTTGTTCTTGAGTTGCCCATTAACATATTCTTCAGTCTGCTCCATGGCTATGTTCATGTATCCATCCAAGCAGGCTAGGATACCTGCACACACAAATTACCTCGACAAGATCAGCATAATGAGAGAATACGAGATAATAATTCCTGCTAGTAATTTCCTACTTATGCTCTAAAAGTACTGTCAACTACTGCGCTAGTATTTAGCAAGAAATGTTGGGAGGTACATGAAAGTAGTCAACAACATTCTCTAGAAAAGCAGATGAAATTGAATGAGCATCCTGTGGTACAATGGTTAACGAACACCTGAGTTGCAATAAAAGAAAAGTGAACAAAGCTCATGACTGATATGAACACGATATGAAACAAACAGTATGAAAAGGCTGGAGTGCTTGGCCGATTGTTACATTTCTGCGTGATTTACCAAATTGGTTGAGAGAGAACCAGATAACAGGTTTGTGTATCCAATCACCTTCATTCTTATATTGCATTTTCTTAACAGAGAACTAAAATAACCAATTTCTCAACCTGAAGCAGTCATCAATGGAATACATGCGAAATACTTGGCAAAAGAGTTCCAAACTCTCGATAGCTAATTAGAATTCACAACTCATTTCTCATCATCTCTCTCTGCTTACTTTATCATTCAAATTAATCTATAGGATTTTTTCACATGAAACCAGATGGTAGGCTTGCCTTCATAGATTTTAGGGAAGATTCATTTACAACACTTGGTGCAAACTGTTACTCAATCTCTACCTTCACAAATTTTAGTTCAGTTGCAATCTACATCTCTGTAATTCAATCCTTATTAAAGAACATAACCGCCATTTCAAACATTGTCATCACCATTGCATATGGAAGCCTATGCAATTTTGATCGACTCAATCTGGGGCGTAAGAGTGAGGAACCCAGACCACAAGTGCTCGATAACAGACCAATAAATTTCAAACACTATTCTCAGAAATCAGGCTGCTAAACCCCATATTACTGGACTCTAGACCTCAAATCCCCTAACCCCAACCTCAATTTTATGCAAAATTTATGACTAAAGCACTTATGTACCACATAAAAACAACTTACATCACAAACACTACAACCCAGTGAAACTGTGTCGTCCAAGCATGATCCCTCCATTACCATGAACTAATATGCACCCATGGTGCTTCGACTTAGATAGGTCAAGGCAAACACGTAATTCCCCAATCAAAAATTCAATCCATGACAAAACATAAACAACCTCAACCCACTAGGCAATCGACCAAATCACCTGTGTAGTCCTTCATTAAACAATATGAAATAAACTACCAGTTCTAGGCAGCTACTCACGAGAATCAGACACAGAGCACCGAAAGCGTAGATCTTTGCAGGAAGCCAGCGATAAGACCAACCAGTTTGAGTAATTAAAACGAAACCAGAGAGAGTGGAAGGCAAAAAGTAAGCTATGGAAGGTGATAGCCTCACGGAGTGGAAGCAAACTGACCTCTATAATCAACTCCGGAATTGAGCTTAACCACAACGGGACGTCCCCGAATCGATTTCAGGAAATCGGAAGGAGTTTTAGGCGTCGTCGACGCTTTCTCTTCGTTAGTACTCATCTCCTTTTCCCCAAATACCCTAATTGTTGAAATTAAGGCAGAATAAACAAATCAATCCGAGCTCAATCCCTTCTAAAAAGAAGGAACCCTAATCTCAAAATGCCATCTTTTTACAACTAGAGAAGCACCTTCGAATGATTTCTTACCTTGGTAAACAACGACGACGAGCAAACGAATCAACCTACTCCTGCCCGCCCTTGACTTGGATTCAGCTCACTCCGACTACGACCCGCCCGCTCGTTGTCAGCAGCAAGCACAAAGTTTCGGCCGATAGGAGCTTCGATGGCTTGTGGACTCTGCGCCTTTTGGATGCTCGAAACTCCGTTAAAGGTCGAAGTGAAGAACCTAGGTCTCGAGATTCTATAGTGTTCCGTCTTCTTTTAGAACCGGGAGGTCCTCTATTCAAATATCAAATAACTCCATCTTTTAACAATAATTTACATTAGTGCACAATTATTTAAACAAATTTAATAAATATTTATAACTAAATAAAAAATTAATGATAATCTTCTATCATTAAGATATATAATTAAAAATTAAAACATCATTCATAAATAGTAAATTAAAAATTATTTAAATATAAACAAACTTTCATAGCTAATCTAGCAAATTTAAATTTATATCACTGTTCAAGAAATTAAAAATTACTTCATTAAATTTATAAATGAATTTTTTTATGAAGTTGATATAGATTTTTTTTTTATAGTTATTCGTTACTTAATGGAGCGAACCGAGACTTCTAGGTTGAAGATCAATGAAAATTTGAAAAATATTTCATAACTAAATTAAAAAATTACCAAAAGAAATATTCTATTACTAATCTAGATGATTTGAAAATCAATTATTTGTACTCAACAAACATCATTCATAACTAAATAAGTAATTAATATGATCTAAAATGTTTTATTACTATACTACATAATTAAATACTAGTTAATTAGTAACATTAGTACTATATCCTTTTCATTTAAATGTTATAATTGTTATGAAAATATCGTGTCTATTGTCCAGTTCGCATTTTAGTCGATATTTTGATAATTGAAGCCAAAAATATGCAAGTACATTTATATATGACTTAGTGAGATAAGTGAATGACGGATGGGACAGTTAAATAAACGAAGTAAGATCATGACTTGAAGAAGAGGAAATGAGATTTTAACTTTGCATCTCTTGCTTGCACTGGAGGAAAAGGAACAACAAAATCTTAACAGGCTAATATCATCCAAAGAAAACCAGATGGCATAAATTTTGCCTACTTTTACGAAGGTCAGCACCTCGAGAAGATCATGCATGCCAAGTTGAGTTGATACAGAAACGTCTTCCAATAACTCAGAAGCATCCTCAACATGATCAAGCCATTGAATACCTCGTCTTTATTAATGTTCATGAACATTTGAATGAAAATCAACACTGCCTTTTCAAAATCCTAACTTTTAAAAACAGATTGAAAAATGGCTACATTCTCAGGTTAAATTGTGCTTCCACTAGAATGTGAGATCTTTGGGATCCTCGATGATTTTCGATAGAGTTTGCAAGAAGGCAGCAAGATCGGCTCCATAGATGACGCGATGATCTGCAGTCACGTTCACCTGCAGATAGTTTCACACAATTTCCTGCTGTTACAAAATGAACATTTCAGGAGAAGGAATATCATGGACTATGTGGTGACGATATTGTTTTACCTGCATCTGGTTCTTGATGCCAATGCGACCATCCTTGGTACCCACTGCTGTTGGCTGAGATGCTCCCACAGCCATGATAGCACCCTGCAGAAAGAACAATGGAATAACATCTTAAGATCTGTGATTCCAAAAACATATTGAAGTGTACTATGAAGAAGAAAGGATATTTCTTCTGGGTTATATGTTCAAGAACTTACGGTTCCAGGTGGAAGAATTGCGTCGAACCGGTCCACTCCGAACATACCCAGGTTAGATAAGGTGAAAGTACCTGTTGGAAATACAAAGCAGAGTTGTGAGCTTAATAAGTGCACACATGCAATATGATTACCAGGTAATTCCATCTTATTTTAGGAAGAATGAACTGAACAATGAAGCTCACAACTTCACAGCAATAGAGACCAACTGCAACAAGACCACGGACATCATATGAAGTGCGAGTTACTTAACCAGACTGTACACCACTTGGGAAGTACTTAAAGATGGTCTTGTTGAAGTCGAAGATCAAAGGCAACACTGAGGACAATAACGGGGTTCATTTAATAGCTTTACAAATTCGGAAATTTCTTTGGGAGCAGCAGTGGTTTGTTGGAGTTGAGATGCTCTTGCGCAACTCATCTCAAATCAAGAAAAAAATCAGGGGAGAAGCATAAAGGTGGTCTTATGTAATGTAAGTATGTCACTTAAACTTTCATCCAGGTTTAAACATAGCAAGGAACTACATCCAATTTGCTTCTGCGGGTGGTCTTCTAGTGGTAAGTAACAAAGAATCTCGTAAAATAAGCATGTGTAGAGTGACTGCAGCAGCAATATTCTATACGGGAACCTTATGAGAGGTTTCTTTTTCCTTTTTTGGGCAGCAACCTTATGATAGGTGACCAACATGAGCTGTACATCCATATTGAGAGTAATCAGGAAATAAACACTAAAACTACCACAGAGCCAATATGCAAAAAGTTGGGTGCTTTCACAAATATACGTAAAGATACCAAGACTTTCTTGAGTCTGAAGAAGTTAGAAGCTTCAACAAAGATAAATAGTTTTTCAAATAAATCATAAATGTGAGCGGGAGTTAAAGCATAAGATGCTAGAGATAGTGATATCACAACTAAATCTCTCTACTTAGGACATCTATTCTGAAACAAGTCTTGCGAACACTTCTAAGTACTGCTTAATACTAATATACTGCAAGTTCCAGAACAAGGGCGTCCTATTTCCAATTCCTTGAAGCAAACTTCACAAACTAATACCAACTACCTAAAAATCATGACGGCTTAGCCAAATCACAAAATTCTTTCAAAATATAATCCTAGTAAAGTTGCTACACAAAAAAACTAGATACCTGTATTGTACTCATGAGGCTGCAACTGCTTTGCCCTTGCCTTGTCAACCAACTCCTTCCACTTCCTCGACATCGAGTAAATATCAGACTTATCCGCATCCTGAAGAACTGGAGTGATCAACCCTCCATCAATGGCCACAGCAACAGCAATGTTGATGCTGCTGTTATACGTAAAGCTGTTTCCATCTCTGCAACTCGAATTGACAACAGGGTGCTTCGCCAATGCCAAAGCTGTTGCCTTTGCTAGAAGAGCTGTCATCGTCACTCCCTTAGACTTGATCTACAATTCCAAATGATTATCATCCATTCAATTGTGATCTGAACTACAGTTCACTCATAACAGTTGGCAAATTTCTACTGACTGAGAATTTAGATTACCTTCTTGTATAGAGCATCAAGAGCATCGGTTGTAATGGTGTATCCAACTCTGAAAGTGGGAACTGATAAGCTCTCCAGCATATTCCTACTGACTGCCCCTTGCATTGTGGTAAACGGCACAACCGTCCCCAGCTCAACATTTGGAGATGCAGCAGGTGGCGGCGCAGCCGTCGTAGCCGCCAATGGAGCAGGCGCAGCGGCAGCCGCCTCAACATCCTTAGCCACGATTCTACCCAGAGGCCCACTTCCAGCAATGGCTGCCAAATCCACCTTCAATTCCTTAGCTAGCTTCTTGGCATACGGCGAGGCCACCACTCTTTTCCCTCCATCGGAAGCCGGATGAACAGCAGAGGCCAATTTGGCCACCGGAGTTACCGCAATTGGTGCGGAAGCAGCGGGCGGAGCAGTAATCTCCGCCGGGATTGGATCCGCCGCGGTGGAAGCGGCGGCGGGAGAGGAAGAAGCGGAGGAGCTGCTTCCAGCAGCTTTGGACCTGGCCGCCTCGATTTCGTCCTCCGTCTCGGCCAAGAGGGCAATGGCCGATCCGACAGCGGCGACGCCGCCTTCCTCGACCATGATTGCTGCCAAGTACCCGTCGTAGAAAGTCTCGACGTCCATGTCGGCCTTGTCGGACTCCACCACCACGACGCTCTCCCCCTTGGCGAGCTTCTCCCCTTCAGACTTCACCCACGACACAATCTTCCCTTCAGTCATCGTCGAGCTCAGCGCCGGCATGAAGATCTCCCGGATCTTCGCCTGCACTACCCCGCCGGTTTTGCTCCGCCGCCGGCTGATTTGAACCATAGGTGAAGAGGTAGAAGAAGAAGATCGATCTGGGTTCGCTCGGAGACATGGTGAAGAAGGGAGGAAACTGGTTTGGAGGAGGTGCGCCATTGTGGGTTTTGAAGAATGGCGAAAAGCTTCGTTCTTTCGGTTCGGAGAAGGGGTTTTGAATTGAAATTGATGAAATGGGGGGAGAAGGGTTTTTGTCGTCGAGGAAGGAATTTCGATGGAATCAACGTGCGCGGGGGATTCCTCAATGAAAATGCGCTGTGATGCTCTATTTCTTTGGGAACATCGAAAGAGAAGAGAAGAAAGGGCGGAGGTCTCGAGAGTTTCTTCTCAAGTCTCAACAACCTTACCGGTTACTCAGAGAGTGAGAGGAGAGCTGTATATTTTTGGTGGAGTGGAGAAGGAGGAGAGACGTGACAATAGATGGGCCTTTCAGAATATACCTTCCGCCCAACTAATGGGCCTAAGGCCCTCACCCAGTTTGGGCTGGTTGGCCCGTTGTATTCTGGGTCCAACGAAATTCCCGCACAAATATTTATTCCAATTAAATTAGACAATCAATCCATTTCCCATTTTCCCTGCACAACGGTCGAGTTCATTTCTCCCACTCACTCACCGATTCAAAAAGCAAAATCTGTTACGAGTCGAGTCACAACTTTCCCACCCTCTTTCTCTCACTTTCTCCCCCAAGAATATTCAAGAAAGTCAGTCAAGAGAGAAAGGGAAAAAAGAGAGAGATTCGAATTCGAACAATGGTGAGCAGCAGCAAGAGCCGGGAAAGATTCCCGGAGAAGAAGATCCCGGTTCTCTCAGTCCTCCAGAACTGTTCGATCATCAAGAACATCTTCGTCGTCGGCCCGTCCGACGGCGAATCTTCCGTCGCCTCCGGAGGCGGAGGAGGAGGAAAACAACCGGAGCGAGACGGAGGCGGCGCTACGGAAATGGAGGAGGTTGTGACGGTCGGCAGGCATCCGGACAACTTGATCGTGTTGACGCATCCAAGCATCAGTAGATTCCACTTCAAGATCATCGTCAAGTCATCTACTCACCAGCTCTTCGTCACCGATTTGGCTTCCGGTGAGCTTTCTTTCCAAAAAATTTCTCTTCTGAATTTTTTTCTCCGCCGCCTAGGGATTCTTTTTTGTTCGAATCTGTGGATTTCTTACTGAATTCTGGTTTGATTCTGGGGGGAAGCTCATGGAACTTGGGTATCGGGGAAGAAGATTGATCCTGGAGTTCGAGTGGAGGTGGCCGAAGGAGACACGATCCAAATCGGCGCTTCGACCAGAGTTTATCGGCTGCATTGGGTGCCAATGAGTCGAGCTGACGATATGGAGAATCCTTCTGCTTCTTCGGATATGGATGTTGCCTTGGTGGAAGAGAAGGAAGAGCCAAAGCCAGGGCCTGCTGGAGCTAAACAAGAGATGACGACTCCTCAGGTGACTAACTTGGCTGACTTCTTTCGTGAGCCGAACTGTTGAATCAAGATTGGTGGTCTTTCTGCTCATTTTTGTTATGATTTATTTGTTTCAGAAAGAGGGTAAGGAAATTGGGATTAGGGATTCAGAAGAAGAGGGGGAGGTTTTGAGCAGTAAAAGATGCGATGGAGTTGCTCGGAGAGCTGCGAGTGAGGAAATTTCTGCGGTTAGTGAAAGCAGTGAACAGTATTCGTGTGAAGAAGTGTCAGGGATTCAAGAGGTAGTCAAGTTGGAAGCTCCACTGTCTGCTATGGAAGCAGAAATCAAGTCGGAATCTCCATTGCCTGTTCTGGCTGCAGATAACGAAGTGCCTATGGTCAGTTTCTTATGCTAAATTGTTAAACCTTGTGTACAACCCTCAGTGGTCATGCCTTTTTTCTCTGGTCATGTCTTCAAGAATGTCATCTTTCTAATTCTTTTGCTCCGAATGCTTTGTTGTAGAAGGAAGAAGCAGAGTTTCAGTTTAGGGATTCTGAGGAAGTTTCCAGTAGTGAGAAGGAAGAGGTAGTTATGTTGGAGGCCATCAGTGAGGAATCTTCTTCACAAGATGAAAGCAGAGGATCTTATTCATGTGAAGAAGCATCCGATGTCCATGATAGCTTAGATTCTTCGCTGGCTGTTACAGAAGAACAGCAAACGTCTGGCTTTGATGTAGTGGAAGAAACAGAGAACCAATGCTTGGTGAAGGAAGATCATGTACAATGTGGAATGTTCGAATTAGAATCTGTTAACTTGTCTTTGATAGAGGGGAAACCAACTGAGAACTCTCAGCAAGTGCTTTTTGCAGAGGGCAAAGAGAAAATGGGAAGTCCATATAGAGAGGATGATGAAGTATTGGAAGTTTCCCAGCTGGGCACTGATAGTCTAGTGCTACGACATGAAGAGGCTTCTGTAAGATCGCTGATTGAAGATCAAGAACAAGCGAAAACTGCTGCTCTAGGATCTGATTCAGAAAACTTGTGCTATCTTGATGGGAAATTGACTGATTCCCAATTGCAGCAGATATCCGTTTGTGAAGAGAATGAAGAAACAAGGGTTCCATTGAGAAATGATAATGAACTGACGGAAGTTTCAGGATATGGAAATTGTGGTTCAGTCGTTGTAGAAAGTGACGAAACTTCTGATTCAGGGAATTTGTGCTATCTTGATGGGAAATTGACTGATTCCCGCTTACAGCAGGTATCAGTTTGTGAAGAGAATGAAGAAACAAGGGTTCTTTTGATAAATGATAATGAAGTGACTGAAGTTTCAAACTATGGAACTTGTGGTTCAGTTGTTGTAGGAAGTGAATTTGAAGATAATCAGATATCTGAATCCTGTTTTGCTAATGATCCCCTGACAGAGGATGGGGACAAGGACTTGTCTTTAACAATTCAGGGAGAATCCAGTGATGTGGCGAACATATACTCTTCACTACTTTTTGCAGCTGTAAAAGCCCACTTGGACAGAGAAATAGCTATGATGAAAGACATGGAACCTTCAGAACCTGCTCGTTTAGAGGTAAACTTGTCTTTAACAGTTGAAACCCCACTCAAGGCTGACCAGCCCCAAGTGTCTCTTGAGGAGGGCAAGGAGGAAATAACTAATGATGAAGTCATCGAAGTTCCAAGCAAAGTTCAAGCATACTTGCTGAATAGTGAAAGAGCATCAATGAAAGACCAGGGAATTTTCGAACTCAGTCTTCCCGAGAAATCTGGTTCAGTGAGTTTGTCTATAATTGACGAGAATCTGTCTGGGACTGAGTTGCACCAGGTATATTCTTCTGAGGAGAAGGAAGGCATAGGGAGCTCGTGGAAAAATAATGATGAAGTTCAAGTCGACTTTGTGGATTGTGTAAGCTCATCAATGAAGGACCAGGAATTGGATTCAGTGAACACGTGTATGATGGATGAAAACCTTTCTGGGACTGAGATGCAGCAGGTTTCTTTAGTTGTGGGGAAGGTGGAAGACATAGCAAGCTCGTGTAGAAATGATGACGAAGTCAAAGAAGTTTCGAAGTTGCCTCAGTCGGTTGAGAGTCTACTTAAGGCTGAGTTCCAGTTGATTTCATTTGAGGGAGAATATGACATAAGCTCTGTGTCCATAAATGATGGCGAAGTCTCAGAAGTTCCACTGTCACGTTTTTCGGTTGAGAATCTACTCGAGGCTGACCTACAGTTGGTTTCATTTGAGGGAAAAGATGGTGAATTCAAAGAAGCTGCTAAGTTGCCTTTTCCAGTTGAGAATCTACTTGAGGCTGACCTGTCATTTGTGCCATATGAGGGGAAAGATGAAATGAGCCTTTTGTCCAGAAATTATAGTGAAGTCACAGTAGTTCCAACCATGGTGGGAACAGATTTAGGATACAGTGAAAGATCAGAAATGAAGGATCAAGAACATGTCGAAATTGTTGCTTCTGAAGCAGATACAGGGTACTTGCCTTTGTTGGTACAAAATCTCTATGAGGCTGATTTTCAACAGTCCTTTGTGGGGGAGAAAGACATGGAAAAACCACCATGTACAAATGTTGATAATGAAGAAGTTGCAGAACTTCCGAATTTGGCAACGGGCTGTCTACCTGATGTGGAGTGTGGGAGTGGAAGTGAGCATGAGAAGTTTGATGAACTCGATAGAAGTCCTGATTCTCCTGCAAGCTTGAGAAGTGATCATGGTCTGCCTGATGTAGAGCGTGAGTGTGGAACTGAGCACGAGAAGTTTGATGAATTCGATAGAAGTCCTGATTCTCCTGCAAGCTTGAGAAGTGAGCATGGTTCACCTGATGTAGAGTGTGAGAGTGGAAGTGAACGCGAGAAGTTTGATGAACTCCATAGAAGTCTTGATTCTCTTGCAAGCTTGAGAAGTGATCATGATTCACCTGATGGAGAGCGTGAGAGTGGAAGTGAGCACGGCGAGTTTGATGAACTAGACAGAAGTCCTGATTCTCCTACAAGCTTGAGAAGTGATCAGGACTCAACTGAATTAGAGAGTGAGGATGGAGGTAAGCATGAGAAACATGATGAACTCGATAGAAGTCCCGAGTCCCCTTCAAACTTGAAAAGCGATCATGGAACTGAGCATGTCGAATTTAATGCACTGGATAGAAGTCCTGAATGGCCGTCTGTCGAAGTTCACCTTTCAAAGAGATTATTAAACACAGAGTTCTCTGCCAGCTTAGAGACAGAAATCAATATGGACGACTTTGATTCTCTAATGTCTGCTGAGAGCATGGAAGGTGATGATCTGGGCACCGCAAGTAAACCACTGCAGGAAGGCCTTCTTGGAATTTCCTCTATTGAAACAGACTCCACTATTTCTGAAGCTAATTGGCAGCTAGTCTCATTTTCTGAAGCAAGGGATGATAAACTGATGGAAACTTCGAATGCTGAAGCTGGTAGTATAGTTGTCCAAGAAGCGGAAGAAGAGGATATAAATGGAGATTCTTCACCAAAGAGTGGAAACGTGGAAATGGAGTCTCCTCTAAGGTCACAAGTGAAACTCAGTAATCCTATAGACTTGGACACCCTCTTTGTTGCTGCACTTGAATCTGACTTGAATACCAATGCATCGCCGGCAGAAGACCAGAGACAGAGATATCTAGACATGTCTCTTTTTGATAGCCCTGTAAGGGCAGAAGCCGTATCAAAGAGAGGCCAAAGCTTGGACTCAAGCAGACCGTTGGATTTCGATTCCTCGTCGCCATGTGATGGTGCTGCAGTGAGAGAACAAGAACAAAAGATGGAACAAGTTTGTCCTGTTGAGTCTAAATCTCTGACTTCGCCTTCGCAGCTAGTCAACAATGTCAATGGTGGCATTCAAGCACCAGAGGATCATAGTTCTACTTCAAATGAAGAGCCTGGAAGCTTCTCTCTCTGCACTGTATCAATGGTGACAGAATCTGTGAGCTCATCATCTTTCTCAATTGAGGAACTTCTCTCTGAGATCATGGAGAGCGAAGAAGAAGAAAGCACGACCCCGCAATCTGTTCTTGCGACAGTACGAAGTTTGGAACAGCAGATTCCCAAGAGCGAAAATAATGCCGGCAGGTCATCAGTAAAGAGAACAAGCTTTTGGCTCAAGAGAGTAGAATCTGGTTCAGGTGTTGGTCAGCTCCGGAAAAGTCAAAGCATGGGGAAGATCAGTAGTGAGGAAACGAGATCATCACCAAAGAAGCTCCCTTTCTCAGGTTTCGAATTGCCACCACAGAAAGACCTCTTCACTCCGGACAAGGAGAATCGAAGCCCGAATAAGTCCAGTTTACGCAGATCTTTATCGTCTAAGATCACGCTTACTTCCAGAATCATGTCAGAAGGTAACACTTCCCCGATCCAGGAGAACTCCAGTACTCCTGAAGCCATTCAACAAAGGGTAGCTACGACTACAACACCAAGTCCAAGCTCCAGGAACAACATAGCAAAGTTAGGACTGCAAATGGTGTTAAGGAACGATAGGATGCCGTTGCAGAATCTGATTATCCGTTCCCCAGTGAAAAGCCTGTCTGGTGGTGGAGCTTATTCACTTGGTTCTGCTGCGGAGCAATCTTCTGTGAGTTTGAATAGTCATCGTTTACTCATCACTTCCGCTTGCAGTGTGCTCGTTGACTAAAATCTAAATTTGTGGTGTACAGGTTAACCGCAGCAGAGGAGAAACAAAGACGAAGAAATGGATAATGGTAGTGGACACGGCTTCTCTGCTGGACAACGAGTCAAGGAAAGCGTTGCAGCTTCTACAAGGTCTCAGGGGGACTCGGTTGATCATTCCAAGAATAGGTAATGTTAGCCGAACCAAACATTATTCTTCTCCTGTGCTCATTTCAGTTCATTGTATTGGTCTGCAGAACGCTGCAGATATAGTGTTAAGGTCTTTACAGCTTTTAGGATTGGTTGGACAAACCAAATTGGGATTAATTCTATAATGGTTCATTTTCTCAACAATTGAACAGCTATATAATCACCATTTGTGAATATTGTCTACTTGAACAGAGTTTCTGATGAATGCTAATCGAAGTCCTTATTTTTCTTTGCAGTCAAGAATGAACTGGAGTCATTGAAGAGAACTGGTAGATTGTTCAGGAGGAACACAGCGGCATCCAAAGTGCTGGAGTGGATAGAAGAGTGTGAACTGAAAACAGAGTGGTGGATTCACGTCCAGACCTCGATAGAGAGTGCAGTTCCACTCACGCCACCTGCTTCGCCAGAATCTGGAATCGGTGGCAGCAGCAGCAGGATGAAATGGTACACTCCATCTTCATCGATGACACCACCTGCTTCCCCGGAATCTGGAACTGGAACTACCGGCAAGACAAAATGGTACAGCCCATTTTCATCAATGCCCTCACCGAGACGAGAAGATCATGTCCTTTCCAGTGCCTTGTTCTACAAGAAACTCTGTCATGGTGGGGAACAAGTCGTCCTGATTAGCCATGATCCTGACCTCCTATTCAAAGCCGTGCTAGAGGTAACAAACAAAGCAACCATTCATCTCTCTCTATCTATCTCCTCTCTCGAATTACTGAAATGGGTTCATCTTGTTCTGGTTCAGGGTTTGGTATGCGAGACGGCTCAGGAGTTCAGGGGCAGCCTGGTGAACCCTTTCTCCGAGAGGTTCTTATGGGGCGAAAGCTCTCCCAGAGGGCAAACTTGGTCTGTTCATGATGACGTGGTGTTGAAGGAAAGGTACTACCCTGCTCCTCATCGGAAGTTGACACGGGGAGAGACTGCGAGAGGCCTGAAACTCATACTGCTCAGCGACGACTCATGTCGCAGTGACTCCATTAAAACTCTGTAGGCTTCAGTGGAATGAGTAATTAGAGAGCTGCTTTGCTTTCTGCTGCTACAGAGTTTTCTGTAGCTTTCTAGCTTGCATTAGTTATAGCTGGTTTTCTCAACCAGTATTATATTCTCTGTTAACATAGAAGATGAATTCCTGCTGCCTTGCCATTTCACTGAGAAATGAATATATTCCTGCTGTTATTAGATTTCACTGCATATAAATCTCTTTATTTTGGATTCAGGAAATTTGTTGCCATGAAACCTGACATTCTATGACATAAAAACAAAAGTTGTAGACACATGAATTTTCTACCAAGTTGCGAACAATAGTCCAATGCTAGCCCTACTACTACTGCTAGTACTAGGATTCCCCTCCAGTTTTCTGGCTGCTGTAATTACACGACCCGCCAGACAACAGAAACGAGAATGAAGCCTCAGAATCGTCGAACCCCTGTCGATTGAACTCGGGAAACCCACCAACGAAATTGCACGAATCGAAGTTCAAAGGGGAGAAGCAGCTTGCGACAGCGGCCGCACCAGCAGGATCATCGACTGACTTGAAGTCCATGAGAGCTTGAGCACCAGAATTGAAGTCCATGGTAGCAAGGCCACTGCCATCAGCGAGCTTGTTTGCAGCAGCAGCAGCATCAGTAGGAGCAAGAGCAACGACTGTCTTGGTTTCGTCGGGAGGAATGGCAGGGGTGTGTCCTTGGAACAGCGCGATGTGTCCGAACAGCTTGTCCTTCCTGGAGAAGGTGGTCCCGCAAGAGCAAAGCCACTTGTCCCTCCCGCAGTGCTTCTCGTGGGTCTTGAGGTCAGCCATGACCGAGAACTTCTTGGTGTTGCACCTGCTGCACACATAGCTCTTGTCGCAGTGAGTTCTCTTGTAGTGGTTCTTGACACAGAGGATCGTTTTGAGAGGCTGGAACTTCTTGTGGTCCTTGTTCCGCTTGCAGCCCGAGAAAGGGCATGAGTATCTCTTGATGATCACGGGCTCTGCGGCTGAGCCCACTTCTTTTACCGTTGGAGGCTTTGCGAGGGCTGCAGGAGTCTTATACTCGTCACCGTGGCCTCTCATGTGCATTCTCAAGTTGGCATCCCGCTTGAAACCTTTCCCACATATAGTGCAGAAGTGAGTGTGCGGGGCCAGGATTTCTTCCTTCTCGAGCTGTAGAATCTCGTAAGAACCAGGTGGGAGATGCTCGGTTTCACCGTCCTCATGTTCTTCATGCTCTTCGGTGGTGGAGTAGTTGTGTTCGACATCCATACTGTTGTTAGACTGCTGCTGCTGTTGCTGCTCGGGAGACACAGCAGCTGGTTTTGGTGTGAACTGTCCGAACTGTCCGATTGTCTTGACTGATGGCAGCAGGGTACCAGCAGTGGATATCAACTGGACAATGATTGAGGTGAGATCAGCAGTTATGAGCTGCTGCTGCTGCTGAGTCAGGACCTCATCTGGTTTGCTGGGAACTTGACCTTTTCGGGTGATGATCAAGTGGACCATGCCCTGGAGCTGATGGATCTTTTGTTCCAAGAAAGAGAGGTTGTTGAGCATTGCACTTGGATCCCATTCAGGGGGTTTGCTGTCGTTGGTGTTGTTATCGTTGCCTTGTATCGAATTATTGATCTGACAATTTACTTGTTCATGGAATGGTGGTTGTTCTTGGCCAATCCTGAATCCATAGTCCATGATAGGGGAGCTATTGTTGTCCCACTTCTTCTCGAGCTGCTGTTGCAACCCAAAATCTGCTGATTTCTGTTGTAACGAGTTTGACGATATGGATTTCGTCCCCCATGTATCACCACATATCTCATCTTCAGGATCCATCTAATATGATATAGTTTGTGAATCGAAGTTGCTCCAATTTCAAGCAATCCTGGAATTCAGCACAGGAAGATAATAAGGATTGACATCAGGATTGTCCCATAACCCTAACTGAAATATACAATTCATGATTCAACCATCAAACCAGCTCATGAAATCTTCTGCAAAAGGTCACCTGATAGATGGGAAACACCTCAAAACAAAAGAAAAAACCCCAATTACAGAGAATTTTGATTCAATTCAACTGTTCATTATCTCTCTCACGCTCATCTCTGAAAGCCAAAGATTACTACTTTTCATTTCACCCTGAAGAACCCAGAAACCAATTCCTTGACTTCCCCAAAAACATAAGACCAAAGAAACAAGATGAACCCAGAATCTCAATTTCCATGGCGTAAACAAAACGAGTGATAAAGGCAGCAACTTTCGAACAGATCCATCTCAGCACAATCCAATCAATCAAAACCCAGATAAAAGGAGAAGAAAATAAACTTTACCAGAATCCTCAAGCGGCACAATAGCGGCAGCAGCAGCAGCTTCGTACCATGAACTCACTACTGTTCAAAGAGATGAACTTGGAAAGCTGGAATGCCACGACGCCTCGTTTCGTCGGCTTAAACGTGCCATTTGAAGAGGGGCGGACCGTTCGCTCGATCGAGGAAGGTGTAGTAGAGTCAACTCTCTGACAGCCCTTTTGCTTGCCTTTACATCAGCTTGAATCAGGGCCCTTCGTTTCTTCGTCCTCCCCCAAAGCCAAAAGTCTCGAGATTTGACATTAGAGGAGGAGAGGAAACCCAAACGAATCTCAGCCGTTGGTTCGTGAGGAGTGGCCTGTGGACCGTTGGTTGTGAGGGCTGAGGAAAAGACAAGAGATAGCGTTTTCCTCTTTTTTTTCATTTCCCTTTGACGGCTGTGATTTGTGGGTGAGGATGGATGGATGGATGCCACGTGGGTCCCAGTGGGAGAGTGGGGATGATTCTTCCTCTCATTTTCAGCTCCATTTATAGTTTTTTGTTTCTTTATGGTTCTCATTTTCTCAAACATTTTGTTGGATTTGACTTGGCTTTTGGAGATGGGATATGGGACCTAAATAATGCATTTAAGTAATTAACAAAGCAAAGTTCGATTGCTCCCGCTCTGAAAATTGAAATTAGGATTTATCTGATGGAAGTATTTTGAATTTTGATACTCATACTTGCTTCACAAAAGTAAAAGTTAAGAGTATTTTCTATCATAAAATGTGGATTGGAGTAAGTTGATTTGCACAAAAACTTTTTTTAAGAAAAATACTTGAGATAACAAAAATTCAATAAAATTTTGAAAATGATCTATAATGTAATAAAAATAATATCTCAAGTTATTTAAAGTGAGTACACATGCTTTAGCTTATCCCGTCTCTCTTACACTATTCACCCTAAAATCGATTAGGTTATAGGTACGTAGGATAAGTCAGACTAAAATTGTCATCCTATCTTAAATGTGCAATATGATTAAATGAGAATAATATTCTTTATTTAACGAAAGTAATACGTTATTAAGTGTTCGCCTCTAGTGGGTGCCAAATAGGATGATATCGGTTGACAAAAATGGCTTCATGGCATGGAAGTTTGTCTTCTAGTTCTTAATTATGTGATGAGGATTACAATTTACAATTTTTCTGTTTTGAATTTGGAGTTAATCTTCTACCCCAAATGGTTATTGTTTTCACTTGATCAATCGGTTAGTGCTAGTATAAGATTTATAATTAAACATCTCACATATAATGGTTCTTGGTTGCAAATAAATTGAGTCGAGCTGATTTTTACTTCAAGTTTGAGCTCAGCTCGTTTATTACGAGCCAAGTCGAGTTCGAGCTAATTTGCTTAATAAAATCTTGACTGGTATTTGATATATTCATTTGGTATAGCATGCATGATACATATGTGATTAATGTCAAGTTGAAAATAATTTTTATTGAATATATATGATGGGTTAAAATGTTTGAAATTTTGTATGCGCCTCTTCTTAATTACCTGTTTTTAATACGGTTTGTGAAAGAATTGTTTTTATTTTTACGGGTTCTATTTGTTGCAGTGCCTCTATTCTATGTTGGACTGCGTATTGGTAGCGATATTTTATACTAATATATACATGTATGCTTGATGACTTTGACATGTGATTAAGGATTAAACCAATGAAGCAGGTTATGAGTGTCAAAGCAATTGGAATTGCTTTGAAGCTAACATTGTTGGGAATGAATCAATTAATTAGCTAGTTCTACCCACAAACATGGGCTTTCACCTCGATTGTGATGGCTTGTGTGATGACTCAAATTAATTATCTAAATAAGGTACGTTTTCACCACTTCAATTCTACTGTTTTTCCTCCTCTTCTCAATCTTTTAAAACAACATCGAGCTAGCGTAATTGCTCGTTCGTCAAACTTTAGAGAGTCGCAAGAAAAGGAAAAAAGGTGAAGAAGAGATGAGAATAATCCAAAAGTAAGAAATTAACAACTACTATATTTCCACCTTCCTTGTTAGAATTTAGGGTTGTGTTTTTAACGTTTTAAATGATTTCCATATTTATGATCTATCATTATTCTAAATTCAAGCTGAATATCTAACTAGACGAGCATCTAAATAGATGAATATTTTACGGAGATAACTGAAAAGGCCTTTTGGATGCTAGTTTGATTGAAGTTAGTTTGGTGGGGAATCAACTGTTTAAGAGTCAATGATTGCCTTTTATTTGCTATAATTCCTTCAGATAGGAAATAAAAACAGCTTTGCAATTGTAGCTAGTTAATTACTATCTTAATAGAGTTAGTTCTTCACCAATAACATGATTGCTCTATTTGTTTTCCGGTGAACTTTTGCAAATGCATGCGCGCAGGCTCTTGACACATTTAACACAACTGTAGTATTACGTACTCATATACTATATGTCATGTTTACAACATTGACTATTCCAACAAGTGTAATTTTGTTTAAGATAACATTCCTTTGAAACATGACCTCAATTTTGTGCTTGGTGTGGAATTAAAACGGATTCTTTGTTTAGTTATAATTTTGTTTGTAGTTTAATGTTTTTCAGTGCAGGATTGGGATCGACAAAATTGAATACAAATTGTTACAAAAATGTGTGGATTTTGTGACGATTGTCGCAAGGACTTTCCTACTTCACAAAACAAAAGACATGGCTGAAACTTGAAAGTAGGTGTTTTAATAGACGTGAGATTATACATGAAGATCATCATGAGATAGATGTCCAATTTTTCTCAATCTGGGTTTGACATATCTTCTAGCTAAAGTTGGACTTGATGTGTAGTATCACAATATTGATGTTTGCGATTCAATTCATGTCTCCGACTTTCGGTGAACTCCTAGTAGTAATACCAAGAGGCAACAAAGAGTCAAATCCATCACACCGTCGGTGCATAAATCAACACGAAGAAGACACAAATAAACTTTCATTCTCACTATAATTACAAAAAAATAAAAATAAATAGTGAAAGAAGACACTAGATCTTTGTCTCGCTTCCAACCTCTTCTATTCGAGATTGGTGTCGTTGATTACTCCTCCATCTCGTGGGAGCGTGATAAGGATACACCGAACGTGTCTCCCGTAACTCGTCGCCACTATCAGAAGATACATGATGAATGTACGCACGCTATAATGTTGAGTTTATTTAGTGAAAGTAGATTATGAATTTTCTTTCTGTTCATCCTGTGCAGTAGTAGTGTTAGTGTACCTCTTAATTACCTTTAATTGTGGTTAACGCGACAATGACTTGAGGACAAACCAGATGGACGGACTGTTGATTATATCATTCTTCCACATGCTATTTTTACCAAACAGAAACTGCCTGTCTTTGGCAATGAAATGTTATGTATTGTCTGCAAGTGAGGTTAATGATCACTTTCACGGCCTAATTAACCAGCAAAGTCAAACCACACCGCAATTAGCCATGGAAATTCTGCCAACAGAAGCAACGTTGTTTTCCCCTTCTCTGCTCCTCTCAATCCGGCGACAGACCCGATGGCTTCAAATCTGCCTGCATGCATTACGTAGTCCTTTGAATTTTGATTATGGGTTTCTTTAAAATATTTAGTGCACTAATGGTTTCTTTTGGAAGTCCTTCCTTATAACTATTTTCATGCATTATGGTTTTTCATTGTTTAAGTAGAGAAAGATAGTTTACACCCATCAAATTTCAAGTACATAGAATAGGAAAATAGGCATCGATAATATCTATGATCGATTTTTCGTAGAGGTGGCACATGGATTGGATTCATGGGCTGGTGGATCGGATTGGTAATTGGATCGAATGTATTGATGAATTAATGGGATTGATATGATCCAAATGGCATACAAACATATACATATTGGACCAAAATGAATATTTGGAAAAGTTTAGATACTAAGAAGTCATAATAAAAAAAATTGTGTCCAAATTAAAAATAAAATTTAGGTATGGAATTGTGGGGGAAAAGGTAAAATTGAAGAGAAATATTTTATTTTATAGTTTAAATTGAAACGAAAGATTGCCTACGAAACATAGCAATGGATATATTAAGGGGTCGTTTGGAAATTGTGATTCTTCAAATTGATGTATTAAGTCAATTAGTGTATTATCATTTGATGTATTGATTCAATGCATGTATTAGGAAAATACTTTGTTTGGAAGAGCAATGATGAAACAAAAAGTAGGGTAGACAATCCCTCATTAACAATCTCACCTTTTAGTAGAGATTTATAATCATTCATTTTGAGTGATTGTAGGTGGGCCCAACAAAAAGATAATGCATGCATTCTAACTCAAAGTGAACCAAAAAAACGACTTAATTTTATCATTACATGTATTTGCTAAATACCTCACTTCAAATCTCAACCTCCAAACGACCCCTAAGTATATCAGAAGAGTTTAATCAGCAAATTATCAGAAGAGTTTCTGCTGAAATCATAGGCATAACATATATTAATTATTTATGCATCGAATCATTCTAGCTATGTTGTTCCAAAAGACCAATCATTATGATTCTTGAACATCATTGCATAGGTATGTATATATATGTAATTTACTTTTGTCTTACTCTTTAAGCAAATAAGAAACAATCGTTTGTTTATTGTGAGAATTAAGTCAATCCACGAGTCACATCATACATAATATATTCAGTAATTGTTGGCTAGCTTATGGAAGATGAAAGAGTATTTTCTTTTTTCTGGTTTAAAATAATAAGTGAAAATATTATTCGAGACATAGAGACATTAGTAATGAAACTACTGGTTAACATTCTTAAATATTTTCTAAATTGAGAACAAATAAACCTCTAGGTTTTTTAATTATTAATTATTCTAGTTTACTTTCATGAGAAAAAATGACTTGACCTTGTAGTAATATCACTCATTTTAAATCTGAACGTAATATGTCTGAATCCTTGCAGTAACATGTAACTATGTATATCAACATATTCACTCTTAACAATACTTGAATTTACTTTGACTAATCAATATAAATTTTTTGTACCATTTCATAAATCTTCATCACAATTATTTAGGTTGTTCGGAAAGGTGTATATATATAAAAGAATGAGTATTATATAGCAATTTTTTTGGGTTAATTGCATGGTTGGTCACTGAGATTACAAAAAACGTTCATGTTTGGTCACTGCAAATATTTAAATCCAATCTTGGTCACTCAAATTAGTTAAATGGTTCAAGTTTGGTCACTCTCCGTCCAACTCCGTTAAATATGTCTGATGTGGCAGTCAACCCTCAAAGTTGACCGTTAACTCGGTGACGTGGCAATTAAAAAATAATAAATAAAATAAATTTTAATTTTCTACCATTTCCAACTCATTTTCACAATAAAGTAAAAAAAATGTCAAGGTTCTTCACATAATCTCTGCATATCTCATGCTTCCCACAAATCTACAAATTATTACCAAAAGAATTCTTCTTTTTTATCAGATTAGCTATGACCCCTTCTCTTTCTAGCAGAACGATCGAAGAGAACCCAAAACAAAAACAAAAAAGGGAAAGGGAAACCAAATCAGTCAAAAAGTAAATAACTTTCCCCTTCCACTGAAGCTAGCAAAGCAAGCTCTTATTAAGGGCTCTTACAGGCGTAAATCAGCAATGAGAATTCTAGTCTCTACTGTTGCTGCTGCTGATTTCTCCTTCTGCGCTAATTTCTCCTCCAGCCACAGCCTGCTGTCCAACCCACTCCTCGTTCGGAACATAAACACCGCCGCTGCAGCAGTCGTCGCCGTCGTTGCCGCCTGCTGAAGAACCAGTCATGTACATCCCACATTAGATCCACAAGCAACCCATCAACGAAAATCGTTTGGTTCCCTCTGAAATTCCACTGCAACCTCTTCACCCGAATCACAACCTTCTTATCGATGATGGAGAGAACAGGGTGGTGATGCCTCTGCTTCAGCCCTTCCTTCTCCCCCTCGCTGCCGCCGCCGCTGCATTTAATCAGGATATCGTGCTGGCCGCCGGTCTCGGAGAATCGAGCTTTAGTGGAATACAGAGTACTCCCGGAGCAATGCTCCTGCCTCGAAATCAAGCTGACTTTGGCGGCGGCCGGCGCCGCCCTCAGCAATTTCTTGGACAGAACGGCGGATTCGTCGGCCAGGTCGCCGAGGACGAGGGCAATTTCGGAATCGACCAAAACGATGACGTAGAACCCGTCGATGGGCTCCGGGCCGGAGTCGTAGCGGGCGGAGGAGAGATCCCAATAGACGTCGAATTTGGAATCAGGTCCGCCAACGTCGATCGAGCGGCTGCCCTTCTTCTTGCGGAAGAGGCCGGAGCTGGTGTTGAGCTTGAAGGTGGACGGGCCGTTGGAGATGGTGAGCCCTTGTTGGGTCGCGGATTGGAAGCGGGGCCATGTGATGGATAAGAGGAGGGGCTTCTTGTGGGAGGAGAGGCTGATTCGGTAGAGGGAAGAGACGGCGTTCTGTATGAAAGGAGTCGCCGCCGCGGAGGGAGAGGCCGAGGAGGTCAGGAGGAGGAAGAAGAAGCGGCAGCGGTGACTAGGGAGGAGACGACGACGGCGGCGGAGGAGGAGCAGGAGAAGGAGTACTGATTGTGGGGTTGTTGGGTAGCCACGTTAATGGCGTTCTCGCTGAAACAGGACACGAAGTCTCTCATCGTTGTAGAGGGGAATGAAACTGTGGGATTGGGTTTTTGGTTTCAATGTGGTGTTGAGGTTTGGTGAGAGAGAGAGAATGTGAGATTTTTTTTATTTTACTTTATTGTGAAAATGAGTTGGAAATGGTAGAAGATTAAAATTTATTTTATTTATTATTTTTTAATTGCCACGTCACCGAGTTAATGGTCAACTTTGAGGGTTGACTGCCACATCAGACATATTTAACGGAGTTGGACGGAGAGTGACCAAACTTGAACCATTTAACTAATTTGAGTGACCAAGATTGGATTTAAATATTTTCAGTGACCAAACATGAACGTTTTTTGTAATCTCAGTGACCAACCATGCAATTAACCCCAATTTTTTTTATCAAACTAGATTTGTGCTCGGACCATTGGCCGATTAGATTTAGATACTAAATCTTAAAAATCTCTTAAGTTTAACTACCAAACCGTAGTTTGCATATGGATATACGCACAAACCCTAATTCATGGGTTAAAAACTCAACTCAACCCAAATTAATGGGTATGAGTTAGGGGAAAACCACTGTCCCTAACAACAATCACTTGATCTCGACAATATTGCATTGCATTAAGGAAAATGAATTTCATTAAGTTGAAAATTAAAGATGTTAAAAAGTAAAAACCAAGACTCATCCATCCCACCATCACCCTAACATATATATACAATATATGGAGGATCCAAATGTCCTAGTGATGATTTGGACAACATGTATATATTTAAGCCATACCACCTCCTTTCATGACATTCTCAACTATAGAAAAAAATTACTCCAAATCAAACACACATTCGCTTACCAAACTATCTAGTAATCTAAACCAAACCAAACCCTCTACGCATCAATAATGATATAATTAAGCTATAGTAGCTCCCAAATTCCATCTAACCCTACATCTCTATTGATCATGATATCTCATTCCTCCAATTTTTCAAATCCCCCAAAAAATAAATAATCAAAAGGACACTTGTCACCACCACTTATATTTATAAGTTAGTTCAACTACTATTATATGACTCCTCCTTCCTAAACAAAAAGAACCCCCAAATGTCAAATGACAAACCAAACTTCTCCAATAAACCCTCTTCTTCCCTTCTCTCCCTCTCCACCCCAAAAAATGGCCACCACCACCACCACCACAACCGACGATTTCAGCTTCCCCACCACCGCCGATGCCTCCTCCACCGCGGCCGACGCGGCCGGCTTCGACTCCCCACCTCTCTGGCGGCTCTCCCCCGCCGCCTCTCCATCTCCCTCTCCAATACATCCTCAATCATCGCCGCCGCCCATCCATCGAAGGAGCTTTTCCCATGCGGCCGAGTACACCAAAGCCCGCCATGAGAACTTCAATCACGATGGTCAAGATGGAGGGCAGACAAACATGGATATGTTGTGGGAAGACTTCAACGAGGAGCTATCGACGGCGGCGGCGAGCAGATCCAAGCCTAGGGTGTACCCTGTGCGCGGCCACAGGGGATTATTACTGTCACCGCCACGTCAGATTAGCGTAATTAATGCTACGAAGCAAGGCGGCAGCGTGGACGTGGGCTGCGGTGAAGGCCGGCTGCGGCTGTCTCCGAAACGGCGTAGTATTAGTAGTAGTGGTGGTGGTAATAATACTCGGACAACTACTGTTCCTTCCCCGATGATCGGCGGCGGCTCGGCGAGGTTGGTGAACAGTGGTGGTGGTAGTAGTAGTGGGAAGCCGGGGTTTGTGGTGCTGATCAAGGTGTTGAAGAGACTGTTCTTGCTTCACCACCACCACCACCATAGCGGTGGCGGATCACGGAGGGCGTCGCCGCCGGTCAAGGTTAAGATCAACCGGTCGACATGGTGATGTTGTTATGATTTAATTTAAATATAAGTGATAATGACATTTTGGTTTTTGGGTTTTCGTTTTCGTATGTGTGTATTAATTATTTAGTGCTACGTGTATATACGTACGTGTTTTTATGATGCCGACGAATATAATCAATGTTCGCCCCCACCGCCGGCCGGCGGAATAGATTCTTGAGTTCACATTTTCTCTACTCGTCACGCATGATGATTGATTTTGTTCTTCTTAGCTAGCTAGATTCTCTGGTTCACATTCTCATCATAGATTTATGTTTAGTTAAATCTTAAAATATTTTGAACTTAAAGTATTTTTACATGTTACAACGTACGTATTCATCCATAAAAGAGACTATGTAACCAGACATTTATTGGTATAAGCGTAGCGAGAGGGCTAGTCATTACTGTCGACGGTGGATGTCTAGTTAATAAAAAAAAGATTGTGGGATGGTGAAGGAGCATCTTTAGAACCTGCTGGTTTTATTTAATCCAATCTTGTATTATCTTTTGATAATCGATCACAAGTTCGCTTTAATTACTGTTATTGACTCGGGATGTATTATGGTATAGCTACAATTTTTGAGTTACCACCAAGAGGATGTAGTTAGGGGTAAAACTGGACCAAACTCAGGCCTAACTTTGTTACTACTCTAAAAAATTCGATCCTATAGAGTCAAGCATCCAACCTGCTACGGTCCGACCCTATTCTCTTTAGACTTGACCTGTACGAGTAGGGCTGGGTAGGAACGGGCCGGGTCGGGCTACATGATCAAGATCAACCCACTTTTGACCCATTCAACACTTCTACTTGGCATTTGCATCTCACTCTATTTCAAATAAAATAAAATTTCAAAAACTTCGAATTAAATTCCAGTAATTCATATTAGATATAAAAAAATTAAAATAACCCAAAAAAAATTCCAGTTAATTCCAAAAAAAAAAAACTATACAATTCTTGTATCTGATATGATTGCACAAACACATGTAGATGGTGTTCCACAAAAGAAGTAGGGTTCATATTCCTGTTTGCAAGTTCCAAACAGTTTGCTCTGTTTATAGTATACTTTTCCACGAAGTGATTGCACCTATAAAGATAAGACAAACAAATTAACTGTACCTTCAATTCTCGAGTGGTGTCCAACAACTATGGGTTGAGATGTTCCTGTTGTAGATGTGATATGATTGTTTCTTTCACAGATTGATCCGGCTGGTAATTAGGTCTAGAAATGGATTGAAATGCATGTGCATGGAATCTGGTCCAAACAAGTCAATAGATTGATGGGAAACCGAACTGGAGAATACTCATATAGAAATGACAGTGTGGTTGGTTTTCTTAAAACAATCCGCATCTTTGTTTTCAAATGCTCAAATCTATACTCAGCCCGTACTCATGAGGATGAAGGTTTTGCGTTCTCATCTCCATACCCATAGTTTACGAGCGCTTGTTGATAATACCCTCCCCGTACTTCCAATTTTACTATTTATCGAAAATTCAACATATAGATATTGTATTACAACACTAAATGAACCTAATAAATCATGAAATCAACAAGATACAACAGTTTTAATACTAATTCAACATAATCAGATTCTCATTCATCCATTAGAAAAAATACAGTATTATCAAAATTATTCATCTACCATTCTGACACATTTACTAAGCAATAAATAACTAACGTAATTTTGTAAAAAAAAAAAAATGAGAAAGGAGAGAAGAAATGACGGGAGAATTGAGAAAAATAACCTCAGTCTTTAGTTTTTTCTTCTTTTTGTTGACATGTTACAATATGATATTTCTTTTTGTAATAGATGGGAAAAAAATACTATTGATGCTGCAAATGTGAAGACGGGCCGTGAAAGTCTAAAACCATACCCACTCTATTTTCATCAAAATTTTGTTGATTTTACCCTTAACCAGTCAATGAGTAGATTTCCGGTATTGACCGGATCGAAAACACTCGGTACCCACAATTGCGAGGTTGATTGCCATCAATATTTGTCCATTGTAAATGTGAAATCACGGTCCATAAGGCTACCAGGCCCAGGCCCAGGCCCAGGCCCAGACTCAGGCCTCAGAGTCCAACATGACAATCAAAGTTCATACACAGATAGTCGCTGCATTATTCTCCTTGGATGATGCCACGTGGAAGCCAAAATTTTGCCTCCAAAAACAAGGGCCAAGTTAGTAGAACGAAACATTTCTGCGCCACAATTTGGTCGTTTTACTAGTCTGCTTCAGCTCGCGGTGATGTCCCGACTGACCACCCGCGCGTGGCTGATCTCCATCAGAACCCTCACCACGACGTGCATCCCGCCATCGACCACCTTACCTCAAGAACTCAGCAACCTTCGCGTCAGGGTCCGCGTGATCGCCACGCGGAGCGACGTCAGAGAACTGGTCTCTCGATTCTGCGACATCTCCCCGCCGCCTCCAATCAGCTACTCCGAACACATCTACACCGCCCTCTTCCAAGCTTGCGCCGGCCATGGCTGCCTACAAGAAGGCCGATACTTGCACCGTCACATGGTTTCCAGCCATCTCGATTACCGCCCTGATGTATTCCTCTCGAACCACCTCCTCAACATGTACGCCAAGTGCGGCGACTTGGAGAATGCGGGGAAGCTGTTCGACGAAATGCCCCAAAGAAACACCGTCTCCTGGACCACGCTGATTTCTGGGTACGCGCAGCGTGGCCGAGGGGAAGAATGCTTCTCCTTGTTTTCGGACATGATGGCTGCGGCTGATTGCCGCCCCAATGAGTTTGCTTTCTCGAGCGTCCTGGCCTGCTGCGAGGACGCTCACGGCGGGAAGCAAATACACAGTCTTGCATTGAAGCTGGCTTTAGATTTTAGCGCTTATGTGGGAAATGCTCTCATTACCATGTACAGCAAGGTTGCGGATTGCGGAGAAGCTTGGAGGGTGTTCGAGAGAATGGGGTTTCGAAATCGTGTGTCCTGGAATTCCATGATTGCAGGGTTCCATGGCAGGAAGCTATGGGGGAAAGCTGTTGCTCTGTTTAATGAAATGCATAGAGATGGAGTTGGGTTCGATCGTGCAGCATTGCTTAGTGTCATTGGTTCGTTGAGCGACTGCAATGTTGATTCGGGTATTAGCCATTGTAACCAGGTGCATTGCCTTGGTATCAAGACGGGGATCGTCTCTGAAATTGAGGTAGCAACTTCTTTACTAAAAGCTTACTCTTCACTCGGAGGAGACCCTTCTGAATGCTTTAGACTCTTCACTGAAATGGATGGCCGACGAGATATCATTTCGTGGACGAGCATCATAACCGCTTTTGCAGAAGATAAACCAGAAGAAGCATTCTTCCTCTTCAGGCAACTCCACAGGGATGAGGCATTCTCGCCAGATTGGTTCACGTTTTCCTCAATCCTTAAAGCCTGTGCAGGACTAGTGACTGATAACTACGCTTCATCGATTCACTCGCTGGTGATCAGAACTGGGTTTGACTCCGACACTGTGCTTGCAAACTCTTTGATCCATGCCTATGCAAGGTGTGGGGTCATTGCTTCATCGAAGCAAGTTTTTGACGAGATGAAGTACTGCCGTGATGTGGTTTCTTGGAACTCGATGCTAAAGGCTTATGCTTTGCACGGTGGTGGGCAAGAGGCATTCGATCTCTTCTCGGAGATGGATGTTCCACCTGATTCTGCCACGTTTGTATCTTTGCTCTCAGCTTGCAGCCATGTGGGAATGGTGGAGAAAGGGACTCAGATCTTCAACTCAATGTCTGAAATTCATGGTGTTTCCCCGCAGCTTGACCACTACGCCTGCATGGTTGATATCCTTGGTCGAGCTGGTCGTCTTTCTGAAGCAACGGAGCTAATCACCAGCATACCAATGGAGCCTGATTCTGTCATTTGGAGTTCACTGCTTGGTTCATGTAGAAAGCACAACAACACAGAGTTGGCCAAGTTGGCTGCTGATCGACTAACCAAGCTTGATCCTGAGAATTCATTAGGCTATGTACAAATGTCGAACATATTTTCCCTAGATGGTAGTTACAAAGAAGCAGGGTTAATTAGGAAGGAAATGAAGGGCTCGAGGGTACTGAAGGAGCCCGGATTGAGCTGGATGGAGATCGGAAACCAGGTGCATGAGTTTGCCTCTGGAGGAAGGCGCCATCCTGATAGAGAGGCCATATACGGAAAGCTCAATTCCCTCGTTGCAGAACTGAGAGCAAAAGGTTACGTGGCTGACACTAGCTTGTCGTTTCATGATATCGAGGAAGAGCACAAGGAGCAGCAACTGTATTACCACAGTGAGAAGCTAGCTCTGGCTTTTGCTTTGGTGAAAGGCGAAGAGAATTCATGTGCGGGGAGTAGGAAGAGCGGTGTGATAAGGATAATGAAGAACATTCGTATTTGTGTCGACTGTCACAGCTTCATGAAGTTGGCATCAGGGGTACTTGAGAGGGAGATTGTTGTGAGAGATTCGAACCGGTTCCACCATTTCAGGGATGGCGAGTGCTCTTGCAGTGACTACTGGTAAACAAGCATTCTGGAGAAGAGAACTCAACTGAATCGAATGCAGCGAATTGGTCATCAAGTCGATTAGATGAAGCATGGGCGTTTTATCTCTTTCAAATCCGCAACAGTCCAGGATTCAAGCGAATTGGCTAGCTCTGAGGCCTTCCTAGTGCATTGTGAGTACAATTTCAGTCATCTTGTATTCTTGTTTATGTTGGTTCCTTTTTTCGACAAATCACTAATTAGCTTCATTTTTAATGTGCAGCGTGCTTTAGCCATCACAGAAGCTAGCATCCGGGCTTTGCTCCATTGCTCCAAGGCCGGTTTTGTTTGATTGGCACAACAACCAGTGTGAAGATAGTAAACTTTTGCATGGATCTAGCCGGTAAGCTTCCTCAACAAATTGAATACAAGAGTGATAATAGTTCATATTAATCGGCGTGGAAGGGTGATTGATTCTTGTACACGCATGGTTTTTATTTTCTGAAATCAATGGACATAGACATTGTTGAGCAAAACCAGGAGGGTATAGGAATACTCCCCTGTAATGAAACAAGACACATAATCATCTCCTAGTGGAAGATCTAATGTTTGATTAGGAACATATAAGCTATAATTAACACAAATATCAAGGTTTAACACAAATGTTAAAGTTGAACTGAATCTGAGCTGGAACGAAAAAATATATTTGAGATATTCCTATGAATTTAGTACTCTTAAGTTTATGGGTTTAATTATGGGGTGGATGATGTTGACAAGGTTGAAAGTTTGCTAATCATCGCAAATCCTATCTTCTTTCAAAAAAATTGTTCGACATTATCTCGATACATTTTTGGGTTTGGTGAGTCATGTGGAGGCTCATCCAGAGACATTCATCCACCACCCACTATGCCCCCACCACCACCATGGGTCAAATACTACACACCACACCAACAAATACCGGACTTCGGGTTAGCTGACAAGTTGATCACTAAATTTCGATCTGTGAAAATTTTATCAGTGAAGTTTCGGATTGCTCTCTTGCAGCGCGATTGGAATTTTCGATAGAAATCAGTATACACTAGTTCGTTCAATTTCACGAAAGCAAAAGTCAGGTTGAACATAACATGCAGATAAGTCTAAGTATCAACATTGTTGGATTATTCTTCCTGCTACAGTCATCAATTGTTATATGCGATATATAGACAATTTTTGTAAATAATGCTTTCAGGTACATCCAACGTGTGAGATTCACGGGACTTATGATCCAACGACATCTACTTTTACCAGAGATCGAATGTAAAAATTTCATTGAATTCGAGCTATCTTGTTTTTTTTAACGGATCACCTTAGCCACTAAAATTTAGTCAAACTTGGTCCATCATGGCTTCTAATAACATCAACCGGTATTAAATGTATGTAATATCCCCAAAACAGATCCACGGATATGGACCTTAAGGAAAGGGATTAATGGAGTAAGCCTTTATTTCTTTGACCTAATATATATATATACAATAATAAAGGTAGCTCCATTAAACTAATGGTTACTCAACTCTCTCTAACACAACTACACAAGAGATTGTTATGCCAATCAAAATATTACAAATTTAGACTTTTTTTTCATTTTTATTTATACAATTGATAATATTTTTTTTCGTATCCATTATAAAATTATAATACAAGTCCTAAAAGAATATGAATGCTTTTGGGACTTGTATTGTGAATCAATTAAGGTCCACAGAGCTAGAATACAGTCATTTAATAATTCGTAAAAATTTAGTAAGACAATATTTTAAATGATAAAGACAATGATCTACTAAAAATTGATGATACAATACATATAGGTAAACCAAACTTTCAACTCGAAACATGACACACGATTCAATACGTTAACGAATATACTGTATAACCGATTTATAGAATGAGATGAAATATAAAAAAACAAAACATCTATAAACAATCTTTTTAACCTCATCTAGCAAAGTAATATGACAACATTATACTCATCAAAACAAGTATATGACATCACTTCTATAAAATAAAAGTAGTGCGCGAAATTAAAATATCCTCAAACATAGAAAATAATTAATAAATAAAATTCGGATATTCTTCCTTTCTCTCCTCCTCTCTCTTCGCCACTTCCCGTTCCAGAACTCGCTGGACGCTGATTGAGAATTTGAGATTTCTTTCCTAGCTTCCCCTGAAAATTTTCTAGGAAAAGGCAGAAACTGGAAAGACAAGAGGCCTAAGTATCTCTTCGATTGGAGAAAAAGGGGTGAAAGTGAAGAAAAAAGCTTCAAATCGGAGTCGGGAAAACGGGAAGATTCAGATACTCTCTGTCTCCTTGTTCGCCGTCTCTCTGGTTCCTTCCATCCGTAAATGGAAGCTGACGTCTCTATCCTCTATCGAATCTAAACCCTAGCTTCTTCTTACTTCTTCTTCCTCCTCTTCCCTTCCTTCTTTCCTCCCTCTCTGCCCCTCTCTCTCGATCAACGAAATTTCAGGTGTTCTGGTGTTCGATTTTCCAGCTAGCGATGGAGAAACGAGTAGTCATAGGGCTTCTATTGTTTTCTTTCTTAACCTGTTGTTGTTCAATGACTTCGGCGAGTGTGGTTCTGATGGGGAATAACGTCACCATGTCTTTCGATGACATTGAAGCTAATTTCGGTGAGTGCTTTCTGCTTTCCCCCACCCTTTCGAATTCAACGTTTGGTTGCCGAGAAACTGATCCTGAATCTTTTTCTGTGAAATGGGTTATTGAAATTCTGCGTCTTTATTTGTTTGTTGGGTGATTTGCAGCTCCGCCGGTGAAGGGTTCGGGCGAATGCGGAGTGTTGTATGTAGCAGAGCCTCTTGATGCCTGTTCAGATTTGACTAATAAAGTGGTAAACGCTTCGAATTCCAGCTCACCGTTTGTGCTGATGATAAGAGGAGGATGCAGCTTCGAAGATAAAGTCAGGAGAGCACAGAAAGCTGGGTTCCATGCTGCAATTGTCTACGATGATGAAGACAGTGGTTTATTGGTAGCAAGTAATAACTTTTTGCCTCTGTTGAAATTTTAATCGTCTGAAAAGTTCCACCTTTTCTTATGTTCTAGTGTGAGTTTAACTATATATAGTTGTTAGATATAGAATTCTTGGTGATGAGTGTCCTAGTTTATGAAATGCTTGCTTGAGAAGATCACATCCTTGCTCAAGCTAGCCTAGGAGCTTGATCTTCAAGCTTCAGCTTCACCTGTTTATTTTCCGCAATTGATAAATAAACTCTTTATTGGTTGCCAGGTTCAGTTTCCTTGTCATCCAAACGTAATTCTAGTTTTAAAACCGCATCTTTGATTAAGATTTTGTGTGTTATTTCTTGAAGCTCTATGACTGATAGATAAGAGTTGTAGTATATGGCACGTTTGACTTCGCTAACTTACTTGATAATGATATGCATAAGCATCTTAGGGCATTGGTAGAATTGGAGAAAATGTAGCATGTTATTTTGTTCTGTGATTTCTTACTCTCCATCTAGACTTTCACCTTTTCCTTGTCAGTTCCTGATCGTTTGGTCTTGCAAAATTTGAAGTGGCAGGGAACTCGGCTGGCATAAGCATACATGCTGTCTTTGTTGCAAAGTCTGCAGGCGAAACACTAAAGAAGTATGCTGGGTGGACTGACATGGAGATATGGATAATTCCAAGCTATGAGAATTCAGCATGGTCTATCATGGCAATCTCTTTCATATCTTTGTTGGCCATGTCAGCAGTTTTAGCCACTTGTTTCTTTGTCCGGAGGCATCGCATAAGAAGAGAACGTCCTCGGTCTTCTCGTGTTAGGGAATTCCACGGGATGAGCAAGCGCCTAGTGAAAGCAATGCCAAGCCTCATCTTTAGTTCTGCTGTTCAGGAGGATAATTGTACTTCAAGAACTTGTGCCATTTGCCTTGAAGATTACAGTGTCGGGGAAAAGCTCCGGCTTCTGCCTTGTCGACACAGTAAGTTTTTTATTTACCTTTCTAATTCCATCTTCTGTATTCTTCTATGCCAGATTTATTAGGCTCTATAAATTTACTCTTTACTGTTCTGCATGGAGTAATGCATGAAAAATAAAAGGTTTAGCTGTGCCATATGGGAATTCGCTCTCACTATTGGCCAAGGTGGATCTAGTGCAGTTAGGGAGATCCTACTAGTCAGTTTAAGGGAATGTTCCAGTAGACAATTCATTTGCTACTCAAGTCAAGATACTGAGTAGATGGAACTGGCTGATTGCCAACTGATTAGTAGGCTTTTCTTGTGTAGGGTTTGTAATCAAAATTGCTTGACATTTCAGATCTACTTGCACTTATGGGAAAGTGCAAGTAGATGCCCTCATTGCATGGAGATCATGTTAATTACTAGTACTTCCATTTAATTAACTTTGTTGTCCACTATGACCGAAATGCCTTTTCCCTAATTTCCATTTTGTGGATTTTGCAGAGTTCCATGCTTTCTGTGTCGATTCTTGGCTTACATCATGGAGAACGTTCTGTCCCGTGTGCAAGAGAGATGCAAGGACGAGCACAGGGGAGCCACCAGCATCTGAATCCACACCATTGCTCTCATCAAACCCATCTTCAGTAGCTTCCTCTTCTATTCTATCATCCTTTAGATCGACAACATCGTCAGCTATAAGAATTGGTCAGCCATCTCGGTCCCCTTCAGTTTCTCATTTCCCCTCGTACTCCGGTGGCACCCCTTATGCCCATCAGTCCTCCATTGGTTCGTGCCATCAATCATCATATTCCCTAAGCATGAGCCGAAGCAATGCTGACCTAAGGAACATGTCTTCACATCGATCTCAAGCTTCACATTTGATTTCTCCCTATGGTTACCCTTCCATGTCACCCCTGAACACGACGCGCTACACGTCTGTATACAACCCAAGTCCAAGCAATGCCTCACCGAGCTTAGTGGGATCCACGAGTTATCAGCCTCGTCCTCTACATTGTAGTGAGTCTAATGCGAGCTTCTCCCCGTTTGCTTCTACCCATTCCCTTCCTGACTGTTGAAAGCCAGATTTTGGAACTTTGTTCGACCTTGTCGCGCTGTATGAGGAAGTTAACCATGTCGGTGCATCTTCTCAACCTCATATGTTATTCATCAACGGTGTGTTCGCTTTTCCTTCAAAAAAGCCCTCTTCCTCTGGTTGTAAATTATAGATGGGAATGGAATGGTTGATTTTATTTGTAAGAGGTTTCCATAGGGAGAGTTTGACCAAGAGTGTTTCTGGAATAGAGGCAACAGGGAGAATATATGATCTTAACCATGGATCTGGCTTTTGGGTGCTGTTTTTCATGGTGTGTCTCTTTTCTGGGTGAAATTGATGTTCTTCCTTCCTGTAAAGTGAATGGAGTGACCAAGTGTTTCATTTGACAGTCAATACCCTTGGACTGGATGTGAATGGATAGATGATTTAATCTCTCTTAACAGTAAGAGTATTTGTGGTATAGTTTGTAGAAGGAGCCAGGGAGGTAGAAGAAAAGGCCAAGGGTGTGTCAGTCTGTCTCAATTGCAATCGTATAAGCATTTACAAAATCAGACTAATAGAAACTTATATACCTGCAAGCAAAGAGAATGGTGTCTTATTACTTGATCTGTATATCTAAGGCTACTGGCCTTGCTTCCTACTGAAGCAATATGATGCATAAATAGGTCTTCTGAAGCAGCAATGGTGAATGACATTTCATCTCTGATCAAACTCCCAACACGCAGTAGTCATGCCCCATGGACATGGAACAGCGGCAGCCTCTTTCCAGGATTATGAAACACCGGAAGTCGACGAGTGGGATGGTCTCTCGTCAACCGTTTCCAGGACTACACTTCTTCTCATCATCTTCGGTTGTCTGGTAATCTCGGTGGCACTGTACGTGTTGATCAAGCGCTGCATTTTCGGCGACCACCACCACCACCACCACCACCATCAAGATGTCGAGGCTGCTGCTGAGGAAGGTCAGGTCGCAACAGCGATAGAAATGCCATCGCTGCCAGAGCGAAGATACGGGGAAGTGGCTGTGGCAGAGGCGAGTCTGGGAGCGATCAACGATGGCAGTTGCTGCATTTGCCTCGAGCAGTATGCTGACGAAGATCTGGTGACAGTCCTACATGGATGTCATCACTTGTTCCATCAGCATTGCATCCGCGATTGGGCGCACGAGTGCAGCCGAGCAGCGCGGTCGTGTAAGTGTCCACTGTGTGGGCAGCTCGTTTTTCCAGAGGTTTAGCCGTTTAGGTGTTTCTTGATCTGTTGTTTCTGTGGTGAATAAAAATTAACTGGTCCTGATCTTGTAGTTTGGGTGTATATATTTTGTTTTAAACTAAAAGACTTGATTAGCTTCATTCAATGCATAATATGAGATATTTGCGAATTTCTTGATGCTTTCATGATGCTTTTACATGTCATTCCACTTGTCCTAGGAAGGCTAATAGCATGTCATTCCAACGATGTAGTATCAGGGTTCGACGTTCTCTGCTCCGAGACAAACCGTTGCACATTTTCTAATGTCCCTATCGCGTACTTATGAATCAAATCTTTTTTGGCCCACAATAGAATAATTAGTAACATGCTATTAGCCTATTACATTATTTGGTTGTAGAGTATGTACATCACCTAGCTACCACCAAAGAGAATAAGGCGACTCAAGTCTTCTTTAACATCTCCTTCGTCGATTATCTGATATCTCTTGCTACTTTGATAAGTTTTACATGACGGAGGATTATAATCATCTTCGTGCAATTCATCTATTAGGTTGACCAGCCTACCGTAGCAATCGAATCGAAGTTTTTGCATAGGCTTGTAGCCGGCGCCCATCTGCGGCGGAGTCATGTTCGGCGGGCTATAAACTTCTCCTCCCCATTCTACATAATTTGCCGAATCTGCCAAGCTTGTGAATATTCTTTGCGGCCAAGACCCAACGGTAAAATTGTTAGGTCCCAGCTGAAGAAACCAGTCTCCATTTATAGCATCCTTCCAAAATACAATAAATCATCTTAGTCCAATTAATTTTCCAAGAAATCAAGAAATTGGAAACATAAAAAAAATGAAGAAAGAGCAAGAGAATTGTCATTTTACCTTGCGGATATGGAACTTCAACTCCATCATCTTTATCCCAGGCCTAGAATATGGTTTCAGTAGCAAATCTAGAGGTATCGCCGGGGACATGATTAGAAAGCCAGGACAGTAGGTATTATAACAATGCGAGTCCTTGGTCTGAAAACCATAAAGATCAAGATGAAGCAATAATTATATAATTAGATTTACTATCTATTGTAGTATTGAAATTAGGCCTTCAAGTTTGGTTCGGTTTTTTTCCGGTTAATCGAAAAACGAATCGACAGTCTAATCTTATTGGGTTGTGCTATCGGGTTGGAGAAGAATTGGCTATATAGGTTTCGGTTTGGAACAAACTGAAAAAGCATTTCAAAAAACGGAAAACTGACTTAGGCATATAGGGTTTCAAATTACTAAGCTAGAATTTTTGTAGCCTTACTTTCTATTAGTTTATAAATTAATCTAACCTAAAACGAAACCGTTAAAGACTTATGGTTTTTCGTTAGCCAAAAATTGTTAAGTCCCTTACCGATTTTGATTTCAGTTTTGGGGAAAATACTTATTTCGGGTTTTGGTTCGGTTAATTGAACCTCCAAACCAACACCCATAATTGAAATGTGTCTTATTTCCTTTTGAATTATGAAGACTCAAAAGTTTTGTTTCCATACTTCATCGGTTAATATTGTTTTTATTTGGTGAGAAGATATTAATAAACCCGTTTCAAGATTTTAACCTAAATATGTATCGCAAGTTCAAAACAACACTTACAATTGTATATATGAAAAGATGAGTTTCATTGTCTGGATATAAGCTTGGATTAACCTGCACATGATAAAAAGATGATCATGCATCGGGGAAATTTATATACATTTTTACCTTCATACTTATATTCATATTCAAATGAGGATCACAAGATGTAGAGTTATCCAAACTTACCGTCCATCCAACAGCAATACTATCTGGATAGTTTTCACATTTAAAATGACTGGAGCTATATTGTGAACTTTGAACTGCAGGATGATATACAGCTCCAATCATTCCACCTCCATAGTACTTCTTGTTTTTAGTTGTCCTCAAAACGGCAACCTGCCATACAAATTTGCTTTTAGTTGTGCAGGAACATAAATGTATGACTAGATAAAGGAAGAGAACTAAAAAATAATATTTAACAATAATTTGCGCACATAACTTACTTCAACACCTGGATTTAGATTGTCGGAATTTGTATAGGCTAATTCACTAGCCGAATTTGCTCTAATAAGGTCTTCTTTTGTGATTCTTTTAATTGGAACGGTATTGGTTGGACATCCTTTTCCATTTATCCAAATATCAAATGGATTAATATAAGATGCGTCACTATATGTTCTTGGATTTAACCGATGATTATTTGACATCATCTGCATCCATATCAAAGAAAGATCATAACATATCCTTCTCTCAATTGCTATTAAAAATTGTTTAGGTAGTACTTGTAATTATAACCACAAAACTATGATATCAAATAGTATTGATCTTTTTATGCGATGATCTTTTTAGTGTCATAATAGATTGATATCAAAATTATTTTCACATAATTTCATAACCACATTTGCAAATGACGTCGAAATACAATTTTTTTAAGATATGTAGCACCATAAATTGGAAAAAATTCCCATGAAACAAAATGCAGTTAGTATATACAAAAGATCTTGTACCTGATACTCATACTTATGTTCCTTCAATAGAGGATGATCAAAAGCAGGTTGTTGATAAAAATCAACACAATCATATTCCTCGCCGTATTTCGTCTGTTTGGAAATCATCCAATTAAACAAAAGAAAGAGAATTGAACAACTGAATTAAACTTTCGCAAACGCAAAATTACACACAACTTCATCATCTCACCTGAATAGTTGTGACAGAAGGCTTATTTAGAAGCTCTAGTTGTCTTTCCAACTCTTGATCGGATAATTCATATCCTGAAATTACATAATAATGGCCTAATGCCACAAATGACCACCAAAACAAGATTATTGAAACACTAGTCCTTGCAACCATGATCATCTTACACTCCTAATTCCCTGCACAAGAAGAACATCCTAAGAATTAACAATCATGTTTAAATAAACCATTGAAATTCAAAGGAAAATCTACACTTGCCTTTGTCTTTTGAATTCTCTCTAATGCTAGAATTTTATAAACCCACATGACTTTCATCAGTTAATATATAGATGGGTAGGTAGAAGTGTGAGGACCGCATAATGGAAAAAGAATGAATTAAAGTTGACTACCTATAATATGAAGGCAACTCCATAAATTAATAACAAAAAGTGGATTTCTATATAGGGAAACTAAATCTGTAATTATTAATGTTCCTTAATCGTGATGTATATGTTTTCAGGGAAAAGATAGTATAAAAATAAATCAATAGGAAAAGAGGATTGATAGTATAAAAATAAATCATCATTTGAGACATAGAGGCTTGTACACCAACACCTCCCCCCAATCCACACACACCTATACACGCTAGGGTTGAGCACGTAGATGGTTAATCCGTGGATTGATATCGATCCACCCGCAAATAATCCGACCCGCAAGTAGTGGGTGATTGATGTGGGTGGATTGCGGATTGATAAATCTCTCACCCGCACTTATGTGGGTGGGTGGTAGGTGGGTTGCGTGTCACCCGTCTAACCCACATCGCATTTTCACATGAAAAAATGTTGTTTCTTATAGTGTCGAATATTCGTCATATTTTTGAACCGCACTACAGTTTGACCATATACTTCAAAAGATGCAAAATAAAAAATAGTTTCTGTTGTGCAATATCCATTGTATATAGGATATTGAGATGCAAATTATTGTTAATATCCAATAAATATTGGGATGCAAACTATAAATTATTAATTGTATCAAAATCACAAAATGCGTAAGTTTTCTTTTCACAATTGGTTGATAGAGTAGTAAGATTTTTATGCAAATACTACATGGATTCACTTGAGACAAATTGAGAAGTGTCTAAATTGATACAGTCTTACTAATTTGCTATGAACTTATTATAAATGTTAGTTAACTTTCTTAATAGCTAGTTGGAGAATTGCTTTGCGGGTTGACCCGTGATCCAACCGCACATATCCGCCACCCACCCAACCCAACTCGCAGAAGAATGTGGGTGGATTGCGGGTCACAATTATTCCAACTCGCTAGTAAGTGGGTGAGTCAATTTGAGACCAAAATCCACCCAACCCGCGCATTGCCCACCCCTTATACACGCCTAATAATGATGCCTACTACACAAGAGTAATTTCCTATCACTCATAATAGTAGTATAAATAATACATATAGTAATGCATCATAGAAAGATAACAAACATACAAAGACTAGACTATCGATCCTCTAAACCAAATAATCGATGCTATAGGGCATCTCATTATATCACAAAAAGCGATATATCACACATTATAGAATCAACATCCCAAACAGTAGTTAGGTAGCCATATGAAATAAGGATGAATGCATTGATGGTGGACTCATTCTCTCCTTAATATGATAGAGCTTCAGCTATTTCTGAATGTAAAAGTTGATTTCTAACTAAAGTCAAAGCACCTCTATATAGTATAAGAGAAGGAGTACACTGGGGTATTTCCTCCTAAACTCGACCATAAGCTTCCTAACACCTCTAGGACTCAGATTCTCTGACTTGGGGTCGAAGTAAGGCCTTCTGGACCTTCATTTGGGTTTGGGCCATGATCGGGCTGGGTGGCGGTAGGAACCGCCTCTTATTTTCTTTGTGGGCCAGACTCCTTGTTCCATGGACAACCTCTCTGAAGATTTGATCACGATTTGTCCAGTTTTCCATGGGTGACGGTTGGACTCGATGTTGTGCCGCCACTTGTTCTTGCTTTTGTTTGGACCGAGTCTTCCTCCATTGGGCTTCTCTTAGGCTCTATTCGTGGTTACTAGTAGGCCTCTCCGTCATTGGACTTCATCTTTGTCATGAAAGATCATTAATCTTCTCTGTTTACTCCCTTTGGTGCTCAAGTGTTGTACAATGCTTGCTCCAAATCCTTTTACGTCATTTTATACATTGAAAACCATAAAAAAACATACTAAGAAGGCATTAAAGAGTAAAAAAAAAAAACATATCCCAGGTCTATTGAAGGCTCATTAATCAAATAGTTATGATTTAGATATGAAAGAAAGTACTGAATATGCATTATTATGAGGGGAAAATGTATCAAATATGAGAGTGATAAACACTATAAACAGAGTGCCATCAATATGATATAATATAAAACATATTCAAACTACACCTTACAAGATGGGTCATCAACATACCCCTGGTATGACAATTAGGGGGTCTATCAGTGTAGCCTCTTTAGTGCAATAAGGTAGGATAAAAAATGGCCAAGTATCGAGGAGACGAGGGAGATAAGTGTAACATGGTGACAAACAAAAATTTGACTAAGTGTTAATACCACTCTTATGTGATGAGGGGATCATCAACAAACCCCCTAGTGTGATGAGGACTGAGAGGATTGTCATCGACATATCCCCCCTGATGTGATGAGGAGGGGGCATCAACAATACTCCTAGCGTGGCAAGAGTGATCCCGTGGAACGTGCAATAGGGCCACCCCCGTTCCCAAGATCATAAGTGGTGAATTATTTTTGTCATTTAGAGCCATGTGATCTAAACACCCACCCATATGTGACAAGTGGATTTTCATGCCTTACTGTTTATCTCAGTTGACAAGCAACGCTAAGGAGGAGTTACTAAGTGGAGGAGGGAAAAGATTGAGGTGGAGACACTACCACTACCCGGCTAGCATTAGAGTAGTTGGGGAGTAACTGCCACTCCACGTCAGTAGAGTGGTCTTATTTCAAGATAATTACTTCTTGTGGCAATAACTAGGAGGTGAAGATAACTGATTATGTGCTCTAAAAAATCACAACTCGACATCACTTGTCAAGTTAACCATTTTTTCTCTAAAAATTATCAATCGTCGTAATTATGGGGCTCTCAGTAAACCTCTACAAAAAAGAGTTAATTTAATGTAGATCTGTCTCGTGAGTTGTAAAAAACATCGAACGCCATTGTTTGAGAAGAGGTATGAACTGCGAATAATTAATCATTATTCAACAAGTCAATATGCAATCAATTCAATTTCAACAATAAGTTTCTCATAAAACATTACGAGTCATTACTCTTTTCTTCCCACATAGTTTAGATAGTAACATGATATTATCCTATTACATTATTTGGTTCTAGAGTGTATAAATCACCTAGCTACCACCAAAGAGAATAAGGCGTATCAAGCCTGACCCAACATCCCCTTCGTCTATTATCTGATATCTCTTGCTACTTTGATAAGTTTTACACGATGGAGGATTATAATCATCTTCGTGCAATTCATCTATTAGGTTGACTTGCCTACCGTAGCAATCGAATCGAAGCTTTTGCATAGGCTTGTAGCCGGCGCCCATCTGCGGCGGAGTCATGTTCGGCGGACTATAAACTTCTCCTCCCCATTCTACATAATTTGCAGAATCTGCCAAGCTTGTGAATATTCTTTGCGGCCAAGACCCGACGGTAAAATTGTTAGGTCCCAGCTGAAGAAACCAGTCTCCATTTATAGCATCCTTCCAAAATCAAATAAATCATCTTAGTCCAATTAATTTTCCAAGAAATCATGAAATTGGAAACATAAAAAATGAAGAGAGATCAAGAGAATTGTCATTTTACCTTGCGGATATGGAACTTCAACTCCACCATCCTTATCCCAGGCCTAGAATATGGTTTCAGTAGCAAATCTAGAGGTATTGCCGGGGACAGGATTAGAAAGCCAGGACAGTAGGTATTATAACAGTGCGAGTCCTTGGTCTGAATGCAAAAAATATCAAGATGAATCAATGATTAAACAATTTAGATTTATAGCCTTTTATTTGCTCTAAAGTATTGGTGTTTCGAGATATAAATTCAATGTGTATCATAACGTTAAAGGTACAAGTTCAGTTTGTTACATAAATGAATTTATATCTTTATATTATGATACAAGTTGAATTTTTATACAAAGTTATAGGTACAAGATTAATATGTACCATAACCTTAAATACAATATTAAAATGTATCTTATTTCATTTTAAATTAGGAAGACCCCAAAGTTTTGTGTTCATACTTCATTGGTTCATGTTGTGTTATTTGGTTACAAAATATAGATAAACCATTCTCTAGGGTTATCACAACAACACTTACAATGGTATATATGAAAAGGTGAGGTTCATTATCCGGATATAAGCTTGGATTGACCTGCACATGATAGAAAGGTGAGGAAATTTATATACATTTATATTCTTATTCAAATGACAATCGCTTGATTTGGAGTTATCTAAACTTACCGTCCATCCAACAGCAATACTATCTGGATAGTTTTCACATTTAAAACGACTAGAGCTATATTGTGAACTCTGAACCGCAGGATGATATATAGCTCCGATCATTCCACCTCCATAGTACTTCTTGTTTTTTGTAGTACGCAACACAGCTACCTACCGATGAATTTTCTCTTAGTTGTGTATGAGCATAAATGCATGAGTGGATAGAGAAAGGCGGAAAACTAGAAAACAATATTTAACAATCATTTGCATAACTCACTTCAACACCTGGATTTAGATTATTGATTGAATTTGTATACGCTAATTCGCTAGCTGAATTTGCTCGAATGAGGTCTTCTTTTGTTATTCTTTTAATCGGAACTGTATTGGTTGGACATCCTTTTCCATTTTTCCAAATATCGAATGGATTGATATAAGATGGATCATCATATGTTCTTCGATTTAATTGGTGATTGTACGAGCTCATCTGCATCAAAATCAAAGAAAGATTATAACATCTCTTCCTTTCAATTGCTACTAACAAGTGTGAGGTAGTACTTTTAATTATAACCACAAACTATAGATTGATCTTTTTATGTGTCATAATAATATTATCCATATTTTATGTAACTTTTGTAATACTTTCAAGCCATATTGATATAAAATGACAATCAAATCCCACACAATTCCATAACCACATTTGCGAATGACATTACAATACATTTTCGTTGATGTACTTAGCACCATACATATGGGGGAAAATTCCACGAAAAAAGAAGTTGGTATATAGAAAATACCGTACCTTATACTCATACTTATGTTCCTTTAATAAAGGATGATCAAACGCGGGTTGTTGGTAAAAATCGATACAATCATATTCCTCACCGTATTTTGTCTGTTTGGAAATCATCAAATTAAACAAAAGAAATACGTTCAAACAACCAAATTAAACTTTTGCAAACAGAAAATTACACACAACTTCATCGATCTCACCTGAATAGTTGTAACAGCAGGCTTATTTAGAAGCTCTAGTTGTCTTTCCAACTCTTGATCGGATAATTCATATCCTGAAATTACATAATAACGGCCTAGTGCCGCAAATGACCACAAAAACATGATTATTGAAACACTAGTCCTTGCAACCATGATCATCTTACACTCCTAATTCCCTGCACAAGAAGAACGTCCTCAGAATTAACATTCAAGTTTAAATTGACCATTGAAATTCAAGGAAAATCTACACTTGCCTCTGTCTTTTGAATTTTCTCTAATTCTAGAATTTTATAAACCCACAAGACTTTCATCAGTTTATATATAGATGGATAGGTAGGAGTCGATGACCGCATAACGAAAAAAGAAAGAATTAAAATTGACTAACTCTAATATATATGAAAGGCAACTCCATAAATTAATAACAAATCCTCATATAGATATAAGGAAAGTAAATCTAATTAATAATAAAGTGGTCATATAGATATAAGGAAAGTAAATCTAATTAATAACAAAGTGATCATATAGATATAAGGAAAGTAAATCTATTATTTACGGTTCCTTAACAGTAATGTGTAAGATAAAGAATAATAAATATACGGAGGGACAAAACGGTAAATTAGCCATCACTCTGACAATTCGAAAAAAACAGATCTGACCCTAATCATTTATGGAAGATATCTAAATATGAGCACTTCTACTATGCTATATAGTATTGGTGCTTTAATGTACAATTTGAAGTTGTACCATAATATTAAATGTATAAGTTTAGGTTGACGAATAAAACTCTTTTATTGTCAACTCCTTATAATTTTTATTAAAATGACTTAAATATCCTTATTGTCAATACTAGGAGAAAAAAACTCCTTTATTGTCAACCCTTAAATCTGGCCTCATTTAAAATCAAAGACTCAGATTAGGGATGGCAAAAATATCCGAAACCGTGGATATCCACCCGAATCCGTCCTAATTGGGTAGGGTAAAACCCGAACCCGAAGCATTTTTCATGGGTACGGGTAAAACCCGAACCCGAATATTGCGGGTAATAGGTGGGCATGGTTATCTCACTATCCAACCCGAACCCGCCCGATTATACACATGCATATGTATTTTGTGTAGAAATAATCATTATTTTTCTCTAGAATATTTTATATTTAGCATATAAATATAATATTTTTATTAAATTATGTTGTTTTAATTAATTTTCGTCATTCTAGTGAATTATTGTCGTACTTTTCCTCTTACGTAATGTGAGTATACGTGTGAATGTTAACATATTGGTTGGAATTATAGGGAGAAATTATTACCCATGGATAACCGTGGATACCCGAAACCCGAACGGGTATGGGCATGGTTTTGATTTTCTACCCATTTCTCGTGTGGGTACGGGTATGGGTAAAACCCGAACTACATTGGGTAGGGTAACGGATATGCACTATCCGCCCCCGACCCGACCCATTGCCATCCCTAACTCAGATATGTTTATGCAAGACAAAAATACCCCTGAGACCCAACATCAATCCCGACCGCAGGATGGCTCTGCCTAAGACCAATGACATCTATTAAGTTCTGTATCCTAAGCATATAAGAACACCCCAAATGTTGGCATAAAAACTGCTCATATCATGGCATAAGAAGCTCTTTTACCTAATGGTGAATCATCATTTTTTCTTGTTTTTTTCCCCTAACAAGGCTTGTATTTTGCATCTGGGTATTTCTTTGTAATATCTACTTATAAAAAGGAAAGAGGAATTTAGAGAAAAAAATATAATAAAATATTAAAATTAAATTTTCATTATGTCTATATTTTCTATATATTTTAATTTGGCTGATCTATTGTTCAAACAGAACAATAAAAATTAAAATGGTCTGGGAAAGTCCAAAACATCTAGTGGTGTTTTTTTGTTATCAACCTTAGCATGTTTTTTAGCTTACCATGGCTAATTGATCAAACTAGTTAAATATACAAAATGGTCACAATTATTTAAAACATAAAAAAAAATCTATAAATGTCATATACGTATTATGATAAAACAAAGCACCCATCTCATCATCTCTCTCATTTATATTTCCATCCAAATATATTCATTTATCTTGTTAACTTACTCTAAAAATTAATAAAAAAATCCATTAGATCGATACAAAATTCATGAAATGACTATTTTGTTATATCTAAACCATTTGATTAATACGTTTGCAAAACTGACCATTATGATCAATTAGGAATTAGCCATCACCTATGCCGTTTGCATTTTCCTCTTCCATTCCCCGTCCAACTTTCGGCTATTCCAGGATTGATCCCATTTCCACCCAACCTCTACGTGGCACCTTGTTAATTGTTGTTCATCTTGTGTATTAAAATTGGGTTATTGGAAAATGGTTTTTTTTTTTTTTGTAAAGTCTTTTCCCCTTGTTAATTGTTTGCCATTACAGGCCAACAGCAAGAGGCAACTATCACCATTGTTTTACACAGTGATCGATCGAGATGCGCATCAGCCAGCCGCCTGCCTCCAGAAAAGAACAAGCTATAGGAATGATCGATGTCTCGCATCACAAGCACAGACATTTACATATATACGCAGGAGCTAGCTAGCGGGAATATGCGAAAACCCAGTAGCTGTAAAATGATCAAAAATATATATATATATATACGTCTAGTTCGAGTGGTGATACAAGAAACAAGACCAATCTAGCTAGCAAGGATTATATTGTCGAGAGAGAGATGTGGGGAGAGGTGGAAAGATGGTGGTGTGATATTGGGAAACAAGGGGTGAAGAGAGTGAAGGCGTATTTGGCAATGGTGTTGCTTCAGATAGGGTTTGCAGGGATGTATGTGCTCACGATGTTTTCGTTCAAACGCGGGATGAGCATTTATGTCTTTACGGTCTATCGTCATGTCGTTGCCACTCTCGTCATTGCTCCTTTCGCTCTTCTTCTCGAAAGGTTTGGTTTGGCATTCCTATCTCGCATGCTATATGTTACTACGTAAAATGGTATAGGATCTATAAATGAATCGCGCTCTCACAACAAATTGTGGTTGAACTTTTTGAGTTTTGCAGGGACACAAGGCCCAAGTTGACGTTCCGTGTGTTCTTGAGGATAGCCATGCTTGCATTCTTAGAGTAATTAATCATCCCCATAATATAGTCCTTAATTTATGGAAAAAGACCCCAAACCTATAAAATCTACAAAATTGGTGTCTTTAGACCTCTACTATGAATTATTACCATCCACTGATATGATTATATTATTTTGGTATGAATCGAATCAGGGTTGGTAAGACACGAGATTTTGTACGTTTTGCAGTTTTGGGCTTTATATTCTATCAAATGCATAAAATTAATAATGTGTTTATTATTTTTTGTTTATTTATTTCCATTATGATCTCAGACCCGTGCTGGACACTGATTTGTATAATGTGGGAATGAAATACACCACCGCAACATTTGCATCTGCAACTCTCAACACCATACCTGCCATTACCTTCATTTTGGCTCTCGTTTTCAGGTAATTCAGTCCTGGGAAAATAAATTATGGGACTCAATTTATCATTTCTTGCAACTGCAGTTTTATAGTAAATATCTATAAACTAATACAGGATAAATTAATAAGATAATAATTTTTGGTCATTTGAATAAACCCATATATCAATGTTGTAATTCTTGTGGTTGAGTATTTGGACTCACCTGAAAGATCTCTCACGTTCGAGTTTATTCTCTTAACTGTATAAAATCGTTATATACTTGTATAGAAAGGGAGGGAAAAGAATATCCCAGTATCTAACAAAATAAAACATGCCACAAGGAAATGATATTACATCCATCGAATACAAACTCATGAGTAAAATAATAGTATTAGTATTTAATTTTGGTGACAAGAATTGATCAAATTTTATTTTGGTGTTTGTTACAAATTGATCAAATTTTATTTTCGTTGGGTTTCGCTAACGACGACGACTCGATAGGTTGGAGAGTGTAAACATAAAGAAGGTGCATAGTGTAGCCAAGGTGATTGGAACCCTAATCACATTCTTAGGAGCCATGGTCATGACATTCTACAAAGGCCACGTTTTGGCCTTCGTAAGCTCCCACCATGGATATGTACCATCCGACTCCAATATTAGCAACAATAAGTATCGATTAATATTCTTTTCAAAACTAAGCAATAATAATAATAATAATCATGGCGAAGGAGAACAACATTGGGTCATTGGGACGGTCTTGCTCTTTGCCAGTTGCATTGCCTGGGCTGCTTTCTTCATCCTCCAGGTAATTATTCATCCCCCAGGTAATAATAGTATAAATATACCCAACTAAACTTAAAACCTCTTGCAACAACTCTAGTTATTACGATTAAGACGATTGCTTGACCTCCTGCATTAACAAAGTCGTCGTTGTTTTTGCATTTGGTATTGTTTTGGATTATTTAGGCATTGACGTTGAAGGAATATCCGGCAGAGTTGTCTCTGACGGCGTTGATGTGTTTGATGGGATCCGTGGAAGGAGCAATCGCCACTCTTGTTATGGAGAACAACATGAGTGTCTGGAAGATTGGCTTTGATTCCGGCCTCCTTTCTGTCGCTTACTCCGTAAGTTGTTGGGAGAGGTTTTAATCGTGGAATCATATATCGTTTTACTAACCGTTAACGATGTATGCTCATGCATGGAGGGAGTGGTTTGCTCCGGGATCGCGTACTACGTGCAAGGAGTTGTGAGCAGAGAACGTGGCCCATTTTTCGTGTCCGCTTTCAGCCCGCTCTGCATGATTTTCACGGCTTTTCTCGGTTCCATTTTCCTTGCTGAAACTTTGCACCTTGGAAGGTAAATAATCGTCTAAAGTTCGTTTATACTTAGAGCTTGTTTTGGGACCTAACTCAGTTCAATTTTCTCTACAGCATATTAGGGGCAATTCTCATAGTGTTTGGGCTTTACACACTTGTTTGGGGAAAGAGCAAAGAACCGCTACTAACTACAACCGCAATAGCAGAAGACACATTTTTGGAGGAGACTAAAATCAATGTGAAAGATGGGAAAACTTCCGGCGACCACAATGGCCGCCGGGAACTGCCACCTACTACCGGTACTTATATGTTGAACTGTTGAAGGCCGTGGCCGGAGATATATTCTGTTTACGTGCATGGAAGACGGTTGCCGTTGAGTTGGGTTTACATTTAGTTTCTTTCTGGGCCTCCACTCTTGAGATGTTTGGGCCTGTGATCATAAGTCCAGTATGAGAGATGTATAGGCTAAATGACACATCTGATCACTCATTTTATCGACTTGTTTCCTGTTTCCCATTAACTTTTTTTTATTGTGTTAGTGGTCACTTAGTTCAAAAACATGTTTCATCATGGATTACTTATTGTTTAATTTTGTTAAATTCGTTATAAATAAGAGTAAACTATGATCTTTAACTATTGAATAGATCATGTGATAATTGGAAATAATAATAACGTAATTGAATAAAATATTTATATATGGCTTGGTTGATTGCTTGCTGAAGGTTTGCCACCCCCTGCGTATTATGACAATCGGATTTCTTTGCATATCACTCCTAATTCTCTTTGCCACGAGCACACAAAAAATGCGGAGATGGATTGTTAGTTTGTTGTATGTGTCTTGATTGTTAATGTTGCATTTTTGCTCCACATAAGAGTGTGAATCTCGATTTTTCACAAGTTTACTTACTAAGTGGTTGAGTGTGGTTCATCAACTCCTTTCTAATTTCGGCATGTTTGACATTCATGTCTTTGCTTAAGGAGAAGCATTATAATGGATACCATCAATCAAAATTACCATGTTTTAACATCGTAGATATTAATTATTGATAGTTAAAACTGTCGTGCAGAGATCATGTTGTCTGTCTAGTGTTAATTTTACTTACACTATATCAGCTTCAACGGAAAGAAAGATCAAAAGGCCAAAGAAGAAAAAGGTCACAAAATCAAGTAACGGTATTCAAAGGGGGAAGAAAAGTTGGATATACAGAGTTCGTTACTTCCTTTCCTTTCACATGTCTTGCGCTGAAGCTGTGGCCTATGTGCCATGAACTTCAACTATCTAAGTTGGGTTAGTTTGATCATATTCCCTTTTCCACTATAACGTAAAACTTTGACATATCAAAGCATTTCTTCCATGCAACTTTTATATAACTAACATTCATTCTCGTCAAGAACTAAGCTACCTATAAATATTTGGTATTGATTTTGTAGAAAGAGTGTTGTTTTGAGATATGGATAAGAGAAGGAAGAAGAAGAGAGATGAAGGATCATCTTCCAACCTTACATGGCAAGAGAAGAAGGATATTGCTGATAAGGAAGAGAAATCGTTGCTAAACGAGATCCAAGCTCTTCGAGCATGGGTATACATCGTCGATTTTGTTGCTCTCGAATGTTCCTCCTACGCATGCGTATCTGAAGTCCTTTTTTTTTTCATCTTCATTACTTGTGATTTTGATAAAAATCCAGGTTGGCATGGTGGGTGCAATGAACGATGAGCAATTGAAGGAATACTTGAAGAACAGGCCTCAAGATCTGAAGACTTCCAAAATCCAGAAGAAGAAGCCTCCTCCTAATAGGGACCAAAAAGTAAGCCAGGAAAATTCTATTTCTCTTAGCTGTTTGCCCCCTTCATTCATTTCTGCTCTTCTTGTTTACCCTTTCTCTTGTTCTGTATAAGGTCTATCGCCAGCGAGTGAAGCTCCCTGAATCTCTGAAATAATGGCTTCAATTCTGGATATCCATACCCGAGAACAGATTAGTAGCCTATTTCGCCAAACTTATTGTAACAGGGTAAAAATGAACAGAAATGTACCCTATAATCCGACATGACTGTTCTTCTGTATACATCAATTTCTATCCAATAAATCTTTCTGGTTCAACGAGTACAACTTTCACTCCACATCCCTTTTCTGTATATGAAACCTACTTCGGAAACTACAATCACAAATTCACTAGCTTTCAAGTATCATCATTGTAAACCAGCAGAGAATATTGAAGAACAATCAGTTATGACTGCAAAAAAGAAGAAGAAAGAGCAGATCTTCTAGGCTTGTACTCAATTGTCACTCATTAACTTCGTCATTTCTAAGATCGTATGCCGGGGAACAGCCATTCCATGATTGCCTACACAAGTGTATCAAATTACGCTAGGATTTTGCATTTCGACCCCCTCTTCTGCTGACTTCTTCACACAACCTGCAAGGCAGGGTGTCGAGACTTAACGAACGTGTTTCCCCATAGTTGCCTAGAACGCCACATCTCCTCCATGCATGGTATTCAGCATATGCCACTGCATCATTAGCTAGAGCCTTAACGTATGAAGCGAGTTCGTTCATGGATCTAAATTTGCTCCCGTCTATGATTGAGTGAGGAGGAACGAAGTCCCACACATTTGGCGCCCCAAAATAGATTGGGACCGCTCCAGAATCTAGAGCGTAGAACAACTTCTCCGTCACGTAACTCTCAGTGGCCGTGTTCTCTATAGCCAGCACAAATTTGTAGTGAGACATGGCACAATGTAGATGGTCCCACCATCTAGGTTTCTCACTGGTATCGCTGGCGCACTCTGGGTATAACGAAAGGGCCATGTCAGGTCCACCGACATTGTTCAAGCACTTGCCAAAGGAATGGTGAGGCAGCAAGCTGAGGAGAGACTTTGCGAGCTTGTTTCTTTGAGCAAGACAGCGCGAGGAAGACCAATATACAAGTGTATCCTTCAAATAAAAATAGTTCAATATCAGCCCATGTCCTTTCCATCTCTTATGAAGTATCAACATATTGAAAGAAACATCAATACTTACATTGTTCTTCATCGGAGATACATGATAATTTCGACCATTATGAAACAGGGCACCAGCATAAGTTGACTGAACATCATCTTCAGCATGATAACTGATAAATAGATCTTCCACACCAGAGCGTCTTCTGCCAGGCTCTAGGTCCATATAGACACGTAGCGGATCTCCATTGCGTCTCTGACAACCAAAATACAGGGTATCATAATATGAAATGGCATGCGCTTTCCGTAACTGATGCAAAAACTTCACATTTCCTCCTTACGATGTTAAAAGTAATTCGTGCACCAACTGCATGCTCCTATGGCTTCAACATTCATATTTAAGCATCGTAAAATAAAGGACAACAAGAAAGATTAGATCATCATGCTGTCATTCCACATAGTTGCCTACCCATGATGTTAAAGCTTCACTTCTCTATCAAGTATTAGTATCCAAGTACTGCAGCATTTGATATAATGCAACACAACACTTTTCCTCTATGAACACCCACATCAGCCCTAGTTGATCTTTCTAACTGTAAAGTGGAGCATTTCCCCCCTGCATCTCCCTGCCAATGATTTTGGTGCCAAAAAGGGAATGCTTATGAACTTAAATATGGAATATTCATATGATGTGGAGAGTCCAAACTAAGAAGGCCTGAATACATGCACAAAGAGACAGCACCGCCAGATGCTGAAGCAGCTATACCAAGATCACAATAGATTTTGCAAGTACTAATGGTCTCCAAAAGAGCCAAACTGTCTTCCCTATAAGACATTCACCACTATATGCATGAGTCTTCAAATTCAATCCTGTTTCCCGATCTCAACATATCCAATCCTATAGTTCTTACCCCCAACCCAATTCACATCACACAAGTGAAGATCATTCCTGAACTCAAATGAAACTGAAAGGCACATCCAAAATCCGGCATCCATCCGAACACCAAACTACAACAGGACAACTAATAAGATAATGTACCGATTCCTTGTTCAATCAATCTAATCCTAGTCTTAGCACCTCAAACCGAGTTCTTCCTGCACCAAAATTTCATCCACCGTGTTCTAGACAATTCATCGTCACACCAGCCAGCTACTTGATCAGCAGATAAACATCACTCCTCTCATTCCAGCCGCAAAGATTCAGCATTTCCTACTGTCTAATCAAATTGAAATGATGAAATGAATCGGCAGCGTTTACCTGAAATGGAGGCGTCGTGGTCTCAAACAACAAAGCATCAGGCTTGTCAGCAAGCACAGCCGATTTACTCCACAAACAGCTCAACCCACATCGACAAGAATACAAATTATCCAGATTATCCGGGATCCAAGTCCACCCTTTGACCAAAACGCTCACATGATCCATCTTCAGCTCGCCGCACTCCGAATCGCCCCCAACCCGCTGCAGAGAACCCTTCGACCCATTAAACCCAGAGCCGCCGGCGGCGTGGATCGCGTCTTTGTGGCCTTCCCTGAACCGGGCACAACCCACCTGAGAGTCCCACTTCTTGTAAGCAGTGAACAAGTCGACGAACGGGTCGGCCTTCGTCGGCTCGACCCGAAACCCGGAATCGGCTAGGGAGGTCGCCGTTAACGCCGGAGGAGGGAGTAAGAGGAATCCGGCGAAGAAGAGGATCAGGAACCCGGCCAGCAGCATCAGGGCAATGGTGATTGTGTTGATGCGTTTCTTCAAGAGCATTGTGCGAGGGAATATCAGGCGTCGGGAATTTCCGGGGACTTTTTCTATCTCTCTCTCTCTCTCTCTCTCTCTCTCTGGGTTTTGGCGGAGAGAGAGAGGAAAATAGAGCGGTCGGTGGGTGGCGGCGTTTTCCCCCTTTAGCGGTTACATGTTTGCCGTCGGAAGAGTGAAGAAGACTAGTAAAAGAAATGGCCGAAGCAAAAGCCAAAGGAGGAGCCTGCAGATTAAGAAACGGTCGTTAGGTGGTCAAGTCAACTTTCATCAAGGCTTAATCACGTTCTGGTGCCTGGAGTTTGATCCGGGTAACGATTTAGTCCCTCTACTTTTGAAATCGTCAATGGTGGATAGGAATAGCAATAGGGCAAAAAATGAGGCTCGAACTTGGTTACTATGGGACCGTTTGTTTTGTGTATTTATAAAACGAGTTATTTGGTCAAATATAGGCACTTGAAAAGTATATATTTTTTAAAATGAGTTACCATGGGATACTTTTCCAAAGAGTTGTTGGACAAAACATGTGTAGGTAGGCTGTAGTTAAGAATGTGAACCGCATATACATGTCTGGATAGGTTCATGTGAGTGGGTAGTTTAAGATGGTAGAGAATCTTAACCTCGTTTGCAAAACCAATCCTCTTTTGTATATGAAGGTATAACGTGAGATTTAATTGTCTTTCCACCATCTTCTTTCTTTCTTTTAATTACTCAATCACGATTATAGAAGAAGAAAAAAGAAACATTGTTATCATTATTCATAAGAGTATCAATCAAAACTTAATATAGGTGATTACAATATAAGGGAGATGCTAGCTAGCTAGACATCTAAAATTTTGAAATTCTACCGTCGAAGTGATCAACGTCGTCATTTAAAAAAGGAAAAAATCGATTCATCTAAGCATCATGCCAAGTGATAGCCAACTCGCCTCTGTCCTTCTCCGGAATGCTCAACCCTACCCATACCCCCTTCGAACCGTCCACAATGTCGTCACCACATCCCTTCCCACATTCATCCACCACTCTTGCACTAACGGTGTGGCCATTCCCTTCAATCACAATGTTCTTGTTGCACCTCCTACCCTTCTTGAAGAATTTCGCGGGCAGTGCCACGATCATTTCGTCGTTGTCGTGGAACGAGCCATCGCATGAAGCCGGACCACCGCCATCCTGGCCCTTCTCGAAGCCATTGAGAGTCAGAGTTCCCTCCCTGGTGCCCTGAGAGACGTCGTTAATGTGGACTCGAGCAGCTTCCACATCCCCATTTGAACTAAAGAGTGGTAGAAGAAGAAGAAGAGCTACGGTTATAGAATAGAGTACAAAATTGATTCTCTTCATTCTCCTGTTTTTTATAAATAGCTAGAAGCTCTTTGTAATTTGATTTTGAATATTGTAATTTGGTGGGTACCCGTGACTTATATAAGGCCACAGGTGAGGAAGGAGGATTCATATGGACGGTCTTTTTTGGGTAAACTCTACAACTGTTATTTATTTAAAGCTTTGGTGCATAACAAATTGCTAACCTGGAATATGCTCTACGTATATGATCCGACCTCAAGAAATGTGCAATGTACATTAGATTCACCTTGTAATTTAGGGTATCTAGCAGTTGTAAGTTTTAGTTAAGATCAATGTTTTAATTATGGACCATTTAGAAATATGTAACTTAATGAGAATGAGATGTATACAATTAATTTTCATGTAGATGCTCTAATTCACTAATGTTGTGATCAAGATGCCGATATTTCAATCTAGCACCATAGAAAAACAGAGTTCTCAATATATTGTAAATGGAGTAAATAAAACTGTCAATCAATTCTTATCAAGACGGCACTAACAAAGTGACAAGATTGACCATGCATGCATTGGCCAGTTCATCAGACGGCTCTTGTTAGCTTTGCCGTGGGAGTTTGTAGAAGACGAGAAACAACAATCACATCATACGAGGAGATTATGGCTTGAGCAGCACTTTTTTTAGAACGGTGTAAACTTCAAACTTATGAGTTTGATTTTTATCGTTTAAAAGCCGCGTGTACAACGACCACAATAAAGTGTGAATCCAAATCGAGAAACACATTCGTGGATTTACGATCTATAAATGAATAATAACGAGGGAGTGTCATAAACCAGTTGATCCCAATAACTCGAGTTGTTGGATCTTATACAGGCGCGTATAGGCGTGTATGATGCTTAACCACTTCCTTACACGCCTCCTCAAACGAAAGCCGACTCATGGACTTGAAGTTTGCACAGGCCCAGCCCTACCATACCATGTGCTTGAAAGACAACTGTTAATATTGGGGGTTGTGAGGACTTGAACAGTGACCTCAAGGACAAACCAAACTCTAATACCATGTCATAAGCTAGTTTGTCCCAATAACACGAGTTGTTGGAAGAAGGATTATGTTGGATCTTATACAGACCCGTATATGACGCTTAACCACTTTCTTTCATGGAGATTCACATTACAACGAGAAAAAGCATTATCAATAATCAAGCATCGTACCACGAAACATACAAACGACGTCGTCCCCAATCCCTGGAACCCACCTTCAACCCCATCCACACCGCCCTCGAGGCGTCCATCACGTCGCCGTCACAACCCAGCGACGCGTCGCACTCCCCGACCACTCTCGCCGTCACCGTCCGGCCGCTGTCGCCGCCGGTGATCCTGACGTACTTGTTGCACCTCCGCCCCTTGTCGAACCAACTCGAAGACAAGGCCATCACCTTCTCCTTGTCCCCGACGACGGCGCCGGCGTCGCATCCAGGCGAGACCCACCCGCCGTCTTCTTCCCAGATCGTGGCGAAGCTGACGAGCGTCAGCCTCGCCTTTCTGACGACTCGGGCGTCCACAAAGACGACGGCGTTTCGTGGGAATGGGATGGAGGGGAATATAAGTAGAAAGAGTAATGTAGACGTGGAGTAGCACTTCATCATCATCATTATTATTATGTAACGTTCTGAGTGTTTTTTGTTTCTTCAAAGGTTTTGAAGGTGGAAATATAGGGATTGGGTGGAATTCGAAGTTGGGGAAACGACAAAAATGGGATTTTTTTTTTGAGATTTTGAGAAGTTCTGAGTAATTTGTTCCCAAGACGGAAAATTTTCTTTAACTTTGTCCGCGGGCGGTAACAACTAACAACGATTTGGATTGTATGCTGAGCTGGGTGGATTGGGCTGAATTTTTGTAATGGGCTAAATCTATTCTTGGGCTGAAGTTTGCCCGTAGAGTGAGTTTGGGCCAGTTCTTTGGTCTTGGGCTGGCCTAAACTTGGATTGGGATTGCACTTCAGTAGTTGATGACTTCACTAGGCAATGGCGCACTGCGATGCAAACATTACTCTTTACAAAATACATTGAAGCCAAACAATAACTAGGTTCGATCACCATCACGCCAGCCAGAAAAACCTTACTAAAGTTTGGCTTTGGCTCCATCTATATGTTGGTTTACTCAATTGAACAAAGGAATCCCAGACAGCAGGCCACAACATTAAGTGAGATACAAAAATGGCAGGGCTTAGTGGATCAGCCGTTCTAACCAGGTCAAAGAAACACTGCACAATAGAATAACTGACATAAAATGTTTGATTTTCACTCAAGGTTTTGCCATTTGGGACAGCTAGAAATCGAAATGGAAGGGGGAGGCTCCATATGTTGCCTGACATGGAAACAGCAGAGCTGGATGGGAAAAGAACAACAGTGTTTGAACAAGTTATATGAAGCCCTCCCTTCTAAGATTCTTCCCCTGTAGCCCCCCTTTGTCTTGACAATGAAACCTCAATTCATTATTGATTACAGTGATAAGTAGGAAGAACCTGTCCCCATGGATGCCTTTATATAAACTCCATTACCACCACAGAACCAAAGTGAGAGTGGGAGATTAAAGAAGAAACCACAAAACCAACTGTCTATAGTATTTGGGTTGTGCAGAAACAAACAGAAGTTCAAAAGAAAAACAAGGGGGTCAAAGACAAGGGGAAGATGGGCAGAAAGAGAAAATCTGGGGCTGTTGATGCTGAAACTATGCTGAAGCAGGAGCAACAAAGACAAGGAAGTGATGAGTTCAATGATGATCAGGTAGAGGAGGAGTGTATGGCGTGGGATGAAATGGCGAGTGAAGCAACAGGAGGAGGAGGGATGAGAGGGAGGAAGAGGTTTGTGGGAGTGAGGCAAAGGCCATCCGGGAGATGGGTTGCAGAGATCAAAGACACAATTCAGAAGATCAGGGTATGGTTAGGTACCTTCGACACGGCAGAAGAAGCTGCAAGAGCTTACGATGAAGCCGCCTGCTTACTTCGTGGTGCTAACACGAGGACCAACTTCTGGCCTTCTGCTGATCCCCATCATAATCACCACTCTTCTACCTCATCTTCATCACCACCATCACAGCCTCCTGCATTGCCTTCCAGGATCACCAACCTTCTTCTCAAGCGCCTCAATGCTCGAAACACCAGCCGTCATCTCTCTTCCTCCTCCTCCTCCTCCTCTTCCATGGTCGTCAACAAGCAGCAGCAGAAGAATCAGCAACAATACGTCATTAGAGGAACACAAGAAGGTCAGGTCGATGAAGACGATGAAGAAGAAGCAGCCTCTACCGAAATCACAGGTTTCTCCAACCATTTCACAAACGCCAACCCCATCACCAGCATTGGGATAACCACAACAACCAAACATCCTTACGTGGAAGCAAGCATTGCTGAGTCAACATTATGTATGAGCGGTGATCGAAAGGATGATTTTTGCTATGATATTGCGGATGACAGATCAACAGCAGCAGCAGCAGTAACAGGATGGGATTCAGGCAATTGTTATGATAGTAACTTTTACCAGCCATTCGATTCCAATGCAGTACTACAGCAACATGTAGGTGATCAGGGTGGTGATCTGGATTTGGATTTCAATTTCGTCAACGACCTTGGAGCACCCTCCGGCGTTGCAGCAGCTCACTACTCTCCGTTCGAGATCGCTCAAGAGATTCAGGAGGAGCCTGTGCTGGAACCATATCATCAGAGCAACAACAATGGCATTGATAATGATGACGACGAGCCATCGATGCAGCTAAGAGCAGCAATGAAGCGGATGAAGTACGAGAGGAAGTTCTCGGCTTCTCTGTATGCTTTCCATGGGATCCCAGAGTGCTTGAGGCTGCAGCTTAGTGGGTCGGCAGTATCATCTCCGTCTGAACATTTATCCAATCTACAGAATGTCTGCAGAAGGAACAACAGAGTACAGAGTCAGGAAATAGAGCAGAGGGTATTGGCCAAAGAAGATAAAGATGAAAGCTTTGTTATGGTAGATAAACAGCAGCAGAACCCACAAAGCACCACAGGTGAAGAATCAACGCTATGGAGCTCTCTTGATCTGCCACCAATCTGCTTCGTCTCATAATTACTCAAAAACCTAAAATTGCTTAGCTTACCCTTTAATCTCACACATTAACGATACCCACATACTAGTATCACTGTAATTTCGCAGAAGCTGAAACTATGGTTATGGTCTCTCTGGAGTGCTAAGAATTGGGGATTTTTCTTTTTAGGTTAAAACCTTCAGTAGCAAATTAGGGGAAAAGGGTTAGGAGAGCATAATGTATTACATACCTTACAAACAGTGAATCGATGTTAGAACTGAGAAGTGGGCTCTGCTTTCCCTTGACGACGATTTCCCGCCGTTTGAAGAAGTTACCCGGCATCGTTAACGGCGGCCGGCAGCTCGCCGGTTTCCGCTTGGAAGTTGGAAACAAGACCGAGAGAGTAGACAGAAGCTGAAGGAGTAGTGACTGCTCCACATGTCAGCTGGAGCTGACTTTAGTCTATTTATATTATGGAGTTGATTTATTAATTAACTAAAATGGTCACCTATATATAGGCACGACACCGTTCAAACCATACCCATATATGGCCGAGCGAATTTGTAAAATGATCAAGATTGAAACGACTAATGGACTGTGCCAAGCACGATAAGAGAAAGAAATGCCCGTACGTGCCATGTCAGTCCAAGCACGACCCAATACCCAAGTACAAACATTACTCTCAAGTGATTATGAGAAGTAGTTGTTAAATCCCTATCGGGTTCCTGGTTGGACCCGATCGACCTAAGCCGGGTTTAAAATGGCCTCCAGAAAGCCTTTTCGACTGACCCCTAAGGAGGGAGAAGAAAAGAGAGGAAAGGAAGGAGGGGGAAAGAAGGAAGGAAGATGGTTGGGTGGTCATGAAGGTTAGAGAGTTTTATTTGGTGGGAAATAAGTTTTTAATAGATATATGTAAAATTAATTTGATTTAAGTTATTAATTTTTTTATACTACTTTATTTCTATATATATTTAGAAAACATATAAAAATTTAACAAAAAGAAAAACGTATAAAACGACTCAAATCGGAAGGACCCTGATGAGACCAATAAACCTCAAAATTCTAGCTTGACTGACTCAATGACTTAAACCGATTTGACGTGACTAGTGATAGAAGTTGTCTACTTCCTTAATTATGTAATTAATTAATTAGTTGTGTTTCTGACTTAGCTTGTTAGTAGTCTGTTACAATGGCACTTGCTTCACCTTCCTATGTATCTTCTTTGTTTTATCCTGCGCTTGTTATCTCTTCTGTTCCAGTCTTGTTTTGACCTATTTTATCTTTTTTCGCTAATTATTTATATATATCATCTTATAAAAAAATGAAAAGATGATGAGAAACAGTATGGAGTACTAGGATGCCTTTTGTAAAACACTTAGGAGTTGAGACGGGAGGGGACTACGTATACTTTTATTTTTTTTATTTCATAAATAAAATTAAAAAAAACAAAACAAAATCTAGAAAAATACCACACTTTAATTACACAATAATTAATTATAACTTAATTGTATTTTGGTGTAGTGCGGAGTCCTTTCTACGATCGTTATTCGGATACTATTCTATCAATTATGTATATATATAAATTCTGTACCGATTCAATATATTTTGTGAACCTCTGAAACCCTACTGGAAGCAAGGTTAGGCGCAGATTTGTTCGTTTGCGTTCGCACCGAGAGAGATATGGGTGCTAAAACCAGCAAAGCAGAAGCAAACAAACAGACCAAAGAGGTTAGTTTTTTTGTTTGTTATCTTCTTTATCATGCTATGTGAGATTAATTGTTACATGAAGAAATTATTTTATGAATTAGCAGTAATTCTGTCTTTCTATGTGAGATTATTCTAGACAGATAGTACTAGCGATGAAATTTTTAAACTCTCCATTCTTTTAAAGTCCACATATATTTGTTCTTGACAAATAATTACTCTACATTGACGACGTCGGATTATTGCACGATGAATTGATTCAGGATCTCGTCTACGACAGGACTCCGCTGTCTATCGGTTTGTCTTCTGTCTACGACGACATGTCGGTGCAAATCCCAAAGAACACCACCATCCCGACCAAGAAGTTCGAGAGGATCTGCACCACCGCGTTGGACAACCAGGATGACATGGTAATTTCGTTTTACCAAGGTGAAAGAAAAAGGGCAAGTGACAACAAGCTTATTGGTACCCTAGGGTTCAAGGGTATCCCGCCCGCTCCCAAGGGCGTTGCAAGGATCACGGTCCGCGTCGACGTCGATGCCAAGGGCAACCTGAACGTGTCTGCCGAGGACAAGTCGACGGGCCGGAAGGTGACCAAGATCATACCGGGCGTCGGGGTGAAAGGAAAGCTTTTGTCGGCGGTGGAGGTGGAGAAGATGGCTGGACAAGGAGAGAAGCACAAGGCGGAGGACGAGGAGCACTCGAAGAAGGTGAAGGCCATGAAAGCGATGAATGATTACATGATCGTGGTAAGAGAGAACGCGGCGGCCGGAGCCTACTCCGGGAAAGCGCACGGTGAATTTAAGGATGTGGCCGGAACGATGTTGGACGAGTTCAAGGAGAAGTCGAAGGAGTTTGGGTTACGATCAGGTGACAAGAAGAGGTAGCGAAACCTAGGCTCGTTACGGTTAGGGTTTCTTACTTTCGATAAGTTCGGGACGTGTAGATTTTTTCTTTCTTTCTAAAATTATTGGGACGTATGGATATTCATTATGTGTTTGCCTTTGTTAATTTCGAATAATTTTGCTGTTTCTTTTCTATCGGTTCGATCGAGTTGTTATAGTATTTGCAATTCAGTAAACTACTGTTTGCTCTATATGTTTTTAAAGCGTCTTGTTGTTGTTTTGGTGCTAAATGTTCAGTCCGCACATGGTTTCGTGGAAACGATCTAATGTTTAGAGTCAAATCAATGAGTACATCCTTAATTATTTAATAGATATTTACCGATTCGATCGATAACGCTAATGGTTTTTTTAGTACTACAAGTATTATAAAAATAAGGGTGAATACAATATAATAGCCAAACCTTTTGTTTTAAACAAAATAATAGTCAATTCTTTCTGAAAATAATTTAATAGTCAAACCATTAACTTTCCGTGACAAGTTTTAAGTGAAGACCAAAAAAAACAAACCATAATATTATAGAATATAGTTAAATTATTGGAGAAATCGAGTTTTTCACTTATTTACAACTTCATTATAGCTAAAATATGAGGTATTAATAAGGCAAAACCTAAGTAATTTGACTAGGATTACATGTAATTTAGACAAGAATGGGTCGAGAATGCGGCGGGTCAGGACAGGTCGGGTCGATGAGAGGTACCCATGACCTCCCCGTCCCGCCTACGGGGCAGGTCCTACCCACCGCAAAATAGGCCAAACAGGCCGGGTAAAGCGGGTTATATCAAAATTGTCATCCCTACTATTAACGACGGATATTTGCTTAAAAACGACGAATTTTTTCCGTCATCAATGAGCCTTTTTCTTGTAGTGGAAATATGGGAAAGATTCCTGGCGGCGATGTCAAGTGGGCGGCGGTCGTGCACGTCAGCTCCTCGGTAGAGTTCCAGAAGAGAGAGACGTGACTCGCGGGCTAGGCTTAGAAGTGATTATAAAGATACATATGTACTTACTACCATAAGTAAAAATGATCGAAGAATCAAAAAAATCACACCCATTATACTTTCAATTTTCTTCTTCTCCCCTCATCATTTGTTATTTTTCTCAAATATTTTCAACTAATACTTTCGCCGTCCAATTTTCTCTTTTATTTTCTTTCTTTTCATTAAACATGAATACTATACTAGCACGACAAGAGCACTAATAGGCACAACACGATACAAATACCCAATGGGCCTAGAAAATTTTGAAAAATGTGCTGCGACGGCACGAAACGAAAACCTACCAGCCGTGCCAAGCACGACAAAAGAGAAACATACCCGTGTCGTGCCGGCCAAGCACGGGCCAATAGCCAGGTACAATCATTCAGGTGATCATGAGAAGTGATACAAGACGTCGTCTACTTCCTTAATTAAATTATTAATTAAGTTGTTGTGTTTCTCGCTTATTAGGAGTCTGTTACAACAAACAAACTAACGCAGTCTGAGTTATATATAATACATTTGTGGGTGTTTAGGTTTTCCTTTCTGTCAGTTCTGTATCGATTCAATATATCTCAGAAAACCCTAATTCTGGAAGCAAGTATATATAGGCGCAGATTTTGGAGAGAGAGAGAGAGAGAGAGAGAGAGAGAGAGAGAGAGAGATGGGGGCGCAAAACAGCAAAGCAGAAGCAGCTGCTGCCTATGCAAAGGCGCATGGCGATGATGAGGAATCACTCATACAGAACAAACAGGTTCGTTTCAAGTGATAATATTGCACCATTCTTTTTGGGTACTAGTTTGCTCCTATTTCCTCTAACATCGTGTATGATTAATCGATGATTATTAATTATCAAAGTACCTTAGTCTCTTTTATATGACGGTTCGATGATCGATCATCAATTCAGGATCTCGTCTACCGCAAGACTCCGCTGTCTATCGGTTCGAATGATAGCTACGGCGACATACTGGTGAGAATCCCAAAGAACACCACCATCCCAACCAGGAAGTTCGAATATTTCTCAACCACCTCGTCTGACTGCCAGGAAGCCGTGCAGCTATCTTTTTACCAAGGTGAAAGAAAGAAGGCAAGCGCCAACCAACTTCTTGGCGTCCTGGTGTTCGACGGTATCCCGCCCGCTCCCATGTACGTTCCAAGGATCACGGTTTGCGTCGACATCGATGCCAAGGGCAACCTGAACGTGTCTGCCGAGGACAAGTCGACGGGCCGGAAGGTGACCAAGAGCATACCGGGCGTCGGGGTCGAAGGAAAGCTTCTGACGGCGGAGGAGGTGGAGAAGATGGCCCGACAAGGAGAGAAGCACAAGTCGGAGGACGAAGAGCACGCGAAGGAGGTGAATGCCATGAAAGCAATGAAGGAGTATGCAATCCTGGTCAGAGAGAACGCGGCTGCTGGAGCCTACTCGTGGAAAGCGGACGACGCATTTAGGGATGCGTTTGGGAAGATGCTCGGCGAGTTCAAGGAGAAGGCAAAGGAGTTTGGATTGGAAGCAGGTGACAAGAAGAGGTGTGAAGCCTAGCACATTATCCAATCATCGGATTCGAATCACGATCGGTTAGGGTTCCAACTAGTTTGGGAAGTATAGATATTCATTGTGTTTTGCTCTTGTTTATTCGAATACTTTGCTGTTTCTTTTCTAAGTTGGCTCAGGATGCTCCAAAGTTCCTTTTGCTGCTGCGTAAAATCACAATGTAAAATACTTTCTCCTTAATTAGGATAATATGCTAGCTACTACCTAGTTAGGGCTGGTTAACCATTATCCTGTTACCGGTGTGATCGATAATCGAACCGGAATCGATGGTTAAACTATTACACCAGTAACTGATGATTAAATAATAATAAAAAGTTGGTTCTTGGCAGTCAAATTTACGGGTGGCCGTTGGGTGGGTTGAGCGGATTTTAACCATGAAACTCACCCACCTGCGATTAAACGGATTGATAAATTTTAACCCAGCACTTGGATTGGGTCGGGCGGATGGTGGGTGATGCGGGTGGGTTTGTGGGTTCACCCACATCACAATATATATAATATAAAGGAGTCAACTTGACATGGTAATCGCTGCAGAGAGTTATAGGGCGGAAACAAGAAAATGGAATAGGAAGAAAAAATGTCGAATTAGTTCTGAAATTGGATAGAAATTCTATTATGGAGTTTTCTACCGATGAAGATGATTATCAAGTGCAGGGAACTAAGAAAAATAATTCAATAGAGGAAAAAGAGGTGATCTAAGTACTAGAATCAGAGGAAAAAATAAAAGGAAAAGGGGATCGCGATTTGGAAGGTTGGCTTTGAGGTTCAATCTCTTGGAGCAACCCTAGTTTCCGTCTAACGTCTCCACTCTCCCCTCTCCAACACCAACGACTTTGTTCTTTTTGCAGTTGGGTTGAGCGAGTTACCCGCGCACCCGCCACCCGGCGAATGGCTCCCAAAGCAACCCGTTACCCTCCCAAAGACCCACCCACATAACTAAATTCTGGTCAAATGCGGGTGGGTCGGTTCAAACCTGCGGGTAATTCGCCCGCATGCCCAGCCCTAGTTAAATTTATAGCTAATTAATAACCGACAGTTAAACGGTCAACCGATTACGACCATGCTTATTGTTAGGGCAAAAAATAATAGGCATTGATGAACCGAAAGCACAGGCCAAACATAATGGGATGTTTGAAAGCCTACAAGATCAATTGCCTAACTTGATTGTGATAGTGAATAAGCACTCCCCTTTAGTTACAGGATCTCTTCCCGTGGTCGTGGCAGGTCACCGAAAAGTTCTTCTCCAAGTCGACTCCACCACTGCTCTCCATCTCCATCTCATAACCTCCAATCAACAAGATTGCTGCTTCCAAATCCTGATATAGAAAATCAGGAATCTCTTGAACCAAAATTGGGAGGTAAAAACCTCTCATACTCTATAGGGAATGCAATAAAGCCGCAGATTACCTCGCCAACAAAAGGACACTCAGCTGAGTTAGGAACGCACTTGTTTAACATTTCTGATCCGGGTCTGTGCTTTTGGACCTTTTATGATTCTTTGGGCATTGCCCAGTTTCGATTAATTTAAGAGCCAGGCAGCAGGGGGTTTGAGGGGCGGATCTAGGTTGTCCAAGGCTAGTCAATTAACAAACCTTGTTCCAATTGTGGGACAAAATTCCTTTTATGAACTTTACTTTAATGATGATAGTATTTGAACTCAAAACTACATCGACAATGCTTAGTGATTTTCTTTTATCGTTGAATACCCTTGATATAATTTCTGGATCCGCCACCGGCAACTTTCTCTCATCTTCCTACTAAAAAAACTAAATCCCTATATGCCAATATTCATGCTTTAAACATTTGGTTAACTTTATAGGCTTAAGCATTGAGATCTGACCCGCGCCATGGAGCCGGCCGGTCCCATGCTGATTTGATTCCTGTCTCGGCCCAAGTCGTTCCTTCACGTAAGCTAGGAAAAGCTCACTTAATTATATGATAAATAATACTTTATTAATTTAAGTTAATGGTGTAGTGTTTTTGCGTTGTTAGGATTCCTTTCTACGACCGTATTTCGGATAAGCATGGCATTCGGCCAATTCTGTATATATATAATATATATATCTCCCTCTTTGAGGAAAATTCGTGAGCCTTAAAACCCTACCACTGGAACTGGAAGTACGCGCGCAACGCACATATAGGCGCAGATTTGTTCGTTTGCATTCGCATAGGGAGAGATGGGTGCTCGAACCAGCAAAGCAGAAGCAAGCACGCCGCTGATGATTCAGGGTCGTCTCGTCCACCGCAAGACACCGCTGTCTATCGGTTCGGATGATAGCTACGGCGACATGCTGGTGCAGATCCCAAAGAAGACCACCATCCCAACCAACAAGTTCGAGACAAGCTATACCACCTCGTACGACAATCAGGAAACCATGACGATACGGTTTTACCAAGGTGAAAGGAAGAAGGCAAGTGCCAACCAACTTCTTGGTGCCCTAAAGTTCAAGGGCATCCCTCCCGCTCCCAGGGGCGTTGCAAAGGTCAAGGTTTGCGGTTACATCGACGCCAAGGGCAATCTGAACGTGTCTGCCGAGGACAAGTCGACGGGCAGGAAGGAGACTGTGAGCATACCGGGCGTCGGGGTCGAAGGAAAGCTTCTGTCGGCGGTGGAGGTGGAGAAGATGGCTGGACAAGGAGAGAAGCACAAGTCGGAGGACGAGGAGCACTCGAAGAAGGTGAGTGTCATGAAAGCGATGAATGATTACATGATCGTGGTAAGAGAGAACGCGGCGGCCGGAGCCTACTCTAGAAAAGTGGGCGTAGCATTTAGGGATGTGGCCGGAACGACGTTGGATGAGTTCACGGAGAAGTCAAAGGAGTTTGGACTGCTGGAAGGTAACAAGAAGACGAAGCATGTGTAAAACCCTAGGGTTTCAACTAGTTTTTGGGACTAATAGATAATATTCTGTGTTTTGCTTTTTTTGTTTTTGGTTTTATTTATTCGAATACTTTGCTGCTGTTTCTTTTCTAAGCTTGCTACAGTATGTTTCCAAGTTTCTTGTTATTCGATGGATATTAATTAGTTTGCTTTCTCGTACAATCGGTTAGGGTTTCTTTTGTTTATATCGAATAATAATTTGTTGTTTCTGTTCTACGTTAGTTTAATTTGCTCAGTATGTTACAACGTTTATAATTATTCCTTGATTTCAGAAGATTTAATATTGATTGACCATTTTGTTAGTTGTAATTCTCAATTATTTATTACGACTGATTCTCTCCTGGTGTTGGGATTTAATTATTCAAGTGATCCAATAATGACGGTAGCTGTTTAGTACTTAGGGCCCAAAATTAAAGGTTCGTTTTCCAAACAAATAGCACAACGATGAAATTAATCTCAAATTTCAGATAACATAGGATCCCGCTGCAAAACGCAGGTCAATTCTCTGGCATGACTAATGTGGTACGTATATATATAGAACACCCTAAACCTAGTAAAATTCTAATACTCAGCATTTTCGTGACCGCCAATGCTACTATTACTCGTCACTCACTATAATTAACGAATAATAATAACAAACCTATAATTACGATAGGACGACAAAATCATATTGGATGATTAGATGGGAGAAGATTTGATCTAGCTGGGTGGTTTTTTTGGAGATGATTACATTGTTGAGGATTGCCGACATTAGTGGGAGCTCCGGCTGCAGTGAAGCAGAGCAGGTAGTTAGGATGGGGTAAGAAGGCAATGATGGGCTGGGAAGGGATTTTATTTTATTTCAATTTGATTTTCGAGTCAAAACATTTCTTTGTCAATTACGTGACATAAATCTTTTTCACCACATCAGTGAAAGTCAACATCTTTTTGACCATCGTCTTGTCAATCGTTTTTTTCTAACGTTCAACGAAAGCGTCAAAATACGAACGATAGAAAAAGTATCATATGTACGAATGAACACTTCTACTATGCTATAAAGTATTGGTGCTTTAATGTACAATTTAAAGTTGTACCATAACGTTAAATGTATAAGTTTATGTTGTACCATAAAGCAATTTATACCATTATTTTATGGTACAACTTCATAACTTGAAGTTGTACCATCACATAAAGGTATAAGTTCAAGTTGTACCTTAAAAGAATTTGTATAAAAAGTATAGGTACAATGTGAAGTTGTACCATAACATTAAAGGTACAATTTCAAGTTGTACCACAAAGGCAAAAACCTTTAATACCAATGCTATATAGCATTGTAAAATTCCTCAAGTCCGAATATGATTCTCATATTGAATAAAATAGCCGAAAATAGAAAGCTGGGCTACAACATTACTGCCAGGTGATAATTAGAAGTTGGGTAGAACATTTCAGAATTGTTAGGAATCTGTTACAACAAACGCAATATATCTCTGCGAGGCTCGTAGCCTTCGAAACCCTAAATCCTTGAAGCAAGCATATATAGGCGCAGATTTGTTGGTGTGCATAGAGAGAGAGAGAGATGGGGGCTTACAACAGTAAAGCAGAAGCAGCTGTCTACGCAAAGACGAATGAGGAATCACTCAAACAGAACAAAGAGGTTCGTTTCAAGTATATATGTTATTGTTGCACCCTTCTTTTTGGATCGTAGTTTGCTCTTATTTCCTGTAAGTCTCGCATGCATACAACGATCATCATCATTGCTAATACATGATATCGAATTCAGGAGGTGATGAAAACCACTGATCATGAGGATCTCGTCTATGACAAGACGCCGCTGTCTATCGGTTCGGCTCATACTTACGATGAAATGTGGGTGGAAATCCCAAAGAACACCGCCATCCCAACCAAGAAGTTCGAGTTCGTCACGTTCACCGCGAGTGACAACCAGGAAACCATGACGATAGCGTTTTACCAAGGTGAAAGAACAAGGGCAAGTGACAACAAACTCCTTGGTGCCCTAGAGTTCAAGGGTATCCGGCCCGCTCCCAGGGGCGTTGCAAAGATCACGGTCTGCCTCGACGTCGACGCCAAGGGCAACCTGAACGCGTCTGCCGAGGACAAATCGACCGGGCGGAAGGAGACCATGAGCATAACGGGCGTCGGGGTCAGAGGAAAGCTTTTGTCGGCGGAGGAGGTGGTGGAAATGGCTCGACAAGGAGTGAAGCACAAGTTGGAGGATGACGAGTACCTGATGAAGGTGATTGTCATGAAAGTGATGAAGGAGTATACAATGAAGATCAGAGAAAATGCGGCGGCGGGAGCCTACTCCCGAAAAGCGGAAGACGAATTTAGGGTTGTGGCTGAAAAGATGCTGGACGAGCTTAAGGAGAAGGCGAAGGATTTTGGATTGGAACTTGGAAGGTTATGCATGTGTAAAACCTAGCTAGCTCATCTGATTGAAATTAATTAATAGATAATCGTGGTCGGTACGTAGTTAGGGCAAAGGATTTTGCTTTTGCTTATTTCGAACTATTTCTATTTGTTCTTCTTTTTTGCTTCGTCGGTTCATTTTATAGTGTCTGAAATCCGATAAACTCCTTGGCTTGTTTAGTGCGAATGGTACTTTCAAAGTTTCTTCTGGTTAGTAATAACAATCAATGCAAGGGTAGATGACAACATCAACAATGGGAAGAAGTTACGTACCTACTGCAAGAAGGAGAGCCATGTGATCAAGGATGATACCTCGTTAATTTGTTCTACATCGGATATACAAATATTTGTGTAGAAAATTATATTTTTTGTGCTACAAGATGATGTCCATTTGATAATCTTTAGGTAAAGAAATTCATACTATCTTGTCACTATCACATTACGATATAATTATTATGGTAATATCTTGATATGATGGGGATATGATGGCCAGTGTTGTCACTCTTACTATCATAGTGATGAGAACTGATAGGAGTTGTCACTTTTTTTTTTTTTCCAGAGGAAGGCCCCCCGGTTGAGGATTTACGGCTTGTCCCCGCACTACTTATTAGTAAAATCCCTTCCTTAATTAATTAACTAGATAAATGGCCCGGGCTACACGCCGGGTATCTCCATATACCATTATTTTGAATTTTTCGGTGATTAAGAATTGTCTTTATAGCAGTGTTATAATGTTGCTGGCATGTCGATCGGCTGGTTGAATAATCGGTATCAGTTATGAAATCGATATGAATACCACCTGTTTAACATGCATGATTGATTTATGACATTTAAACAGAATGACGTCGTTTTAGTGAATTTAATCGATAAAAATTTAACTTTTTATTTATTTCGTGAATTAGAAAGTTAAATGTTGATGCTATTTGTTGAATTCAAGTATAATTGTCTTGAAATATGCTTTACATATGCTTAAATTCACTTGATGTGAAATGATTTTTCACATTTCTACATATTTTGTTAAACCGTTATGAACCTGTTGGACTCCGCTGGAACCGCTACCACCTGCTGTATCGACACAACGAAATAAACCTGTTTGCAACGTACAACTGAAAAAATTACATGGAAGATTTAAAGGTGAGATAACAATTAGGATGTAGTTTTAGAAAGGAACGGAGTTGACAGAAGTGATTTTATCACCCTATTACATCATCACCCTACAACGTCTTTCATCTCACAAACTAAATTCCCAACGATTCCTGTATATACATCCATCCAAGCAATTATGTCAATATTCACCAAATGCTTGAGTAATCACTAATTCACTATCATCCGGACATAATACGATTTTACATAGTGCATGAGGACATTAATAATATACATCCATCCAAGCAATTATGTCAATATTCACCAAATGCTCGAGTAATCACTAATTCACTATCATCAGGATATAATACGATTTTACATAGTGCATGAGGACATTAACAATGTTATCAATGTACGATCTCTATTCACTTAATGGAGAGTCCTACGGCCGTACGTGCATCCGCGTGGTGTGCATGGTCTTGCGGTACACCTTAGCACATACTACTGGACCCCTTATATCATACTTACGCTATTTATTATCTAATAATAATAATAATAATAATAATAATTGACTAATTGTGAGTAGTTACGACTCTGTTACAACAAACAAACGCAATATTCTGGGATAGAAATGATTGTGTATATATGGATTCAATATATCGAAACCCTAATCCTGGAAACAAGTATATACATAGGCGCACATTTGACTGTATGCATTCGCATACAGAGAGAGATCGATGGGTGCTTACAACAGCAAAGCTGAAGCAGCTGGCTATGCAAAGACGCACAGCGATGATGAGGAATCACTCAAACAGAACAAAGAGGTTCGTCTCAAGTACTATTATTATTATTGTTGAAGTTTGCTCTTATTTCCTTGTAGTGATCGATTATCATTGCTAATACATGATATCGAATTCAGAAGGTGATAACCATTGATCATCACGAGGATCTCGTCTACGACAAGACTCCGCTGTCGATCGGTTCGGCCTGTGTCTACGACGAAATGTGGGTGCAAATCCCAAGGAACACCGCCATCCCAACCAAGAAGTTCGAGTTTTTCATGGCCACCGCGTTGGACAACCAGGAATCAATGACGTTATCGTTTTACCAAGGCGAAAGAGCAAAGGCGAGTGACAACAAGCTTCTTGGCACCCTAGAATTCAAGGGCATCCCGCCCGCTCCCTACGGTGTGGCGGAGATCACGTTCTGCGTCGACGTCGACGGCAAGGGCAACCTGAACGTGTCCGCCGAGGACAAGTCGACCGGGCGGAAGGAGACCATGAGCGTACCGGGCGTCGGGGTGAAGGGAAAGCTTCTGACGGCGGAGGAGGTGGCGGAGATGGCTCGACAAGGAGAGAAGCACGAGTAGGAGGATGACGAGTACGTGGAGAAGGTGAGCGCCATGAGAGCGATGAAGGAGTATGCAATCGTGATCAGAGAGAACGTGGCGGCTGGGGGTTACTCCCGAAAAACGGAGGAAGGGTTCAGGGATGTGGTTGACAAGATGCTGGACGAGTTTAAGGAGAAGGCGAAGGATTTTGGATTGGAAGGTGGTGACAAGAATATTATGCATGTGTAAAACCTTAGGTCATCTTTGAAATAATTAATAGATCGTGGTCGGTTGTTAGGGCTTGAAAATAGCGATGTGCAAATCCCGTGACTGATGGTTTGGTCACAGGAATTGGCTGCATGACTCTTGTGATTGAAAGTGATTTTTTTTTTCTTCTAGTGGTGGACTATGTGTAAAATGGATTTGGATTAAGATCTCGACTATCCCAGAAGTTTATTTAGTTTTGCATAATTTTAGGATGTTTTCCAAATTGCAGGCGGGGGATTGTCGAATTACATCATCAAGAAATCGAAATCCTTCACGAGCTTCTGACGGCGGAGGAGGTGGTGGAGATGGCTCGACAAGGAGAGAAGCACAAGTCGGAGGATGACGAGTACCTGATGAAGGTGATTGTCATGAAAGTGATGAAGGAGTATACAATGAAAGATCAGAGAAAATGCGGCGGCGGGAGCCTACTCCCGAAAAGCGGAAGACGAATTTAGGGTTGTGGCTGAAAAGATGCTGGACGAGCTTAAGGAGAAGGCGAAGGATTTTGGATTGGAAGGTGATGCATGTGTAAAACCTAGCTAGCTCATCTTGATTGAAATTAATAGATCGTGGTCGGTACGTAGTTAGGGCAAAGGACTCATGTTTTGATGTTGCCAATTTTACCTCATATCGGTATATTGTTCAAGAAAATTATATTTTTTGTGTCCATTTGATAAATTTTTGGGTAAAGAAATTCAAACTATCTTGGTCACTGTCACATTACGATATAATTATTAAGGTAATATCTTGATATGATTGGGATATGATGACCGGTGTTGTCACTCTTACTGATGAGAACCGCGTGTTGAAAAATGGGCGCAACAAACCAAAGGGTCAGTCAGTAACAAGGTCCACGGGGTGGAGGTCACTCGGGTCAATTTTTTTTCTTTGGTTTGCTAATTCCATCTCTTTTTCGATTCATCCCTTCGCCTAACACTATCTTTGGAATCCTAATTGAACATTTGAATATTAAAATTATATGAGTGTGTTTGACTTTCACTATATATTAGATGAAGACGGGCAATTAACTCTCAATCCACTTGCTCGACCAGGCCAACAGGCTTAACCGGATTGACAACATGGTCTACTTAATCAATTAATTAGTTCTGTTTCTGACTTTTTAAGAATTAGGAGTCTGTTGCAACAAACACAATCGGGGATATATTTATATAGGTTTATTCTGCCAATTCAATATTGATTCCATATATTTCTGAGGCTGGAAAACCTAAATACGTATTGGATGCAAGTATAGGCGCAGATTTGTTGTTGAAGAGAGAGATGTGGGCTTTACAACAGCAAAGCTGAAGCAGCTGGCTATGCCAAGACGCATGGCGATGACGAGGAATCATTACCGGAGGGCGGAGACTCTCTGTTCTGTATTGGTCTCGTCGGGCTGATGCTCTTTTCCTTTCTTTCCTGTTTGCTTTCGTTTCACTCCCGTGTTTGACTCTTTTGTTTGTTTCTTTTTTAATAAAGTTCATTATCATTATTGAAAGAAAAAAAAAATCACAAAAAACAAGCACTATTACGTGCTACCTATTAGGAGATTCAAGTACTCAAAATGAGTTTAGAATGACGAGAGGCAAAACTCCACCGAGCAATAGCCAAACCCTATGCTAGTGACTAGAGATAAAAAAAAAAAAATCGTGAGTAGAAAGGCCACCACAGAAGGAAACAGAAAGATCGATAGATTTTCATGCATCGATTAAGATCGATTAACAAGGGGGAAAAAAAGAGGAACTTTACGAATACTTTTATGGTACAAAATAAAATTATACCTTTCGAAGTGGTACGTTAAAACACGAATGCGTAAGTGCTCGACAAAAAAAAAAAAAAAATCAAAAACCAACTTTGCACCGTCGATCCGACAAAGACAGCGAGATTCTACCCGTGATCAAAGAAATCTTGATCAGAAGAACAAAATCGTACGTATATGGACCCTGCAACTAAACCCAGCAGCAAATATCTCTCCTTGCATGGAACAACAACAACAACAACAATAACCATGAAAACGAATTAAGCTAGAAGATCAAACTAGGCAGGCGGGTAGATGGAATCGGAGGAGGAGGCGGCCTTCTTCTCCAACTCGAGGATTCTTTGCTTGATAACTGGATCTCGACGTAGCGTGGCAATCTCGTTCTTGAGTTTGGTGATGGCTCGGAGCAGCAGACACCCGAGGCCGCACATGGTGAGCGCAAGGCCGGAACACAGAAGAGCTTCTCTTGCCAACTCCGGCCACTCGCGCAACAGGCGGCAGAGGATGAATCCCACGACAGCGGGCATTGCCACAATCGCGATGCAGGTCTTGTCCCGTATCCTCATACTAACTAAAACAACGTACGCAGACGCAGACGCAGACGCAGGGAAACTATAAATATAATATCTGAGAAGAATATATATGCATGCACCCGCCCGGCCACTTAGGGTTTATATAGAAATCAGCTAGCTAGGGTTTTGGCATGAATCAATTTTACGTACCAACTACGAATACCTAGTAGTTCCCCTATCAAATTAGGATTAATTCTTGTTCTTTTTATTTATTTATATCCTTCTTCCCTTTTGTTTTCGAAGTAGAGGCAAAACGTCCGGCCCAGAAACTCTATTTAAAAAACGAAGAAGATAGTCTCACCAAAAAAAAAAAAAAAACGAAGAAGATAGAGCTGGGATGCAACATGGCTCAAATCTTGTCTTGCCCGTTCCTGTACGGTTAATTTATGAAACTAGACCGCCCCACCTCTATTTGTCTAGTCCTCTAAGGTCGGGTCTGATCGAGTCAGTGGGTCGGGTCTAACTCGGACCAAAATCAATCAACATATTGATTTTGACACCTAACTTTGTTTTTTCTTACCATTTAGTACCTTTATATTTTTCTACTTTGCTTTACAGTATCTAAACTTTTAGAAACATGTCCAATTATCGTATGAGAGAAATTTTTATATCATCAGTAGTTGTTATGGGTCATAGGGTCAATCCTGTTTGTTCAAATATCGTATGAAAAATTATCCGATCCTAAGTTGATCTAACCGTTACACGATCTAATCCTTGTGCTTCTCTTTTTAAACAAGGTGAAAGAAAAAGGACAAGTGACAACAAACTTTCTTGGTACTATAGAATTCAAGGGTATCCCGCTCTCAGTTGTGTTCCAAAGATCACGATTTGCGTCGATGTAGATTCCAAGGGCAACCTAAACGTGTCTGTTGAGGACAAGTCGACGGGCCTGAAGGAGACTATGACCATACAGGGCATCAGGATCGAAGGAAAGCTTTTTTCGATGGAGGAGGTGGAGGAGATGGCTCGACAAGGAGAGAAGCACAAGTCAGAGGCATCGGGGGATACCGGGGGGGGGGGGGGGGCACACTAGGTCCGGGCCCAGCCCTCCCTGCCTCCACAAGACCCAACCCAGCTGCATAATCATTTGGGCCCAGCCCCAGCCAGCCCAAACAAATCCCAAAGAATCAAACAATCTCCCGCCCCTATTCCTCTTTAGCTTTCCCTGCAAGTCTGGGAACAAAAAAAAAAAAAGGAAGAGGAACAGCCGAACAGACTTGCTCGGCGCTCGCTACTCACCACCTCCCCGAGACTCTTTGCTCGACGCCGCAGATCCCCTCTCATGGCCAGCTGGCCTTCGTTCTTTCTCCGTCCGCAGACTTAATAATCAAGTTCCGGCCGGCCAATTCCCTTCACAGTAGTGATTACACGACAAGGACAACATCAACAGGTAATTGCAATTTGCCAATTGATCTTACTGTCTTAGTTTAGTACTTTAGTTAGTCTTATTTACTTAGAAACTAGGTTTGTACAGTGCAATTATTCATTAACCCATTAACATAGAATTTAATATTAGGATTTCTCATATATCTTACTTGGTAGAATTTGTATCCAAATTTACTTAGAATTTAGTGTTTGACTGCGTTGTGTACATGTTTAATTGATTATGCAGATTTCAAGATATTTTATCATGACATCTTCTCAACCACCAAATAAAAAGGCGAAAACGACATTGTTTTCTTACTATCAACGTAAGGAATCTGAAATGTGTCAGACCGAAGAAGTCCCTCCTAATGAAGGTCAACCATCTTTCTCTCCAGTTCAGAATGAATCATCTACTTCTCCTGTACCCGGTAATCTACTTCCATCATCTGATAGTGGAGTTGAAATTGAAAGAGATCCAGGAAAGAGAAAACAAATATGTGATTGGGCTCTTGAGTTGAGAGATGAGGTTAGGAGAAAATACCTAATACACATGGCTTATCAACCTAAACTCGCATACTAAAAGCCGCGAGAATATCCAGATAAAATTCGTCACTTTCAAGAAGCATGGTATTCACAATTTGATTGGTTGGAGTATTCTCCTACAACACATAAAGCATATTGTTTCCCATGTTTTTTGTTTAGAGACAAAATGAATGGGAATCAAACTTCCGCACTAGTGCAAGATGGATTTGATAATTGGAAGAGGGTTCATGGTAAGAAATGTGTGTTCCTTCTTCATGTTGGTTCATCAGCTTCTTCAAGCCATAATAAATGTGTTGTAGCAGCTGATGGCTTGATGAAACCCTCTGGTCATATTGATAAAGTGATGCACAGAATTGGTGGAGAAGAAGTTCTAAAGTACCGTCCCATACAACATCGTATTTGTTTAGCGTTTGCAGACTCATAATGTGCCAACGATATTGAAGTTTGCACCATTATGAGGAGGGAACTGCATATGCCCATTATGCCCATTGGCATAGCATAAACAACTGGTAAGGCTGTGAGGGGAATCTGTTCATTTGCTGTAGCTTGCAGCATAGAGAAAGGCTTGAATAAGAATTCGTAGATTCAATATTCGGCTCAACTTCTCGGGTCGGGTTATAAGCTAGTGAAGATTAATAATAAAAAAATTTGGTTGAAAACGTAGCGCTTAAAGGGCGCATTAACTAAACGGGCCGATTGGTTTTCTTGTTACACGCCGTTGTAACTTTTCCATACATGCATCGATTGGGTAATCACAAGCTTTTCTCCAAGCAACAGTGCTAAATTAGGATCCCGATGAAGATTACACAACACAACAACAAAGAAACAAGGGGCGGAAAATATAACAAAACCAAATTTGCGCCATTATTGATCCCACAAAGAAAGACGATGAGATTCTACTAGTCAATGACATATTGATTAGGCAGAATAATATTGAAAAAAAAAAAACAGAATTAAACTAGAAGAACAAACTAGGCGGCGGGCAGATGGATGCGGAGGAGGAGGCGGCCTTCTTCTCCAGCTCGAGGATTCTCTGTTTGATAACTGGATCGCGACGTAAATCGAAAAGTTCGTTCATGAGCTTGATCATGGTTCGTTGCATCAGCCACACGAGACCGCACATGGTGAGCACAAGGCCGAAGCACAGAAGAGAGCATCCTGCCAACTCCCACTCACGCAACAGGAGGCAGCGGATGAGTCCAGCGACAGCGGGCATTGCCAAAATCGCGAGCCAGGCCTTGTCCGATATCGCCATGCTAACCTAAAACAACGCCAGCTTGGAGGGAGAGATCGATCGGATGCATGCACCAGCTCGGCCACTAGAGTTTATTATATATATAGCTATAATTACCTCCCTAGCTAAGCTAGGGTTTTGGCATGAATCAAAGTTACGTACTAACTACCGAGTATACCTAGTAGTTCTCCTATCAAAATAGGATTTCTTCTTTTCTCTCTTTTTTTTTTTTAATTCTTCTTCCCTATTGTTTTCGAAGTAGTGTCTAAAGGTCGAGACAAGAACTTTTTTAAGATAAAGAAGAAGAAGAAGAAGATAGAGTTGGGTTGCAACAATGACTTAAATCTTGTCTAACCACGTGCGTTGCTGTTAACTTATGAAACTGGACCGTCCCATTATCTCTATTTCCTTGTTGATCTTTCCTGGTCCTCTAAGGTCGGGCGGGTCTGGCCGAGTCAGTGGGTCGAGGTTGATTGGGCCACAAAATCAATCACCATATTGATTTTTTTTGAAAATTGTATTTTGGTACCCAATTTTATTGTTCTTACCGTTTAGTAACTATACTTTTCTTTTACAAATAGGTCCATAAGTTAGGATGGTCAGATTACATTTAGTACCTTTATACTTTTCGCCTTGCATTATAGTACCTAAACTCTTACAAACATGTCCAATATCGTCTGGAAAATTTTTATATCATTAGTTATTGTAATGGGTACTGTCATAGGACCAAAAAATGACCCGATCTGGCTTTGATTTCAACATGATCAAAAGATGACCCGCGCGATGCTAAAATAAACTTGTGGACAAATTGACTCAGCCCGACCCTCAGAATTGGTCGTGCCGGATCAGTGGGTATCTCCAAGCTTACTACCCTAAACATTATTGTCAGGTAGGGGTGGGAAATGGGCGGGTTGGGTGGGTTTTCGTCTTAAATTGACCCATCCGCTTACTAGCGGGTTGGAATAATTGTGACCCGCAATCCACCCACATTCTTATACGGGTCGGGTTGGATAGGTGGCGGATGAGTGCGGTTGGGTCGTGGGTTAACCCGCAAAAACATTTCTCCAACTAACTATTAAGAAAGTTGACTAACATTGATAATAAGTTCATAGTCATAGCAAAGTAGTAAGATTGTATCAATTTAGACACTTATCACTTTCTCTCTAGTGAATCCATGTAGTATTTGCATAAAAAAAATTAATACTCTATCCATCATTTGTGTATAGAAAACTTAAGCATGTTGTGATTTTGATACAATTAATAATTTATAGTTTTCATCCCAATATGTAATGGATATTAACAATAATTTGCATTCCAATATCCAATAAATGGATATTAATTACACAGCACAATAACCACTAACAGTAGTCAAAAGTATTATTTACTCTCCACATTAAGAAGTATATGGTCAAACCGTAGTGCGGTTTGGAAATATGATGAATATTCGATACTATAAGAAACAACATTTTTCATGTGAAAATAGGAAGCGGGTCATTCGGGTGACCCGCAATCCACCCACCCACCCACATAAGTGCGGGTGAGAGATTTATCAATCCGCAATCCACCCACATCAATCACCCACAGCTTGCGGGTCGGGTTATTTGCGGGTGGATCGATATCAATCCGCGGATTACCCACCCACATGCCCACCCCTACTGTTAGTGTCAGGCAAGGTTGTCAACCCGCGGGTTGACCCGGACCCGGTCGAGCTAGTGGGTCAAGGGTTAATGGGTCACCCGTTTTAGCCCGGAAATATGAAAAGAGTCATTATATTGTACTTATCTTGATAAATTATATCAAATCTCATCTAACATATGAGTAATAACATATAACATTACACCAAAGTAACATGTCGTACTTAGATCCAACATATAGTGAAAATTCACGCACACTTATATAACATCAAAATTCAAATGTTCAACTAAGGATTCCAAAGATTGAGTTAGGCGCGAAAAGAAAAATCGGAACATAGGCGCATTTCGCAAACCAAATAAAAAAATGACACAATTTGACCTCCAACCCAATACTTTATATTGGTCGACCCGGCGGGTGCGTGCGGCTCATTTTTCTCATCGGGTCAGGGTCAAAGTGGGTCGACCCCCGGGTTGACAACATTTGTGTCAGGTGATAAAGAGAGGTGATATAGAAGTTATCTACTTCCTTCATTAATTAAGTAATTAGTTGTACATGTTTAATTCCGACTTGTTAGTAGTCTGGTACAACGAACGCGATCTAGGAATATCATTTCTCTCGATTCTATATTGATTCAATATATCTCTGAGGCTCGTATATAGCCTTGGAAAACCCTAATACCGGAAGCAGATTAGTTGGTGCGCATTCATTCGCACACAGAGAGAGTGAGAGAGAGAGAGATGGGGGCTTACAACATAATGAACGTGCTCAGGGCCTTACAACGTGATGAAGCAGCCGGCTACGCAAAGGCGCATGGCGATGATGATGAGGAATCACTCAAACAGGTCCGTTTTCAAGTATCATTGCACCTTCTAGCTTTTTTTTGGATTGTAGTTCTCGTATACGACGATCGATCGATGACAATTGATTATTGTTATTACTACTACAACATGATGAACGTGGTCAGGAGGTGAAGGATGATCTCCAGTACTATTACGTAACTCCGCTGTCCATTGGCGTGTCTGATTGTTTCGATGAAATGGTGGTGCAAATCCCAAAGAACACCACCATCCCAACCAAGAAGTTCGAGACGATCTCGACCACCACGTTTGACAACCAGGATGGCACGGTAATTTCGTTTTACCAAGGCGAAAGAAAAAGGGCAAGTGACAACAAGCTTATTGGTACCCTAACGTTCAAGGGTATCCCGCCAGCTCCCAGGGGAGTTCCAAAGATCACGGTTTGCGTCGATATCGATGCCAAGGGCAACCTGAACGTGTCTGCCGAGGACAAATCGACCGGTCGGGAGGTGACTATGAGCATACCGGGCGTCGGGGTCGAAGGAAAGCTTTTGTCGAGGGTGGAGGTGGAGGAGATGGCTCGACAAGGAGAGAAGCACAAGTCGGACGATGACGAGTTCTTGAGGAAGGTGAAGGTCGTGAAAGCAATGAAAGAGTATACAATCGTGATCAGAGAAAATGCGGCGGCGGGAGCCTACTCCGAGAAAGCGCACGACGCATTTATGGACGCGGTTGGAAAGATGTTGGACGAGTTCAAGGAGAAGGCGAAGGATTTTGGATTGGAAGGTGACAAGAAGATGTGTAAAACTTAGCTAGCCATTAACCGTCTATCATTTTTGGAATAAATAGGTTGTGATGATATCATTAGTTAGGACTCGGAGTGTGATCGGTTAGGGTTTCAAATGCAAGTCATATCAGGGCCGTCCCATGATATTCGGAGTCCCTCTTTGATAATTTAAAATGTGACCCTAAATTTTTATTTCCATAAATTTATTAAAAATAAAAATTATTAAATAATTATAAAAATACATAGACTCGGAAAATAATTACAAAATGAATAAATGGTCACGTTTCCAGTTTGACGAAGAAACCAAGACCAAATTCCCAACCTAGTAGGGAGGAAAGTAAATCTGGAGGGAAGAGAAAATGGATATAGCGCAAAAATTGAATGGAGAAATGAAAATATTCTAAATTGATCGAGAGGTGGGTGCAGGACGGTCTAATGATTCATGGACGGTCTAAATGAGTCATGATTGATGAAGATGGAAGATCGTCTCTACAGCTCTATACCATGAATAAACATAAACTAAAAATGAAAGACACAACGAGATTTACGTGGTTTTTTCGTTCATATCGAACGGGAGGCTTTCCACTCTCAGGGTGATGAGATTATGATGGAATAGAACTAGGGTTACAGCCGATAATTACAACCCAATAAAAAGGGAGTCCGCTTCTACCAAAGCTACGCGGACAGAATATGGGGAAATTACAAATCAGTCCCAAAGAAAATAAATGTGACTAAGGAGGATACGTAACAGTCAGCAATGGGTAGAAATAAATATATCGAAAATCACGAATAATAAATAATAAATCTTAGCTTCAATCCTAATTAGTAAATCATGGTTGTAACTTGTAAGGAGTGTATCACATCGAAACCCTAATTGCCTTGTATAATCAACTATATATATAGGTAAATTATTCTGTGTATTATCGACCAAGTATTATATATTCCTGAGGTTCCTAGGGTTAGAAACCCAATAGGCAGACGCCACTCGAGATGGGGGCTAACAACAGCAAAGCCGCAGACTATGGTGCCAATGCTGCAAAGAGACACGAAGATGATGAACCGCAGAAACAGAACAAGGTACCTAATTATGCATATTATAAAGTATACAAGTAGGTGTCCCCGGCTACATGTCGTTATTTTGACTTTCAGGCCTGGCTGAACTCCAGGATGTAACTATCGATTTGGTTCTATCAATATATGATTATCTTTTGTCAAAAAAAAAAAAAAAAAAAAAAGTAGGTTTATGCTTGCGCCACTAAAAGCACAAATTAGCTTGCAATAAGTACTTCTAATATAAACTTTCATTAGTACATCGATGATTTCACGATTAATTTGTTGCAGGGTGGAATTCGATCACGATATAAGATTTATGATAGATTGACAATATGTATCTACAGTGGGTTAGCTAGTTGTTGGTGTATATGCACTAGTTTTAATTTCGATTTCGATTTCTATCGGCAATCTGACGACTATCTGGAGATTTGTTATTGGGGAAAATTGGTTCTTATTCTTTTAACATGTGTGATCAAGCTAGCACTTCTCTCACTTAATAGATTTTTGTATTGCTTCTAGCGTATTTACTTTTTACAGTCTGTCCTAGCTTTCTCAAATTTCTTAATTTGGCTCCCCCTGTTAGTATCTAACCAGTACTGCCTAACAAAACTAGAGTTTTTTACCTTGTTATGATCAATCATAGGTGAATGAGTTTGGAGTTCTCAACATTTTCTTTTGTAAGACTTTTGTTAATTTTTATTTGCTTCCTAGCATTGATCACTTTTCTGGATGTTTTCAATTGATTTTTTTTTTTTTATGAAGATGATTTTATTAATAAGAAAAAAGGGTTATAATCTGTACAAAGAGATCAGGAGGGATGATCCCACAAACATAAGAACCAGAAGAAGAAAAGAAGAGGGAGAGCCACAAGATGGTTCGAACACCCCCAAAAAGAAAGCAAGGGAAGTCCAAGCAAAGAAAGCTCAGATTCCCACCGACCAAATAGGCTAGCCCATTTGGTGGCTCGTAAAGCCCTTTCTTTGTACCCGACTATGAGTCGTTTCTTTGATTTTCAGGCCTGGCTGAATTCCAGGATGTAACTATCTTTTATGATCAATATCAATCTATCTTTTGTCAAAAAAAAAAAAAAAAAACAGGCAAACATCCGCTGAATATAAATACTTTGCACAACACAGGACAGCACAGAGCAGCTCCCTCTGCTCGATTATGATTCAAAAACCAGCACCTTCCTTGTTCATTGTATCTGTCGAATGCGCTCCCGAACCCAGGAAGCTGCCCCCAGGCGATCGATCTTTCCATTCGCAACTCCCCATCCTGCAACATTCTTCAAAACTTTCCTAACGATCTGATCGGGATTCCTCGAGATAGCATTAAAGATTCTGTTATTTCTTTCCAGCCAGATACACCAGCAAACAGCGTGGAAAGCACAGTAAACAAACCAGCCTTCCATACAGTCGGGGATGTCAGTTGGCCAGTTCTTCAGGATGACGTCGAGATCGTTGCCTGAAGGGAAAACAGACTGCCTACAACTTCTCCTGATGATGCTCCAGACTTGCTTTGTGAAAATACAGTCAACGAGCATATGGGTATTCGTTTCTTCATTCGTGTAGCACAGATCACATCTATTAGCCAAACTCCAGCCACGTTTCTTCAGTTTGTCTTGCGTCAGGATGCTGTTGTGCGCCACTGTCCAAATGAAAAAACATATCTTTGAAGGAACGATTTTCCTCCAAACAGAATCTGCAGGGAATGAGGAAATTCCTGGACACCTGTTCTCCAACAATGCTCTGTACATGGATTTGACCGAAAAGCCTGCCTCCTGGTCAGGAAGCCACACAAGTCTGCACGGACTATTAGCACCGATAGTGAAATCAAAGGAATTAAGAAGTGAAATCAAATTTTGTTTTTCCTGCTCAGCACCCCTTCTCAATTGAATATTTGTGTGTAAATTAATAGAAACATTATCACCTGAAAGTTCCACGATGTCGTTGATCCTAGCATCCAAGTTAGTGGTGACAGCAGCAACTCGAGGGAAGTTAGCCGCAAGAGAAGGGTTCGAAATCCATCGATCATACCAGAAGGAGACGAATGAGCCGCTTCCTGGCTCTACCAGACTAAAATTCCAGAACAACTCAGCCTCTTTCATAATATTGGCCCAAATTGAGCTTGACCTGCCCCCTCGAATTCCACCAGTGTGCCAATGAGAATTACCTTTGGAATATTTAATGTCTATGAGACTCCTCCACCACCCATTACTGTTGACTCTATAATTCCATAACCACTTGCTGAGCATGGCACTATTGAAGGCGGCTAGATCTCTAATGCCCAGACCCCCGCTGCTTTTATTCAATTTGCAAATCCTCCACTCTACAAGAGGTGTTTTCCTCTTGTCCCCAACCCCACTCCATAGGAATTTCCGCTGTAATTTCTCCATCTCCTCAATCACCTGTTTTGGAGCTTTAAAAAGCGAGAAGTAATATACTTGAAGATTTGACAGCACAGACTTGAGGAGAACCAGTCTCCCCCCAGCCGAGAGATACCTACTGCTCCAGCTATTCAATTTCTTCTTATATTTCAATTGATTTAAATTGTTATTACCGTATGAAACAATCTCTCTTGTTTCTATATATACTAGTAAGGAAGCCCGCGCTTCGCGGCGGGGAGGTTATATTGGGAAAATGTAGAGTTTTTAGTGGAAATTTGGAGATTTTTGTGCACCTTAATAGTTTTTATGTGCATATCAGATACACAAACTTATTAAATATTGCAAGGCGGGTGTTACCATATAATGGAGCAAGAGACATTGGTTGTTGTTAGATTTATTGATTGGGAAAGTACAGCTTAGATATTTTGCTGTTTTGCATTGGATGTGGTTTAGAAGAGTGCTATCTGGTGATGGTGGGGTAAGTGAAAGGTACCTAACCGCGACTTGAAATTTGTGGAGATATTTACATTTCCCCCTTGAAACTTCAAATAGCAGTACAAAAGGAGTATTAGTTAAATAGGCAGGAGGGTCGAAAAGCATAATTGCATGTCATGCAAGCACTCACAACAGCAGAGGTAATATGGTATATAGTTGATGATCAGAGTTTTGCTTATTATTTTTTTTCCCGGATAGATACAGGAAAAGATTTATGGTTGTCAACATCTTAGCACAATTACTTTTTTCACAGGTAGAGACTGTTTTGATGAGTCTATTGCTGAGGCTGGCTGTGGTCGACTGCAGAAAGGATGGTAAACTCTAGAGGGTTTCAGGCAAATATCCAGGTTTAGGAAGCTGAACATGCAACGAAAACCAAAGTCCATTCATGGCCACATTTTTTGGAGGGAAATATCCATGGTGTTGGGGGTGGCGCACTAATAGTTCGTCATCTGTAACCCCAAGCAAATATTCAGCGGTCTTTCCAAGTATGATAAAGTACGCCGAACCAGTAGTGTCTCTGACAGTCAAATGGACTTTGTAGCTGGAAAAATGTATCAAAAATTCAGAGTTCCGTTGTTCATGGGTATTGTAATGGGAAAAAATGCTGGATGCTAAACTAAGCAAATTTGGGTCTCTTGAGGTATCAACTGGCCATGTTCATCACACCAAAAATCATTAGTGCCAGGAAGCTACCTAGTTGTCTTAAAACAAAAGGCACATCCTAAGTAAAACCACGGTCGTGAAGACTCTGCGGGGAGGGTTTGTGTTAAGCAACGGTATTGCGTAGCCTGCAGGGAAATAAAATAGGTGAGCAAAGTTAGTTAGGCAGGCAAGCACTTTGTTGGTTTAAGGGAAAAAGGGCCTGTAAAAACGGTACCAGGAAGTGGTCAAGCAAGCAGATTAAGGCATCAGTTATAAGGAGGACAATGTTTGCTAATTTAAGCAAAGCCAGACAATCTGAAAAAAAAGGGAATGCTACATGACATGATTGTGAAACCAAGCGGAATTCAGGTAATCGATTGTTGTAAAGTGAAGAGCCTTGTTGTTCAACATGGTCGTGTATGGCGATGCCACGTCCTGATAACTTCATGGCGACCAACTCGTTTGAGGTGTAGAGTTCGAGTACGCACCTCAAACGAAATTCTTGGAATAATGCGGCTGCTGCATCGTGGTTGAGGAGAAAGTAGTAGGAGTTTGTCACGCCTTGTGCCACGATGAAAATGTAAAAGGTGTGAACAAAAGTATAAAAACTTCAGCATAGCAAGAAGTTGTACTTCAAGAGTTGTTGGATTTCCAGTTATTTAACTCAAGAATAAATGTATCAATCTAATCAAAGAACCTACCGTTGGTTTCTAGTTATGGCTACCTGATCTTTCCGTTGAACTGGAGCTTCTCCTTCAGACTGGTTAGTATCCAGTTTCAGCAACTGCCACACCAGTAGTTCTGTTGAGACAACAAATTCATCTTCTGCAACTTTTGTTCCACCATTGATAGCAACTTCAATTGCAGACACCCATTTATAAACATAAACAAAAAGGGCGGATATCTCAGGCAAAAAACTACATGAAACCTGATAAATCTAACAATAAGTCAATTGAACTTATTAGACCGACTCTCCTGCCAGGTTTACTTAACTTTTTTCATGTATGCAGAGCATTTGTCCTGTAGCACACCATCAACCTGACCAAGTTCTTCATTCAAATTAGCCGTTGCAGGCTTGCAGCACCTGTTCGAATCCTTGTGACACAGCAGGAAAACAATCAGAACTGACCCTAAGCAAATATTCACCTTTTTGAATGATTTAAAGCGGATTGTTTGATGGCACAAAAGGTGTTGGGTAAATGGCTATATTGAGAATTACTGAACTATAAAAACTCAAAGCAAAATAAAATAAGTGACTGCTACAGACATAAAAAGTATCCAATTAACCCAATGGAACAATGAATATGCTAACTGGCATTCAAATGAAAGTCAGGCTCTTAAATTTTGACTAAGTTCAGTATTGAATATTGATACATGACCAGTTTAAATGAAAGCAAGACAAATCAAGATTATGAAGCACTATAGCGGCTGACCTAACCTTTCCTACTGATTTGAAGAGACTTCAGAATTCTAGTGTCTTTTCCTAATCCACCTTCTCTTGAAACTCCAAGAGCTCAACCTTCTTTTATGTGGCGGTAGGATTCCAGCAAGGATTAAACCAACCACACATACAGAGGTTGTAAGAAGACTGCTGGAACGTGACATGAAGTAGAAGGAACTTAATTAGTCAAACTGAGAGGTCCCGAGGCAAAAATATATGTAGGCTATAGTCCTTACCTCTTTGCATAAATCTATAACGTCAGTGAATGACACCAACCTGCTGAAGTTTTTCTTAACCAAGACATGATGGCAAAACATATGTACTTGTATTATTCCTGAGTTGTAGGCATGATTGGATTAGTGAGTTCAATCTTTATTCTAAAAGCATAATATGAGTAATAGATATGTGGTTAGTAAAACTATTGTTCATCTTGTATTATTACCGAATTGCAGGCATGATCGGATTATGATTTCGATCCTTGTTCTAACAACATAATATGAGCATTAGATATGTGGTAACTAAAGTTGTTCATTTAGGATGTAGAACATGTTGTAATGAAGCATATCGACACTCCTAAGAACCCAACTGACACATCAAAACCAACGAAGCTCGATAAAATCACACTGATAGTGCTATAGATTACCACACAATTAATGTCCACCTGAATTCTCCAACATTCACGCATCTGTCTACAAACCTAAATAGATTTCTAGGAAGGCTCATACAATGGAGCTTACAACAGCAACCATAAAGGCAACAAAACTTGCAAACAGTGATGGCCACCAGACTAATGTATCGAGCAAGATTTGACCTTTCAGTTTTTTTACTGTAATACTAACTACAAAAGATTATGGATGAGATTAGATAAAACATTAGTCATCTTTAATATCTGTAAAAGGTTTGAGAAAGGGTAAAAAAAGGTTAAGTTACATGGTCAATCTTAAAACCAAAATGGGAACGGAATAACGAAGTCAAAGTGTAAACTCTGGTTACCTTGAGCTGGGTTTCGGAGTGTGAGACTAAAGCCTTAAAAATGCCTGGAAGGTGCTATAGAAGGTTAAAAAGCACCAATTGCAGGTCTTCACCTCGATCCCAATAACATGATTTGTCTGTTATGGTTTCCTTCTTTGCTGAAACCCAAACTTGTATTGCTTATCTGTTTGAAAAGCAATCAAAACCTCAATGCTAAGAAGTTTCAAAATGAATCAAATCATATCTAAACAACCATTGCAAGGAAGTACCTTGTAAAAAAAGGATTAAGCTGGAACCAGTGGGTGAAGACTTTCAAAATGTGTTGTTTAGAAGGTAAGCACCCAAACTGAGTAAGCTAAACCTGCGAATCATTGAGCAATTAAACAGTTAAAGCATGGACACAGGAAAAAGGATATAGGTTGAATGTGCAAAGCGGTAAAAGAACGTAACGTTTACAGCAAAATTTCATATGTCAAACACTTCTAGATTTGCTCTATACATAAAGCTCTCACTATACCAATGTTATGATTTGCAAGTTCATTGGCAGTAAAGATGTAACAATCAGCCTTCCACCACTATCTAAATGTAATCCTAAACATTTTATTAATTACAAAGCAACCCAAAGATGGTACATCTATAGATCGATTAAATCTACTAATTGCAGTAAATTTTGTATTGAGATTGTGACCAAGAATTTTCGGTTACCTCAGCATGAAGATTGAAATCTCTTTGGAAGTGTTGTGACCTGTCCACGCCTCTAGATTTTGACCTTCTAAGCAGGATCCTCGCTTTAGAGTCTGAACTGATAACAGTTGTGTGAGGCTTCCCCGCATACCACTATTGGTGAAAGAAAGGAACTCCTTTCAGATTATGCACAAATGACTATCATCTCTGAAGGATTACTTGTCACAGCTTGATCAAGATGTTGAGTATTTCTCCAGTAACATAGTCACTGCTATAAGTTAGTCATGGTGGCCAATGCCTGCGTCAAAGCATCCTCACCAGTCAATCGCTTCTTGAATCCAGACTCAATTGAAAGAGAAGCACCATCTAATTCATACTACTAATCGACTGCAAAAGAAGATATTATCAATGAACAAAATTTTAAACAAATACCTAGCACATTGAGCAAAAGATTGGACGAAATTGCACCCTAAAAGTCCAGAATGAGATCAATAGGTCAACTCTAAAGCAAAGCAAGACAAAATTGAACAACCATAAATTTGATGACACTCAGCAAGAACATTAAGCAAGAGCAAGATATCAAAACACATAATATGTTTAAAAACTAAAAGGAAATAAAATTTAAAAGCCACCTAGAACATTTCCTACCTTTGCCAGCCAGCTACGTTGGTGTTGTCGTTGCTGACAAGCTTCGGGACAGCCTACATCGACTTTTTTTTCTTCTTCCCTTTGCTAAAATCAAATTAAAGACAAAAACATATCAGAACCGGATCAAGGAAAGCAAGACCCAGAACCCAAATCCAAAAAGAAGCTTACCCAGAGACCAGTGGCTAGCCCTCATCCCCTCTGCTGCATTCAGTAATATACACTGGTGAACGTTCCTCCCTTATCCTAACTCTTGACCGAACTTGAAAATCCAAAAAGAAAATCTGATTAGATTGCAGAACCCAACGACTGGAAAATCGAAACATACCAAAACCGAAAAGGGAAAAAAATCGACAAAAAAGAAGTCACCGAAAAGAAATATATGGTTTGCATTCGATAAAAGTAAGGATCAACATATGAGTTTCTTCATCAGGTTGGCAAAATTTAAATAATAGGCTAATGAAGAAAATTAATGTTCAAACTAAAAAAATGCTTCACCTCAGCAAGTAAACCATATTTAAGAAAGGAAATACAAAACTTCATCAAGAACAAAGACTTCTCCCATTTTCAGATGCGGAGAAAGACTGAAAGAGCATATAACAGTAAAGAGCATAAACAGAAAATCATGTTCTTGTTGTTGATTATTTATACCATCTCAATATTTCCTTATAAAGGAAGCAACTAACTGCCAAGGATGAGAAATGGCTCTTGCATTTTCAAATGCGGAGCAAGACTGAAAGAGCATATAACAGTAAAGACCATAAACGGAAAATTATGTTCTTGTTGTTGATTAATTATACCATCTCAATATTTCCTTACTAAAGGAAGCAACTAACTGCCGAGGATGAGAAAGGGCTCTTGCATTTGCCTATATTGGATCCTGATGGCTTGATTCTGAACAATGTTTCTCATTGAAGCTAGCAAGCATGTGATTTACAACTGATGGTCAAACAATGGACAAACTTGGCCGAAACTCTGGCTCCACACCTTTTAAGAGCTCATCACACACTTATAACCCACATTCCATAAAATTGTAAACTCCAAGGGTCCTCTAATTATGCATTAATTGCAACTTATTCATCAACCCTTTTTTACTTTAATATCAAAGTTCCATATTTCTCTCATCAAGTAATAGCAAACAAATATTTCTATCAAAGCATCCAACGATCATTTTCACAACCAGGAAAATCCAATCTTCACTCAAAACAATTACAAATGCAGCAGCCATGTAACATCATTGAGGTAGCTAAACCGATCCTAGGATATTTTCATGAATCAACACCAATCCAGAACATAGCATGGCAGGTGGAAAGTTTGCAATATAATTACATTGCCATATAAATAGGAAGAACCATTCCAGGCACTGACTAATTAAGAAGGGCACAACTAAAAGCTGAAAGTGAATAGATTGGCAGCTGCCAAAGTTAGAAATCCATTGTTTTTTCAATAGGTCCTACAAAAAAGCAACTCAAAATGTACATAATAGAACTACACAGTAATTAATGGTACCTGAACAACAAGCCCACAGTTGTGACTACATCAGAATTCTTCATTTCATCTCGGCCTCTCTGTATGGCTGGTTGCATCCTGCAAGTGACAATCGAGATGAGACGGTAACAAAAGCATATAACACCCTCTTATGCGTTTTTTTAATTCTCATTTTAAGACCATATAAATACCCAAGCAAAGATATTAATGAATAACCCAATGTAAAAAGAGAGAGAGAGCTGCAAAAACTCTGAACTTGATAAAGAAAGCAGGAAAACTTATATAACAATAAAAATGTCTCGTTATGGGAGCTGACCTGACACCAACACCACCACAACAAAAACAAAAGGGAAACTTAAGCAGAGTGAGTCTATATGAAAGCACGGAAAGCGAATAGAGGGTAAACCCCAAATCAGGCCAAACCTGAATTGAAAACAGGGAAGCAGATCGAATAGCTTCTGCAGTGCTCCCATCTCATTCATCACACCAAGACACCGCCGGAAGCTCTAGCTTCACTTTTGCCTACAACAAAAGAGTAACAAAAGGAAATAAAGTGATTAGAATGAGAAATAACAAAAGTAAATCGATGATGAAATAATGAAACCATGTTACAGCTTGGGAGCTACATCGAATGCAGAACACATGCAGTTGAAAAAGAAGTACGATCAATACTTGTACAAAACATTATAGCAAGGCAAGATACATTCCGGAACACAATAAAACCCTCTGAAATTGAGAATAAAGGCACGATGAAGAAGGAAACAACTGTATACATGCTAATTAATAAGGCTAGATATATGACTGTATGTGACAATGGATGAGATAAAAAGGTAGCCGTGAAAGGGGCATGTTCTTTCCTCAATTCGGAGAGCTATGTCCTCTCCATCACCCATGTATGACAATCTCATAAAACAATAGCTATCATATAGGGTTTAAGTTAAAGAAAGCGGATTTGGTTCACTGAAGTAAAGGAAAACTTGAGCAAACTGACTGCATTGCATAGAATCCTTGAATTCAATGCTCTACACTTTGTTTCACAGGGTAAACAGGTAATGTCAAAACATTCTAATGGAAGTTGGATGCATGATTTCTAATAAGAAGCCGGTAACCAAGCTTGAGTGGAAGGAGATCCACCCTATACCTCTTCACGGGAACAAAAGCAAAGGGTACTGGTAACTACATCTTATATTCAGCATCCAGGCGCAAAGAACAAAACTAAAACATAAAGCAATATGATGAATAAAGCCAAAAAAATAGTGTCAAAGATTGTCTGCTATAATGGGAAGAGGGGAGGTGTTTAAAAAGGAGATTTACCCTAAAATGGGGCTAACAACTTACACTAAGAATCTGCAATCTCTAGAGGCACATAAAATATTGATTCATACATGTAAGGCCTGGCACAAAGATTTCTTTCAGCCTGTAGCAATGAAACAGAGGTTATGGCTTCACTCTTTCCTTTCAGATGTTCATGGGACTACTTGGACGGAAAAATCCAACGTACTTTAGCTGATGATTAATGAGCCATGTATAGACAAAGGGAAACATACTTCACATGAAAAGATCAGCAAAGTTGCAACCTCTATTTTTCTGTCATTTTCTTGGGAATGTTTCACCTAAATAGCAAGGCTCTCTCGATAATTCCCTGGCTGTCACCTCCAATGTAGTCAAAATCGCGCTTTAAAACTCAAAAACTTACGCTTTTACCTTTTTAGGTCACCAAAACGCTTTTATGTAGAATCGTAATTTTCCGTTGCAAAAGTAGTCAAAATCTACGCTTTAAAGCTTAAAAGCTTACGATTTTACGCTTCCAGGTCGCTCAACCGCTTCTAGGTAGAATCACGCTTTTGACTGCATTGGTCACCTCCAATGTTCATCCCTTAGGGACGAATAACCGAATCAGGTACCCTGCAACAGAAACACCAAATGCAGTGACAATATAAGTAAAATAAACCAGTTGGAGTTTTAAGCACCCAAGGTAACCTTAAGTGCAAGCTGTTCAAGTTTCGCAAATGGCTTAGAATGGGATTAGGTTTTACTTTATGCAGAGCAAACCAAAGTAGCCAGTAAGCTAATGTATAACCCCTGTCAAGAGAACTCTTCATTTGGGATCAGTCGCTATGAATAGTTCTCTCCCTAGTATTAATCAGTTACAGTTCATCGCTATCACTACCTCCCGAGCCAACAGAATCAAACTAAGTAAAACCAATAAATGCTTCCCCAACAATGTTGAACATCACACCAACAGACCCACAAAGCTAAAGGCAGGAGCAGAACATGTGAAAACCCCCAAAAGAACAGAGCAGTAGATAAAATACACTCGTTAGAAGTAGGGGAATTAATAAAACACTACATCTACGTCCAGGCCAATGGATTCTTACTGTAACAATGAGTTTGAAAAACAATAAACATGAGTTTAAACAAAGGAAAATGGGAGAATATCTAAACAGAAGATGTCAGGATACCTTAAGATGACCCAACTTAAAACGTAAAAGTCAGTGTAACCGAAAAAGCAAGACTCGAGCGCATGAATATAAGAGCAGAAGTTAATGAACCGGAAAGTTGATTCCTCGAAAGAACTCTGGATGGATTGCAGTCCATGTGGCTATAATGAAAAACCAAGAAAATATATGGTCCATGATCAAAGACGGAAGTACACAAATTAAGGGAAAGAATCAAAGTAACAATATCTTACCTGAAGTCTTCGACGACAAACCAAACAACAAATTCGAGGAACAACCCCAAGGCATATCAATAGACAAAACTGAACAGGTAGTAATGAATTGAACTTATAAAGTCAGTTACCTGGGATTGAGAGGGACTGGAAGCAAGGGATCGGGATTCTGAATCTCGGATTTCACCTAGACCCGAGAAAGGGATGCAATATCTGAGATTGGAGTATTGTTCATTAGTTTGGGACTGACTGAAGATGCAGAGCATAAAATTGGAATAAAAATCAACGCAAATACATAACAGAGGCCAGCTTTCTTTAAAAACCACGCCTACTTCGGAAATTTGATAACAAATGGTACAGGTAGGAGACCACAAAGTGCATCAGTTGTGTTCATAACAAAATAGTTGCATCGACACAAAGGGAACTTTGAGCTCAAGTGGTGCACTTAACCTGAAAACATAACAATCGATTCAAGGTTTCATCAGGCTATTTGGGTTACTTCGATGCCAAATTCTCTATTGCTAAATCAACATCAACCTTTCTCCGAAGCTAATGATGGGAAGTTCTTGATGTAGGTTACAAATGGCATGAATCTTTTACCTGCAAAAATTCAAGTTCTTTTAAGATGAATGAACCAAACATAGCTCAGTATGGACAGAACTAACAACAACCACCAAGGTCCCAAATTTACTTTTTATCTCTCAACAACAACCTCGCCAACTATGACAGCAAACATAAATAAACAAAAGAGAGGAGAATGAATCAGATATTTGCAGCAAAATCATATTTGTTGTTGCTGCCACATATTTGGTGATAGAGTCGACACCCAAACAATGGATTCAGACTCCAAATTCCTCTATTTAAAGGCGAGGGTAATCTCCACGCAGCTTTGTCCCATGTTTCTTGCTAATGTGCAGAGTGACACTGTCTTTTGAAGAGGCAACACAACTTAACACACCATTCAACTACTCAATGATGAGAAAATAACATTTTTATTTAACAAAACACTATTGTTTCTTGCGTGGTAGTATTGGAGTGAGCTCAATACCCATAAATGAAGACCCTGTGATCCATTCCCATTAAAAACCACATGAACACATACTGCTTGATTTCTAGTTCTGTACAACCACTGGGAGCACTAACCATTTTGTCGCATTGGAGATGCAATAGCAGAAGGTCTTGTGAGGATGCGAGGGAGCCTGCAAGGGCCAGATGTGCAGCAAGTGAAGCTTGAGCTGAATCGGGCAGTCAATTTCTGTGAGATCCAAGATCAGTTTACAAATTATCAGTCAGGAAATTAGACACCTTTCCTCAGGTCCTATACGAACTCAGAAGCCAAAAAACCAAATTCAATTGATCCATCATCATGGCTTTTCCACTATTTCAAGGTCGAAAATCTATGAACCCAAAAATGAGAGAGAACTGAAACCGCAGAGGATGGACAAAAGCTATCTGCTGCTGAAAAGCCTGCGAGCAAAATTCCCAACGCCGACCGTGGATAATTAGCAACAGAGAGGAAGAATATCCAGTTGAAACCGGCAAATTAAGTAAAGAAAAAATAAAAGTAAGATTAAGAGAGGAAAGGAGAAAGCTCACCACCTATGGCCGAATATGACACTGGAATGCGATCCAAAGGATTTGTTCTTCTTCTACTGTCGTAGGTACAGGATACAGCATGATCATGAGTGAAAGAATAACTCCTTTTCACTTGGCTGGTCGTAGTCCGTTTCAAATAGAATCAACTGCATCTTCCATCCATTGCCTCCATGATTCTACTTTGCTACACAGAATTAATCAATGAGATAAGTTGTGGGATTAGGGATTCTAGAAAAGGAGTGAGGATGGGGAACCAATAATCCTCCCTGACTTCACCACCATATAACCCATCTTTAAAATGGATACTGACTTCCTGAACTCTTACTCTCCCATCCCCACTTTTGCTGAACTTTTTTGTCGTTTCCTCCGTAACCTACCAAATCCTCCGGGCAGAACTCTTCCTTCACTATGCCACATCCAAACCGAACACTGGCAAACAGTACTGCACGCAGACCCTGGCCATCGAGGACATGGTCCTCTCAAATTGATGAAAGTTCAAAATTCCTTGTCAGCATAAAATAGAAGCTACCTAAAAAGGGACTGAGAATTGTCATTCAACTGAGAAGGGCTGGGTTTCTTGGTACTGAGCCAGAAAAGGCTATCTTAGAAAGACAGAATCGATTAAGAAGCATTTCCTCTTCATCTTCTTCCCCTTGTCCAACGATTCTCCTCTTCTTCTTCAACGACAGGAGAGAAGCAGAGATTCAAACCTGGAATTCCGCCAAAAGGGGATTCGAGAACTGAGATCCCCGTCGTTTCTTTGTCGGTTTCTGCTACTTCAATGGTGGTGATGGTTTCAACTAAGAAGATGAACACAGATGAGTGAGAAAAGTTGAATCGATCTAGAAGCATATCCACTTTATGTTCTTCCTATGCATCAACAATCCCCCTCTTCTTCTTCAGCAGAGGAGAGAGAGATCGGGACCTGAGATTCTGCCGAAAAGGGTTGATGAATCCATTAGGAAAACAACTTTTTAGCAAAATTCAAAACCCTAAAAGTAATCAAAAACCGAAAAAGAGGCTCGATACTCACCCTTCAACCTGTATCCCATACGCAAGCCCAGCACCGGCGTGGATTTAAGTTCGATGAATCCATTTAGAAAACAAAGGGTTCAGTAGAGGCAGCGACAACACTCCATCCGCACCAGGCAGCATCATCGATCCCGTCGACGCCATTTTCTTCGGTCATTTCCTTCTTCGTCCATCTCCGCAAACAACACTAAAAACAAGAATCAGAAACAAAAACCCAGAAAAACCTAGAAGAAAGGAACCGACTTTATCACAAAAAACAAGAATCAGAAGCAAAAACAGGAAGCAGGAAGAACTCCAAGAACGATATTGAACAAAAACCCAGAACAATCTAGAAGAAAGGAACCGACTTTATCTTGATGGATAATCTGTGAGTTCCGGTTGGTGCTCTATTTCGCCGGATTCTTCTGTGATCTCCTCCATGTTCTGCTTCACCCATGTCTCGATCTTCCTTTTCTTCTTCTTCACCTTGCTTCTTCTTCGTCGTTCAGCACAAAAGAGAGAAGGAGAGAGAAAGCAGATCTAGAAAGATGGAGAGGAATGGGGGATTAGACATGAGGAAGAAAGAAGGGATAAGTAATAAAAAGTCTCTCTTTGGTCAGAAAAAGCAAAACAAGTAAAGTCAAGTGAGAAATGATGAGAAAAAGTAAAAAGCTAAAAAGTAACAGTGACGGGATGTGACTCTACCAAACAGTAAAGTTGTAACTTGTTCTTTTAAAGAGATAATATTCTCTTTTTCATTTTGATAATGGTGAAATACTTATATTAATTAAAGGAAAGTAAAGAGAAAACGATACAACAATCCGACTTGACACGTACAAAATCAACCTCGAGTCGGAGAACCACGGTTGACAAGTACAGAATCAACGAAAATAATAAAGTAAAGAAAACCCCATTTTAATATTACAAGGGAAAGTAAGAGCCACAAACTTACTTAGTTTTTCATATAAATACTGATAAGTTTACATGACACACTTACAAAGTTACAAGGTCGGAATAAAACATCCCGAGAACAGTAAATAACGTTGGAAACACGAATATAATTATAAGCACACAACACATCATTCAAGCACAGGACGACTTGAACATCCAATGAGCATGCGCTTGATTATTGATATTTTATATATAATATATGCTCGTTCTTCTTTTTCTTCTTCTTCTTCTTCAGTTCACAGGCGACTTCATGAATCTGCATTTGTGTTGAAAGGGGGAAGCAAAGTTAAAATAAAAGCCATTAATTAAATAATTATTAGTCAAGACATTCACACTCTGGATTTTAGTCAAGCAAGAATATTGGATATCAAATTATGAAACTATAATTTTTCATCAATCTAACAATCCACCTATCCAAATGAATTTTGACTAATTGAATTTTTTAGTGGTTAGATTGAATTGATTGATTGGATTCAAATTACCAACTACATCTATTTTATTATATGCATGCATGATTGATTTCCCATTATACCTTTTACTCAAACGTTAGAAATGAAAGCAATAATTAATTAAGTCTACCCAAATCACTTGCAAATTAGACTTACCGTTCTGGTGGTAGGAATTGGGTTCGATAATTAGCAACAATCTGAGCAATAACTGAGAGCACCGCCTGAACCAGTACAGTAACAACAATAACCAGTTGGGCATCTTTTGTTTTTCTTGTGGCAGTAAAACTTGTCCGGCTGAATTCTCCCACCTGCTGATTCGCCGCCGCCTTCCCCCGCCGCCGCCGTCTCTGCCAAATACAACCATCCATTCATAATTAAAAAAAAAAAATTTAAAGTTCACCCACATATACATAACACGCCCCCTAAAACGAAAGCATGGCCCCCTGAATGCGTTGGTTCCAATCTAACTCGCGACTAATATTGAGAAAGGTTCAATTATGGAGCATATATCATGTACCACTTACTAACACGTACCATTATCATGGCCCTGAGAGCGGGGCAACGGGACTGCAGCCATGGAGTGACGAGGCACCGCTGCCGCCAACGCAAAGATCAGCAGGAGAACAAGGAGAACTTTGCTGCTCGAATTCATTCTTTTCACGGTGTAGAGCGATGGAGATATCGAGAAATATGTATTATAGCGTCGTGTGTTTGTGTGTTTAAATTAAGGTCTGGCGCGATGGTTTATATAGGCATGAATTGCACGGCTGAGAACTGTATATTGCAGTCTTATTATATCGTAGCCGTACGGGCCATAAGATGCTCCTGCTGCCGTCCAGTCCATATCTAGATCTAAACTTGTACGTGTTCTTGACTTGCCTTCTTCCATATGATAGCGATATCTAGATGCTGCGGCTGCCTGCCCATTTTATATACAGTGTTTTTTTTCTACTTGGCTTCTCATATGATAGCGATATGTCGATGCCGCCGTTCTCATATATATGGATATGCCGATGTTTGACTGGGAACTCGATCTTGTCCTCTTCCCAGACAACACATATCAATATTGTCATAAACTAATTGGTCTCACTTACTCGTGTTTAATTTGTTGGGAGAAGTTCATGTATGGTACTTAACTGTTTTCTTACAAGCCCCTCAAAATCCATTGTGGGTTTGAAGTTTGCACAAGCCTCTACAAAGGTCTACATGCCATGTGTTTTTAACACAACGGATAATATTTTTTTTTTGCCGGGGGGGGGGGGGGGGGGGGGGGGGGGGGGTCGTGAGCTTGGCCTTATACAGCTCGAAAAGCTCGCGAGCGGAGCTCGACTCAGTGGTTTGGCGAGCTCAGCTCGTAACCAAGCTCGTTTTGAGCTATAACTTGGCTCGACAGTGTGGTTGCTAGCGAGCGAACTCGACAAGCGACTTATGGTGAATTGATTTTATAGCTTATGAATTTGCTTGTTGATAATTCATAGGTTTTATTTAAAATTGTGCATATAACAACATATACGATGTTTACAACTTTGAGTACTTGGGCAAATATGTCTCATTTAAAATTTTAAAGAGACATTATGTAACATACACTATTTAGATACTAATAACTATTAAATAAAAGTATATGAATAATTGAAATTTATGAACTAAATAATATAATACACGAGCTAGAGCATGGCTTGAGAGGTTATTGATGAGTCGAACTCGATTAGAGCTCGTGAACTCGAGCTCGACTCGTTTATTAACAAACTGAGCTCATATTAGATAAAAACTCGATGGGACTCGACTCAAATGCAATCAAACATCGTACCAACCGGTAGCAGTAGTGATGGTATTAATTCAAAGTTCTTCGAAATCTAATGATCCATTGCTACATATTTATAGATTTGCACTTGAGAAGACAGTTGAACTAGGTCTTGTAACCCATTACAGTCGTCAGCTTCAGCAAAGCCCAAACAAGCAAAAGGGACGCTGATAGAGACAGGGTTTCTATCGGCTTTATATTTGGAGATTAGGGTTTATACGAACATAATTAGAAATTGAGATAGGGAATTAGAGGAGGAAGAACAAAATAAGAATTGGGCGAAGCCTTAAATTAGGGAATAAGAGAAATTAGGAGATAGGGAGAGCTTAGAGTTTAAGAAGATAATTCTTACCGGAATAAACCTAATAAATAACCTAATACGACTCGAATACTACTAACCCTCACAATAATTATCCTACCATAATTAATTATAGAAAACCCTAAGAACCATGTTTCTATCAGACGCGCCGGTCAGCCCAACAAACCGGCTTGTAAACCAACGTAGCCCTATATATATGAGGCTCCTATGTAGCCTTGGTCTTGGAAACCCTAATTATCAAGCAACTGGGAATTACGTACTCTCAGAAGCATAGCTTTAATTTGTTAGTTTTGATTCGTATAGATAGACCAATCGTCAATCTGAGATGGGGGCTAACAACAGCAAAGCAGGATCTGCCATTGCCATCAATACACATGATGATCAACCGCACAAACAGAACCAGCAGCTGGTACGTTCCTAAAATTAATTTTCATCTCTTATTTTCCTATATGTTTTTGCCCTTGCGGATACTTTGAGTTTATTAGAGTTTTACACGTTTTTTTAAAGTTAGGTTCTTTTAAGGGATTCGAATCCATAAAACCTTCATGTTCTAAGATCAAATCACTGGACCAAACTCTCATTCACGTGGAATTTAACATGTGATAGTGGAGTCTATGTTGGCTCACTATATATAGTTGTATCGATCGAGATACTATTTCGAAACCTCGAGTTATTCTCTTAATGATCAGTTAGGGTGACCAATTGTTTTTTTTGTTAATAACCTAAACCCTAGCTAAGGTAATCAGTCTTTTTTATGAATTCAGGAGGTAAAAGACGTTGATCATCATCGACCGAACGATGCGGTTCCGCTCTCCATTGGTTTTGTAGACCCTGAAGGCATGATGCATGTTTGCGTCCCAAGGAACACCGCCATCCCAACCAAGAAGTTTGAGGTGGCCATAATCACCCAGACGGACAACCAGCAAAGCATATCCTTTACGTTCTACCAAGGGCAAAGAAGCAAGGCAAGCGACAACAAGTTTCTTAACAAGCTAGTTTTCTATGACATTCCTCCTGCTCCCAGAGGTGGCAGGAAGTTTACACTTAGCCTTGACGTCGACATTGACGGCAATCTGAATGCATCCGTCGAGGACAAGGAAACCGGCCAGAAGATCACGAGCCAGAAAAGCTTGATTCTTCTGCCTGCAGAGGAGGTGGAGAAGATGGTTCGAGAAGGAGAGAAGCACGCCTTGGAGGACAAGGAGTACGTGGAGAGGATGAGGATCGTGAGATCGATGGTGGATCACTCGGCCCTCCTTCGAGAAATCATGGCGGCTGGAGACTACTCTAAGAAGGTGAGAGATAGGGTTAAGGATATTGCCTTGGAGATGATGGACGAGTTCAAGGAGAAGGTGAAGGCGTTGGATTCTTAATTAGAGGGGATATATATGTTAAACTGAATGGAGAAAACTAGAATAATTTTATTGAATGAAAAATTGTCTACATATATACTCAAACTCTAGCCAACTAGAAAGCATAAATCTCGGCCACTCCTCTACCCATATCCCTTAATTTCAGCAACTAATGAACAAGCACTCTGCTGTTGCCGACTCAGCTGCAAAATAGCTGCACTAATAAACACAACCAACTAAAAACCCAACCAAATAAGCCCAACAAATCCTCCCCTAAACTCAAATTGCTTCCGGTTTGAGTTTATCAAACTTTTAACATGCCAAACTTCAGCACAAGCTCCTTCAATTGCATGACGTCTTGAATAGTAAACAAACTACCTTGAATAGCTTCTTGCTCCTCAAGCCTATCCCTGGTGTTTTTCTTATTCCCCCTAGCAACAACCTGGCTACATTTCCTTTCAAGTGTTCAAACAGATCAAACATATTCTCCCCCTCCACTAAATTGAAGCATATCAAATACTCCCAGCTTACTAACTTCAGCCGCAACAGCACTGACTTCAATAGCAGCAACAACAACATCAACAACACAGTTTTCAAACAACAGCAGAAGCACATCAGCAGTTCTTCACTTCTTCAACAAGCAACAACGACAACTTCGGATTTTTCAGCAACTTGAGAGTTTGCAGCAACACTATTCATCAATCATACATTTGATGCTAGCCTCCAACGAGATTGGCTTTAGTCCAACTTCACTTTCTTCTATCTTCATCCTGTCATGGCATGCTCAACTGTTTCATTTCCGGTTTCTTCACTGTACTCTCTAGACCTGTCCTCGCAGATCTCTCCTTCTATGTCATCTGCCAACAAGCGAGAACTACAACTCAAAATGCTATTTGCAAGCGCTCAAATTGTTACTTGTAGCATGACATAGCAACCGAGTACTTCTAATCCAGCCATTCGCCACCAAATAAGATCAGCCACTCTGCTGCCTACTCGTCGAATGACATTGAAACCAAACCTGCTTCACTCACAGGTTAAACCACCTACTTCACTCGTAGGTCTGTCTAGCTGACATTGACACTCAACCCGCTTCACTCACAGGTTACACCACCTACTTCGCTCGTAGGTATGTCTAGCTGACAATTCCTTAAACAGTTCCCCGAGCATCCTTTCACAACCATGGATTCCCTTAATCCAATCATCTACTTCTCTGAAAGCCTCCAACTGAACTATAGCTACAATCTCACTCACACCATTCATAATGTACTTGGCAGCATAAAAATACACACTCCTATTCTGCAATCACAAAGTTCGCCTGTTTCTTCTAGAGTTGCAGCTCCCAAAAGCAAATGTAACCCATCACAGAACCCGAAAGCTCCTTTGCATGACCATCACAACTGTCATTTCCTCCCCTGAACTGAAGTCTACTGAAACAAGCTTCAGTTCACTGCTGCTAGAACATATTTCCTCCCCTGAGCCGTATACTTAACAACAACATGTCCACCAACACTGAGACGCTTCTGTTGGAATTTCCTAAGCAGACAGTTTGAACCTTTCATTCCAGATTCTGTTAATGCTTTCAGTACAGCCAAGATTTTTTTCCACCATAAACGACAGATCTATCATCATGTCTGCTGAAAACATTAATAGACATCCTTCCACCACCTTCACCAGCAAAAAACATCACCACCAGATGCTTTCAGTGTACCATCTCCTGCCATTCTATGAGCCAGGATACGGATGCTACAAACTGAATCATTCTGCAACTCCGTCATCCTCATTTACACTTCTCTACTTCTTCTCTTTGAAGCCCCAAATACACTACTTGAACAAAATGCACAGCGGTTCTCAGTTTGATAAACTGATTCCTCTGAACAAATAGCTCCAAAGCTGCAATGCCAAGCTCCTTCCATCTTCTATTCAAATCTCCAACTTTACAGAGCTACCAAGAACAAACACAGCAGAAGAGTAATCTGTACATTCCAAAAGCCACTCATTGCTCCTATAAAGCACCAGTGCACCATTCCAAGTTCTCCAGGTCCTCCCCATCATCACTTCAATTCAGATCACCATCATCATCTCTTCAGCTGTTACTGCATTATTTTCCAGTAGCTTCCTCGTCATCACTGAAGTTAATGTTAACAAAGTCGGCACCTGCATCTCCGATTTCGCTCGGCGGCTTCTTGACAACAGAAGTCCTAGACCGAACAACAGCACTGACACATGTTGACGAACTAAAGTATCGCCCATGCCCATGTTGGTTCTTCTCCCGTAATCGCTTTTTGGGTTTCTTTCCGTTGACACTATTTTTTGCTTCACTCTTCTTAGCTGTCTCAACTTCTGCCTTCTTCTCTTCCCATGAAGTTGCTTCTTTCTTGTCAATACTAAAAATGAACCAAACCAGTATAGAACTTCAGTTTGAATCCATTTACCAACACGCACACGACTAGCATATGGCTCACCATTACTCAGCATAGGAAGTCCATCTATAACTCCAGCATTTTGCTACCAAAAACCTCCCCAAAACAAAGAAATTGTTCCTGGCACACAATAGCAAGTCAAACTCAAGTCAATTGGCTTACCAACCTCTTCGTCAGCCTTTTTCACAACATTTTTGGGCGTGCTCTAGTTCGCCATCTTGACAAAAGATTCTCATAGAAAGCTTCACTTGAGATGGATTCACCAAGCAAAAATGCCAACCCCAAAGTAAGCCACAACAATCCTGTCTTCTCCATGTTTGACTTTGTTTTCTTGCTCGGATGCGTCCAAGGACGACTCTGGGTCTTTACCGCATACAAAGCCACCAACATACCAATCAAGCTCTTCAATTTAATCCTCTTCTTCTCCGTCGTCGTTCCCCGGCGTCGCATACGACCACCACGTACGTTTCCTCTTTCCAGAACTTCCTTCTTCCGCCTCCTGCGTCGCCGCACAATTTGAACCTGAACCTCCGGAAACCTTTTTTTTCACGAAATTGAATTCCCAGCGGTGGTGCCTGGTGATGGCGACATGCAATTGTCTATTTCTCCCATCAGAGAGAACTGGGGCCGCCGCTGTTTCTCTCAAAGAGAAAGAACCCTAGATTTTCTGCGTCTGCTTCTTCCGTGTTCCATCGCCCGTCAAAGACCATAATTTAAGTCAATTCCATCAATCGCCAGTTCTGGGCTCTTGGTATGATGACGGTAACTGACTCCTTAAACTCCTTTATTTTGGTTTGACGATCAATAATAGTACGGAGTGGCAGAGTCCACCGTCACTTTCTATTCACATGCGCCTAATTAACTCCTCCTCTACATGTTCTCCGAACAGAAACCCGAAAGCGAAAACCCTACAGAACATCATAATGGCATCGACTCATTAATCTCGCTTACTCTAACCCACACTCGTTGGACACAACAGGCGGGCGGCGGCCATGGTGGCCACCGCCACCTGAATACGGTATCACTTGGGTTTTGTTCGAATAAGGCTCTGATACCACAATGTTAAACTGAATGGAGAAAACTAGAATAATTTTATTGAATGAAAAATTGTCTACATATATACTCAAACTCTAGCCAACTAGAAAGCATAAATCTCGGCCACTCCTCTACCCATATCCCTTAATTTCAGCAACTAATGAACAAGCACTCTGCTGTTGCCGACTCAGCTGCAAAATAGCTGCACTAATAAACACAACCAACTAAAAACCCAACCAAATAAGCCCAACAATATATATATATGTGCAATGATGAGCAGCTTTCGGATCGAGTAGTTTAAATTGTTCGTTATTATTTTGAGGGAGTCGGTTGAACATCTCAGTTATTGGCGCTCGCCCACGTCTGGATCCTCAATTCTTGTTCACCCTGATGATCATGTTGGGTGAATTGTGACCTCATATTACGATACTATTTGTAGGGATTTCTTCTTTCTTAATTACTTTGTCGGTCTATATATTATCAAATTTATCGTTTGGTTTGAGAGATTATACCCAGCCCAACCCTTCAACTTGGATTATGCCCAGTCCAAGCCCACTCTCCTTACAGTCCACAACCACTTGGCCGCTGCATGAAGCCCACTCTCTCCTGACGGCCCAAGCTCTCACATCTCACTCACAACGTACGTCCACGCAAATTTCATCATTTTAATATTGCTATCTTTATACGTTTAAGCGACTTTCAATGGCTAGTAGCTTATTCGACCTAATAATATTGACCCGATCGTATAAATAAATGCTTGAAAGAGACGCACAAATCAACAGTCCGTACTATCTTGACAAGAACGTGCGCACACTTGCCGCAGAAAGCAGGTCATTTTCCCTAAGAATGAAGGCATCCAAAGGATTTGTTGAAACACTTTGAATACCCAAATATAAGGACCAACTAGCTACGGCAATAATCACAGACAACCACACGCAATAATATTTGTCCTTCAATCATTAATTTCCCTTGCCTACTAGGGCACAAATGAAGCAAAGTTGTCATACAAACATTAATGATCGGTGCACTCCCCCACCTCTGCCCCATTGGTCTAATGGTAGCGGTTGCGGGCAGATCGATAATCTTGAAGTAGTAGATAATATGCGTCCTGTAAAATTTTAAAACCCATAATTTTCCCTAATGTAGGAAAAAAAGATTACATGATATAAGTCAGTGGAAGAAGTCCTAGATGTAAGGCGGGCATTGGGATCTTGTCTAGCGTCTAACTTCTCTTGACGTCACCTACGCGTGCCTAGACAATGAAAGCAAAAAACAAAAGTTAGTAGTAACTCACAACTTCGTAGATAGACGGTTGATTAACTCACAAATTTCTTGAGATATTAAATAAGATTGAGAGAAAAAAAAAGTGTGCTTGTAGATGATATTAATTTTTTCCTTATCATATTGACTGCTTAGCTCCACCTAATTACATCTAGGTGTTGTCGTACTCTTCCATCGCGTTCTGAATTCCCGACTCGCTACAAAACCCCTAGGTAAAGCAGTTTTGGCATTGCCTATCACCTAGACGAGCCTATGCGTACTCTAAGCGCGTTGTTTAGAACCAAGGATATAAGTCAAGAACTAGTTCATTCCGAGTAATTTGTAAATTATAGAGGAGAAATTCAAGATTAAATCTTATAACATTTTATTTTAAGCGCCTTCTTAAAAGAAAGTCTATTGGAAGAAAATTGCAAGAAAAAACTTCATCATACCCCCTAGGCATCAATTAACAGTTACTATATATTAGGGTTATTGGTATATTCCGATGCACCACCATCCAGCCAAATGTTTTTTATACAAATTCAATAACCGACTCTCCCAATAAATCCAATTGTGAGAAAAGTTTTATATCATTGATTTTAGAGTATACTTATTATTAGGGCTGGCTATTTGGCCCGGACCGTTTGGTTTTACTCGAAACCGGATCGTATAACCCGGACCGAGACCGGACTGGGACCGGATAGCAAACAATCCAATCTCATATTCGGGCTTAGATTTGAGGTAAAAAACCCATATAAAGACCGGATAAGAGACCCCCAACACCTAAAATCAAGATCAAATTGGGACCGGACCGAGTCAAGACCGGACCGAATCAAGACCGAACTGTATCCAATCCAATCTTTGGTCCTTATATTCCCGAAAAGACCGGACTGAGACCGGATCAATTTGGTCCAATTTAACCGGACCGGACCGTATAGCCACCCCTACTTATTATAGTAACCAATAATTAAGAAATTGGATAGCTTAGGAATGGGGAAAAGCTCATGCCAGAAATAAAGGGTTTATGCGTGTGAACAATGGAATGGACTGCCTGTATGATAGGAAAAACGATAAACAATAGTTTTGGTTACAAGTTTGGAAAAATAATGGCAAAGCATGCAATGTGCATATTGTGTGTGGATTAGGTCAACACCAAATCCAATTGGCCACCAAACTTTTTCCCTTCTCGTTTTCCATATGGTGTGGAAAATGACAGCAGGTTTGCTGAAAATCAGATGGTTCGATTAATGCAATTTGGTGGGTATGTATGGCTGGTGGATGTTGCGTGCTGGTGGTGGTAGGCCACTCTCTCTAAGGTTGCATCCTTCCTAGCAAGATATTTCTCATATTATATTGGAAAAATATCAATCAATTTCCGAATTGTGTTAGGGTTTGAAAGTATCCACGTTGATCATGCATTTCCAATTGCAATATGAAAAAGGTATGGATTTTGCAATTACAAAACTAATTCCGTCAATGTGCTACCTATTGTATATCCACCACACCATAAACAAATCCAATTGTATATGAATCATTACTTGAATTATCTTTCTTATAGTTTTTATGAAGTTTTTATCCAGCTTTGTGTTGGTATGGTGTGGTGGAGGTGTCGATAGTGTACGGCGCGCTAAAACAGAAGCAAATTTACACTATATAAACAAGGGAAGAAAGCAAAAAGTTTGAAGAATTTATGTGCATAAGCTGATATTTGTAACATCCCGACTTTTATGGCCAAGATATTGTTCCTTTTGGATAATATATCGTACGGTTTTGCTTTTGGGTGTATCATGATGACTTCTAGGAAGTCCACTCATCTTTGAACTACTTCACCTGAGCACGTTTAACTTTAGGGTTCGTTTGAATGTAGAATTCCAATGGATCCATGTGACCCAATTGTCTCGTTTTGAGAGAATATGGCTACATTGACCCGTTTGACAATATAAAATTTTGATGGAGCAACTTGGCCTAATTAAGAAGTTTCAAATCGACTCATTTTGAGGCAATCGCAATTGTCCAGGGTAGGGGCAGACAATTCAAATCGACTTGTAATCTAAAAGGAGACAATTAGCCAAATTCTCTCATTTTCAATTGATCCAATCAAACGACCCATTATAGTGCTTATAAAGAAGTTAAGAACTCATCTCTTTCGCCATAAAACGATTCTTATCAGCAAAGATTGAATGTTTCTTGTGAATTATAAATTTCATTCCTACTTTGTCGATGTGAAATTTATCCAAAGTGTTACTGGTGAAATCTCATTGAAATAAGAAAACAACAAATTTCAGTCTCACCTTTCCTTCATTTATTTCAATAATTCTCTATATCACCTTTTCTTCATTTATTTCAATAATTCTCTATATAGGCATGGGTTACTTGGTCATGTCGGCCAGACAATCACGGTTGCTTTAATTTATTGGATGGAGTATAAATGGGAAGGTTGATGCAGTGCAAGTGGCTTTTGTTTGACAATGTGAACCATGCATGCTCTAGTACTTTAATTATTCAAAAAAATAATTTGTTCCCCTTACTTCAGGAAAATGGTTTCCATGACGTGCTTAAAGGCCATATCCTTATGGGAAAGGAGATCGAATTTTAGCGGATAATAATCATATAAAAAAACACTACGAAATTATTTGAGCCAAGTTCCAAATTTCCTCTCCTAGCTAGGGGCTTCTTTTTTTGACTCCCCTTTTGAACCCTGCACACGAGGCGTACTGTGGATTTTCGTGGTTCGTTAGCATTCCGACGATCAAGTTAGCACCACAGTTTAGAGAGAAAAGTAGAAGCAAGTTTTAGTGAGAGAGTCCAACCTGAATAAATGAGGTTCACGTAAATAGATTTTTATTTTGTTAAATAGATAACACCCACTATCTACCCCCTAGTTTTAAACATATGTGCGTATGACCATGGGGCATAGGCAAATAGTGTTGTTGACTAATCATATTTAGGGTTAGGAAAATAGATCAGACCGGTTGAAAAATTGTGGACTAAACCGGACCGCGCTGTTTGGTTCGGACCGTAGACCGTGAAAAATGGTCTAGTCTGGTCCATGGTCTGTATTATATGAAGTTTTGATCTCTTTGTCTGGTCTGGTCTACACCGCGTTTTACCGGACCAAACCGTGGATCTAGCCGACTTCCCAATCCATGTTAGTAGCCCACTCGACCACTCTCTCAACTCTCCCAACTCCTCCAACGAGACTCAAGTCTCAACTTTAATTTTGAGAATCTCATCTCCCCCTTCATTGACAACCACATATCACTAGAGAGTATAGACGATCGTGTCTTCATACGACATTATGCTAATGTTGTGACGTTATGTTGCGAGTTGTGATTCTTTGACTTTGTATCTTTGTTATTTACTAAGATTTAGGGTGTCAAAATTATTCATGCATGCTGAATTCTATGCATAATATGATCTTGTCTCTAATCTATACTTTAGTCTCTCGATCTAGATCGCAGACCGTCTATATAATCTGATCTAAACTAGACCACACAGTTTCTCATCCCTAATTTCCACCTAACCTCCCAACCAAGCATGCAATGCAATGTCTTGGTCAAAGAAATCACCCAAAAAAGAAACCCAAAATACAAAGAAATAAAATTGGATTTTCCTCGGCACTATTTTTGGTCTTTCCCTACCCAAAAAATTGAAAAAAAGGAAAAAAGAAAGGTTTTTTAATTTACCCAAAAGAAAAAAGGAACCGATAACACAAGTTGCCGGTGGAGATTCCAACACTCCCCGAAACCAGCCAACGGCCACCGGTGGAGATTCCAATACTCACCTAAACCAGCCAGCGCCACCGCGAGCAACGTCGTTTTGTCCACGTAGGAAAGCCTCACCGGATGCTCCCGGTGATCCCTCTTACACAAAGTCGGTAGGACACAGGAAAGTCCGGTTTTTATGTTTATTTATTTATTTTTATGAGTTGAGTCTCTCTTGTTCGTTGTCCTCGAGTTCCTCTCACTATAAGTAGATGCTCTGGAACAACATGATTCTTTTTCTTCTTTCTTCTCTCTTTTTTCCCCTTTGTTTCTTCCTCCCTTTTCCTCCCCCCGTCGATTGGCCGCCGGCCATTTCCCGGCGAATTTCACGTTGGTTGACGCCGGAGAAAGAGAAACCAACCCCACTTTTGCCTTCCCTTCCTTCCTTATTTATCTCGCCATTCCCAACATCCAAAAAGGTTAGCTCTTTCCCTCTTCACTCTTCTCTCAACTCTTTCTCCTCTCATTCAATTCATTCTCTCTTTCTGGGCATATCTATAGATCTGGGTTCTGTTTGTCTCCCCAGCTAAATTTGGTTCCTTCTTACTTCTGATTTTGTTTGGCATTTTCCATTGAATCCCATTTCCCCCCATTTTCTGGATCTTGATCTGTTTGAGGGATTAAAGTTTGCTTCTGATTATCCCTTTTTTTTTTATCGTTTGCCCTTTGTAGTTAGACAAAGGTGTATCTTGTTATAATACAGACATTTTCAGTAAAATATTCGTATAAAAGGGATCTCTTTTACCTCTTTATTCCTTTTGCCCTGTTTCTCCAGAGTCAGAACTTTTGTTGATTTGTTTATGCTTCTGTTGTTCTGATGTGCTTCATTCTGTCACTCTACATGTGTGCGAATTTGTTTATTGTTTGAACTAAGGAGCTGGGTGATGGAAGGAATTGTGATGTCATTTCACATTCTTTGAGAACATAGTTAGTTCGAAGCGTGTTATTCTGCAGCTGCTAATCCTTTACTCTTAATCACAACTTCCCATTGCTGGCTTGGTTGGGTAATTGAGGGATCAATGTGGAAATGTGTAGTAATTGTTGGGTTTTACATTATCTCCTTAGAAATTGGATGGTTAGCCATCGACTATGGAGAGCCTTTACGGGTGTAACCTAAAGTATCCATCTTATGCTGTTGATTGTTCACAACATGGAGGCTGTAACTTTGTAGTTGTGGATTCTGATGTTTGAGGTTATGTGACTACTGAGTACTGACTGTAAGTAATCTTCGTGGTGGTAGGAGCAAAGCATTTGTTTCAGTTGCTTGGAGTTGAAAAGTTGAAAGAGTGAGAGAGCAAATGGATGGGCCTAAGGAGGGGGGACTCAGGAATGTGAGCTCAACATGCTCTATATCGGAGATGGATGACTTTGATCTCTCACGCCTCCTTGACAAGCCGAGGCTGAATATTGAAAGAAAAAGATCATTTGACGAGAGATCGCTGAGTGAGCTTTCAATTGGGCTGGGAAGACATGATAATTATGAGAACACATACTCACCTGGTGGGCGGTCGGGGTTCGACACACCAGCCTCATCAACCAGGAACTCGTTTGAACCCCATCCTATGGTGGCAGATGCTTGGGAAGCTCTTAGAAAATCTATTGTGTACTTTAGAGGTCAACCGGTTGGAACCATTGCTGCTGTTGACCATGCCTCCGAAGAGGTTTTGAACTATGATCAGGTATGGTCTTTTTGCTGTTATTCCTTTGATAGAATTCATGTGTAATGAAAGGTGTAGTAAGTGGGATATATCCTTTCTTGTTCCTAGATTTATGAGATGTATTTCATTCATATAAGCATGATGATCCTGAAACTAAAATCTTAGTGAAGGTGTGATGAATTTAGCGCTAATTTCAGTATTCTGTTCCTTGCTAATGCAATGACATTTTCTAAGCACCTCCACCTTATGGGAATCATATGGATGAGGCATAGTCTTTTTTGTTTTTTTTGTTTTTTTTTGCCTCAATCCAGGAGTAAGGTTGATTTATAATCCATGCATATATATTTTGCATCAGGTCTTTGTGCGTGATTTTGTGCCAAGTGCTCTGGCGTTTCTCATGAACGGAGAGCCCGATATTGTAAAGAACTTTCTCTTAAAAACGTTGTATCTCCAAGGGTGGGAAAAGAGGATAGATAGATTCAAGCTTGGAGAAGGAGCTATGCCTGCCAGTTTTAAAGTTCTTCATGACCCTGAAAGGAAAACTGATACCTTGATTGCGGATTTCGGTGAGAGTGCGATTGGAAGGGTTGCTCCTGTCGATTCTGGGTTCTGGTGGATCATCTTGCTACGTGCATATACAAAGTCAACTGGGGATATGACATTGTCGGAGACACCAGAATGTCAAAAGGGAATGAGACTTATACTCTCATTGTGTTTGTCAGAAGGGTTTGATACATTTCCTACCTTGCTTTGTGCCGATGGATGCTCTATGATTGATCGTAGAATGGTAAGTTACTGCTGCTACTGTTGTTTCCGGAAGTATATATGTATCACTTGCTGTTAAGAGTATGCTATGTAAGTGTCACTATTATTTCAGGTCCATTAAATGCGTTCCTCTTTAGCAAGTTTTTTCAGCATCTTTTAGGTGTCCCTTGCTTTTAGTTATCTAGCTTTCCAGTTCTGCATTGCAACTTCAAAACTCTGCAGTGATCTAATGTCTGTCCTTGATATGTCCATTTGGGGAACTTGCTATACTATTCTGGAGTGTATGACATTTACAAAAATGCTTGGAAAGATGTTTTGTTGTTCTCATTTTGACTTCTCCCTGAAGGAGTTTCATATATTTTGCTTCAACTGTGTCCTGCCCTGACTTCATGATTATGGCGTTTTGTTACTAGGGCATTTCTCTTCTTGCAGCTTACCAAGTGCCCTGATATCCTTTTATTTTGCAGGGCGTCTATGGCTATCCCATTGAAATCCAATCACTCTTCTTCATGGCATTGCGGTCTGCTCTGTCCATGATGAAGCATGACACAGAAGGCAAAGAGTTCATTGAGAGGATCGTGAAACGGTTGCATGCCTTGAGTTTCCACATGCGGAGTTACTTCTGGCTGGACTTCCAACAGCTAAATGACATATACAGATATAAAACCGAGGAGTACTCGCATACTGCAGTAAATAAGTTTAACGTGATCCCCGATTCTATCCCTGATTGGGTGTTTGACTTTATGCCAACTCGCGGTGGCTACTTCATTGGCAATGTGAGTCCAGCAAGGATGGATTTCCGTTGGTTCGCTTTGGGGAATTGTGTTGCGATCCTAGCGTCTCTCACCACTCCGGAACAGTCATTGGCCATCATGGATCTCATCGAAGCTCGATGGGAGGAGTTGGTTGGAGAGATGCCTCTCAAAATTGCCTATCCTGCTATAGAGAGCCATGAATGGCGCATTGTCACGGGCTGTGATCCCAAGAACACAAGGTGGAGCTATCACAATGGCGGGTCTTGGCCAGGTATGTCCCTTTTCTTCTCGGTCTTATTTGGCTATTAGTTCTCATGCCTTGGTTAGTGAATACTGAATACAAACTATCATCTAGGTGCCTTGTAGAAAGATTGCTACATGCTAGTGCAGTTACCTTTGAACTTGGGAATTAATAAAAGAGAGCTCCAGTTACATACTAAGATTGAATATCACCTTCGAATTGTCATTTTACTCTTCTGATACTGGCCCCTCATGAATGTCCTGCGTCATCAGTGCTTTTATGGATGCTGACCGCTGCCTGCATCAAGACGGGAAGACCCCAAATTGCAAGAAAAGCAATTGATCTTGCAGAGTCTCGGCTGCTGAAGGACGGTTGGCCAGAGTACTACGATGGGAAGCTCGGTAGATACGTAGGGAAGCAGGCAAGAAAATATCAGACATGGTCCATCGCCGGATATCTGGTGGCAAAGATGATGCTCGAGGATCCGTCGCACTTGGGAATGATTTCACTCGAAGAAGACAAGCAAATGAAGCCTGTGCTCAAGAGATCAAGCTCTTGGACTTGCTGAAACCCCAGATTTGAAAGTGTGAGAAATTCTTTAACTTTCTTCTGATGGAACACAAACCAGTTCTTTCACTTGCAGCAGCTCTTGGTGGTAATTTGAAGTAGAAAGATTGATTTTTTCCCCCCTTCGTTTTCTTTGTTTGCTGTCCATGTTATGATTTGTGCAATAGCCAAGGACTGGAAATTTGGTTGCTTTCTTTCTCGAATAAGATTGGTATTTTGCTTTATGTCTCTTGGCGGGAAGAAAGAAAGAGCTCCTTTTCAGTTTCAGTTTCTGTTTAGAGAGAGAGAGGGGAGATTATAAAAAAGTTTCAGGATTTGATTTGTCAATATACATTGTGCTCATGTAGTCATGATATGCAAATCGCTAGATTATGATACCACGGCAAGACTAGTTCATTCCAAAAGCTTACATAACATGAGGTTGTGAATGGTTTACACAATAATGCTAGAGAAGTACGAATAAACGAGATGCATTTCAAACAATCAATGCATTTCGAACGAATTTTTTTCTAATGATTTGTCGTCCAGACGAACTGCTAAGAATATTAGCTAGATGGATTTGAGGAACTCAACTACTGCAAAGTTGTAAGCAAAACACGCGATACGAGCATGAGAAAATCCTGCCTGTTTCGCCAAGCTATCGAACTGTGAAAGGGTCCTCTCTTTGCCCTGAGGTTTCATGCTCATCCTGTAGAGATTGAACATGAGCGAGGCCTTAGCAGCAGCAGCAGCAGAAGTTTCAGAGGTTTCTGGAATCAGAGCATCCACAATCACCACTTTGCCATTCTCTGGTGTAGCTTGGTAGCAATTTCTGAATATTTTCACGCACTGCTCATCATCCCATAAGTGCAGAATCCACTGAATCACCCCACAAATTCACAGTTGTTTTAGTCGGAACAGCATTCTATTATTGATTCCGGAGGTTCAAGTGCATAAATGGAAGCGAACCATTTTACCTTCATGAAGATGACATCCCCTTTAGGAACACTCTCAAACATATCCCCGACATGCTCCACACCTACAAAAGGGGTTTTAGACCATCATTATTCATTCGTTATTCCCATCATATACCCCTATTCAAACAAAAAAACAAATCGAATTACTGGGACGAACTAGTTTTGAACCTTTTGTATTAATTTACCTGGATACGACGGAGCATTCTGGACGACGAAAGGCAGATCGAAGTTGATCGCGTTCCTAATCGTCGAGACCCTCGAAACTATGGCACGACTGCTCGAGCCATCGCCGCCACCAACGTCCACAAGTGACTTCACACCTGCAAAGCCTTCTTCGCAGTACCTTTCTAAGAACGCCTCCATGACTATAGGGCTGAATTCTGTGATGGAGCCGGCGAACACTTCCCGGAACCTCGGATTTCCTCTCATGAACTCCATGCCGTCCATTCGATAGGCTCTGTTGAACGGTGTCCCGCCTTCCACCACTGAATCCTTCAAATGCATCCTTCACACACCACCACATGCAACGATTTTTCGATAGTAAGTCGAGTTGTTGGGAGATGTGGTTACAAATAACGATGGCAATGAGATGGAACGGGCAGATTAATACTCATATTCGCGCTTCGCGTCAAGTACATGTTAGGTCAGGTAATACTCACATGAGTATGGGTCGGACAGGTCGATTGGCTCATTTTTATACATAATTTGAAAGAAATTTTTTTATTTATAACGATAAAAACAAAAGGAAAATAGTTCATAAATGGGAAGCAAAGATGATAGGGAGACTAATTGAGTCAAAAGGCGAACTAAATTACCAGGCATCAAGAACGACTTTGTCCTGAATCATGAACAGCAGAGGAGCCAGAGACCCTGTTTTGTTCCCATCCTTGAGGAAATACTTCGCCACGGGCGCCAGGCCGTAGGATCTCTGGAACCCATCACCGTCGCCGCCGCCGCCGCCGTGATCGACGTTTCTAGGCGAAGAAGTGAGGACAGAGTGGGAAGCTAGAAGGTGGAGAATTGGATCAAGCCGCTGGCCGACATCATCAGCAGAAGCAGAGGAGCTGCTATCAGTAGTAGAAGCGGCAAGTTGGGAGGCGATTTGGGCAGGGGAGAGGGAAGCGGCGGGGCCGGCGGAAGTGATGACGTCGAACACGCCGAGCTCGATGGCGGTTTTCATCGCCATGGGGAGAACCGATGCGGTGGCGAGTTGCATCGCGTACAGCTCGGCGTCGTGGTCGTCTTCCATTGGTTGCCGGTTTTCTTGATGGTGGTAATTATATTATTTGCTGCTGATTGTGTTTATAAATCTGGTTTATGAAACGGGTTTTTGATTAAGGTGGCAATCGATACACGTAATGGTTTTTGGACTTTTGACTAGTTTCTGTTGCGTCGACTTTTCCAAGAGAGAACATTATTGGAGGACTTTTAATCAAAGCTTATATTTTTTTTGTGATTTTATCATTAATTAATTAGTTGATAAGCTCTTTATCATTAGACTACAATGAAAGATTTGAGTGAAGACCATTCTACAACAGTACAACTGTTACGTAATTACAAGCTGCATATACTATTTCCAAGGTGTATTTATCTCATACACCCAATTTCACTATAAATTATGATTATTATTATTTTGCGGCATGTACTGTTCACAAGGGATATTATCTCCTAAAACCAATTATTATTTAATGTTTGCATTACATTAAGGTTTTTTAAGGTTAGTTTTTTACACAACGGTTTAATCAAACGTTATATTTTCTTAATGTGATTTATCATTAGATCGTAAAACTCTTTATTATTAGACCACATAGTACAAAATATGTGTGTAAAACAATTATACGACTATTTTTTTTTTTTTTTTTTTGATAATGGTGAACAAATTTTATTAAAACAAATAAAGTTACAGGAGAGAAAAGGGTGGGAGAAAGAAAAGGAAAGAAAGGAAGGAAAGGCTACGGTACAGAAGCTGCAGAGACAGTACAAATACAGGCAGCAAACGAGGGGACTAAACATGGCGCCCAAAACAAAATCCCACCCGCTTAAGAACTAGCCGAACCGATCGTAGCCTGCCGCAACGCTTCTATCCAAGGATCAGCAATGTCCTTATCCACTTTGTTTGCCACAACCAACCATCTCGCAATCAAACTACCAATCTTAAACGCAGTGACATTCTCCGTAGTTGCTCTGTCTTCAAAGATCCTATAATTCCTTTCTCTCCACACACTCCAGCACAGAGCATGCAGAAACGTCCTTGTGCACCAGTCCTTCGGGCAAGCAGGTTTCCTACGTGGCCAAATCTGTATTGCCTGTGATATGTCCAACGGTACCTGCTCCAAGTGCACGAAAGTTTGCATTCTATCCCAGATTTTGCGGGTGAAGCAGCAAGTGATAAAGATGTGATTGGCATCCTCTTCGCTTGATCCGCAGAGAACGCATTTGCTGGGGAAGCTCCATCCCCGCCTCTTCAGGGAGTCGTGCGTAAGAATTTTCTTCTGCTGTACGATCCACAAAAACGTGCAGACTTTAGAGGGAATATGCCCCTGCCAAATTAGCCTGTGAGGAAAATCTTCCCTCAGACTGTACTTCTCCTTCACTAAGCCTTGGTACATGGATCGCACCGAGAAGGTATCAGAAGCTGTTTCTTGTCAAATTATCTTGTCAATTCCTGAAGAAAAGAGAGACAGATCAAGGGTACCAAGTAAATGTAACAAACTCTCCCTCTCCCTCTCTGCCCCACCTCTCAAAGTGAATTTAAGAGGCAAAACCCAAACTAACCTCTCATTTTGCGCAAGTAAGCTTTGTGAGACCTTGGCAAGTGGGGAAACTGCAGCGGCTGCAACTCGCGGAAACACCTCGGCAAGTGGCCTTTCAAGAAGCCAAACATCGTACCAGAAGAGTGTGTCTTCTCCTGATCCAATCTTTACTCTAGCAAATTTCCAGAAATCTGTCTTCTGTTTAATAATCTGTCTCCACGGACTGCAGCCCAACGGTCCTGTCACTTCCCCGCTAGCCCAACTCGTTCCTCCCTCTGCGTACTTAATCTGCAAGACTTCCCTCCACCAAGCATCTTTCTCCTTTGCAAACCGCCACAGCCATTTGCAGATTAAAGCCTTGTTCTGCAGCTCCATGTCTTGAATTCCCAGCCCTCCCCATCTTTTTGGAGTTTTACATTTCTCCCAGGCTACAAGGTGGATCTTCTTTTGCTCATTCAGCCCTTCCCAAATGAAGTTCCTCTGTAGACCTTCAATCCTTTGGACAATGCCCTTAGGTGCTAAGAAAAGCGAACCTCTAAAAAGTGGTTGGCTCGCAAGGCACGCATTACTCAGTACGATTCTGCCGCCAAGGGACAGCAAACCACCTTTCCAGCCACCCATCTTCGATTGCATTCTCGTGATAATTGGGTTCCAAATTCCAGGTGTCGAAGGGCCACAACCAAGAGGCAAACCCAAGTACGTAGTAGGTAGAAAATCCCAACTGCAGCCAAAGACATCTGCCAATCTCCCCGGATCTTCCACTTCACCAACTGGGAACAACTTGCTCTTATCTAGATTAATTTTTAGACCAGAGACACTCTGAAAACAAACCAAAATAGCCAAAATATTTGTAACCTCTTCCACTGTGGAGTTGCAAAAGATAATGGCATCGTCTGCATAAAGAAGATGTGAAACTTCCCCCCTTCTATTTGCTTCGTCCATACAGAACCCATTGACCAGCCCTGCAATCCCGGCCTCTCGTATCATAAACGACAGTAGGTCCATGATGAGATTAAAGAAAAAAGGGGAGAGGGGGTCGCCCTGTTTTAGGCCTCTCTCAGTTTTGAAAAAGCCTGCTGCTTCCCCATTCACCAGCACCGAGAGTCTTGTAGAAGAAACAAGGCCTTTTATCCACCTCTGTACTTTGGAGTTGAAACCCATAGATTGCACCAGTTTGAAAAGACACTCCCAGTTTACAGTATCAAACGCTTTTTCGATATCCAGCTTGAGGATTACTCCCGGTTTCCTACTCCTACTTCTGCTGTCGATAACTTCGTTAGCCAGAAGACTTGCTTCGTGCAACTGCCTTTTCCGCACTCCCGCAAACTGATGCTTCGTAACCGTTTTATTCATGAGCGGTCTCAGCCTTGCTAATAACACTTTTGAGATCACTTTATTTAAGCTGCCCACTAAGCTAATCGGCCTGAAATCTTTGAAATCCTCCACTGCCTCTTTCTTCGGCACTAAACAAAGGAAGGAGTGAGCGATACTATCTGGCAGAATCCCAGTGAGGTGGAATTCATCCAATGCCCTCATTAAGTCCTTCCTGATGACATTCCAACACTTCTTGTAAAACTCCAATGTGAATCCATCCGGCCCCGGGGCCTTATCCCCACCGCATTCTTTTATTGCTTGCCACACCTCTGCTTCAGTAAACGGCAGGCACAGGGAATAATTATCCTCCTCCCCGATCAGACCTGCTCTATATCCAATCGGGAAGGGTCTTTCTTGATTTGGGTCGAGGAAACGCTCTTTGAAGAAGTCACTGGCCGCCCTCTTTAGCTCCTCTTTACCCTCTGTAAGCTGGCCGTTAACTCTGATATTTTGAATTTTATTCCGACGTTGATTCTGTATTGCCATCCTCTGAAAGAAGGACGTGTTCTTGTCCCCGAAAACCAACCAGATTTCCCGAGACTTCTGACGCCAGGCCATCTCCTCCAACAACAAAATCTTCTCCAGTTCGCACTGCAATAACAATCTCTCAATGTGTTTGCCTTCTGGCAGGCTGTCACTTTCTTCTAAACTGTCTATTTCCCTTAATTTCTCAAGAAGCTTTGCAATTTTTACTTCTATTCTGCCAAACTGCTCCATGTTCCAGCCTTTGATCATGAACTTGGTGCTGCGCAACCTCTGACCAAACAAGAATACATAGCCATTTCCCGTTACAGGGATATTCCACCAACCCACAACGCTTGAGGTGAAAGACTCTTCCATTAGCCACAGATTCAGAAACTTCCAAGGTCGCCGCAGCTTCTCCGGAGTACCCCAACAATTATACGACTATTACGTAATTAAAAATATTGTTTTTTACACATCAGTTTAATCAAATTTTATATTTTCTTAGTCTGATCGTATCAGTAGACCATATGCTAGCTCATTATCATTACACCACACTGTACAAAAGATTTGTGTAATAATTTTCTATAACTTTAAAGATTAGATTGCATAGTATAGTACGAAATATTTGTTAAATACTAGTCTAAAACTTTTACATAATTACAAAATATATTATATAAAGCTCCCAAGTTCCCCCTTTGTCTCTTTATTATTTTCATTACACTAATGTAATGTAAGATAACTTATTTATATACCAATATATTCAAATTTGATATTTTTTTTAGCTTGACTTTATTATTAGACCACAAAGTACAAAAAATTTGGGCAACACTATTTTATTAAATCTATGTAATTATAAATACATTACATAAAGCTTCCAAATATTTTATACACTATTTTATAAAGGTTTTGTATGGTCAATGATTTTTTACATAACAATTTAATCAAATATAATATTTTTGTTAACTTGATCTTATTATTAGATCAACAGTACAACAGATATATATATGTATAACGTGACACTATGAAAGTTAGGTAATTGCTAATACATCGTAGGAATACGTATGATCGAAATACATGTAATTAGTCGACCTTGAGTTGAATAGTCGGAAAACTTACAAATTGAAATACGCATGGTCGGTGGGAAACTGTGAATTCCTTGATCTCCTCTAGGTAGTGAAAAACCGTCCATAATTGAAGGGGTTGTGGGTAGGGATGGCAATCAAACCCATGCCCACGGGTATCCGACCGCCCCCGACCCACTCAACGCGGGGAATCCCCACTTTGACTGGGTATGGGGCGGGTATGGGTAAAACCCGCAAAATGTTTGATGGGTATGGGGCGGGTATGGTTTTAGCCTCCCCCGCCCCATACCCATACTCATACCCGCCCCACCAAGAATATTTGTTCACATATAAAAAATACATGGATGAAATAGTAATCTATCAATGATAGTGAAGGTAAATAAAAAAATAATTAGTAGAAATGCAATTGAGTGGTCACCCAACTCTCTCTTCACTCTTTCACTTTTCCCTCGTGTTAGCAAGATTATATTAGTTCATTATTGCTTAGTATATGTATTAGAGTCAGATAAATAATGATTTGGATTACATTGTAGTACTCTATTTTATGGATTTGGGATAAAATGCTTTGAACCATATTAAGAATTATTGTCACTTTCTCGACTTCATGATATAATAGGTGTCTATAATGTTATAATTGAAAATTTACATGTAAAATTTTATGCATTATAATGTTGGATGTACGGGGCGGGTATTACCCATGGGTACCCGAAACCCACGGGTATGGGGATGGGTTTGCAAAATCTTCCCCCGCATGGGTATGGGGCGGGTATGGGTTTGGATATTTGAAAGCGGGGATGGGGATGGTTTAGGCAAACCCGCCCCAAACCCGCCCATTGCCATCCCTAGTTGTGGGAAAATTTAAACAACCGGAGAAGTGGAGTTTCTTATAATGGACCAAGCGGAATTGCCACTAAAGTTCATCGTAATTACAAAATACTCATTTAATGAATAATAACATTCTAAACCAAGATATTTATTTATCAAGGGGTCCTGGGACTGCTGCAACATGCATATTAATCCACATGAATGAATGTGACCAAGATTGCGGAAATTGATGACATGCAGTAAAGTCTAATCAAGGAAGAAAGTATTGTACGTACATTGTGATTGCAGGATAAACAAATTAGCAACTAAGAAACCTCGAAATTATCATTCCTACCAAACAAAGGAAGTTTATTGGATTTCAAAATACTCTAAAACAAACCTACGAAGGAGAAAGGAAAAAAAAAAAAAACAAGAGAACAAATACAGTTCAAATAAACAAAAGCTAAACACAATAAAGATCCAACGTACGCATATTAATTAGCTAGGTTCCAATCCAAACTCCTTTGCCTTCTCCTTAAACTCTTCCATCATCTTCTCAGCCGCCTCCATGAACGCGCCGTGTGCCTTCATGGAGTAGGATCCCGCCGCCGCATTCTCCCTGACCACGGCCGTATACTCCGCCATTGCTTTCATGACACTCACTTTCTTCGCGTGTTCTTCGTCCTCCGACTCGTGCTTCTCTCCTTGTCGGGCCATCTTCTCCACCTCCTCCGCCGACAAAAGCTTCCCTTCGACCCCGACGCCCGGTATGCTCTTGGTCGCCTTCCTGCCGGTCGACTTGTCCACGGCAGAACAGTTCAGGTTGCCCTTGGCGTCGACGTCGACGCAGACCGTGATCCTTGCAACGCCCCTGGGAGCGGGCCGGACGCCCTTCAACACCAGGCTACCGAGAAGCTTGTTTTCACTTGTCTTCTTTCTTTCGCCTTGGTAAAACGACAAGGTTACGGTTTTCTGGTTGTCTCGAACTTCTTGGTTGGGATGGCGGCGTTCTTTGGGATTTGCACCAACATGTCGTCGTAGACACAAGACAACCCGATAGACAGCGGAGTCTTGTCGTAGACGAGATTTTCATCCTTGGTGATTTTCATCATCGCCTGTACGATAGTAAATCGTCATACAACGATGAGAATTCAACGATCGAGAGAGGGTATAAGGCGCGTATTAAAGAGGTTGTACATGGTGTAAACTGAGCTACTTCGATCCTGATTGACGAGAATTGACGCTTTCACGAGACTAAGGGGGAAATATATGAGCAAACTAGTTTAAAAAAAAAGGAATGGTGAAATAATATTATTCAACACACGAACCTGGTTGTTCTGTTTGAGTGATTCCTCATCGTCGCCATGCGCTTTCGCGTAGCCAGCTGCTTCTGCTTTGCTGCTGTTAGCCCCCATCTCTCTCTCTCTCTCTCTCTCTCTCTCTCTCTCTCTCTCTCTCTCTCTCTCTCTCTCTCTCTCTGCACTAACAAATCTGCGGCTATATATAATATACCAGATTAGGGTTTCCTAAGCTACGAGCTTTCAGAGATATCGCAGATTGAGTTGTTGTAACAGACTCTCAGAAACACAATGTGATTCAAAATAATATTTTTTTTATTATAAAAATCTAGTTACTTTTTACCAAATGATGGTGGTTTAATTGACTTTGATGTTTGACTCTTCTTCATATTTCATGGGTTATAATCAATTGTATTATAATACGATTGTCCCAATTCAAATTCGATGGCTAAATGATGTGAGATCAGTTCATCCCGAGAATTGAAGCAGTTAGCTATAGCCTATAGGGGTCTAGGGAGTGGATACGGTGACTAACGGATCATTGACCATGCATAACATTTTCTCCAATTAATTTAACGGGATATATTTATTTAATTTAAAGTTGGAATTAAAATTTTAATTGCATTGAGAAATCAGATTAATTGCTCCTTTTAAAATGATTTCTACTTCGATAATATTTTGGAACGAAAAATTGAGGCATATATAACAAGGCTAAACCATGGTGCTAATACTTTGACTGTACATAAAATTATACGATGGTGTTACGAATATACCATATTGTATACATGATAGTAATAATATACTGACCACCATCTACTATATTACAGACTTTCACCACCATCTATCACTATTTGCCACCCCTATAATACTCATATCTAATGTTCTTTATTTGTCCCTTGCCTTGATATCTAACCATCGAATAATATTATACTACCATCTCATCTTTTTTCTTCTTCTCTATTTGATGCATCTATACATACGACAGGTTTAATAACCATATTTATTAATAAATTAAATTGATAATTAGACGATTACAATATGTTTTTATTTTCATGGGTTGTTGGGTTTGAGAATAATTAGTTTAGTTTTCTACTTGGTGAAGTAAAGAACAAATAATAAGAAAATAGTAAATGGGTTATTAAGGCAAAATGATTAAAGAGACAAAAAAAAAAAAAACATGAATGATACAATCTACCGTGCAAAAAGTTTGAACAAACATCGTTTCGAAAAAGGATTGGTGAACGGTTCACAATATTGCTAGTGACAAAAGTACAACAACAAGACTCCATCTATTGTCCGCATAACAATTCATCACTCAATTTAAATGAATCCATTTCAACAATCCCTTATTGAACTATCATTATCCAAAAAAAAAAAAAAACAATCCCTTGGGTGATGAACTAACAACCACTAAAGAAAATTTTCAGCTACGCAGGTGCATCACACAGTTTGAGGAACTCGATGACGGAGAAGTTGTACGCACTACAGGCGACTCGAACACGAGCAAATCCAGCTTGCTCAGCCAAGCTCTCCAGCTCTCTGAGAGTCCTCTCCTTGCCATGAGGTTTCACCCCATTTCTATAGAGGTTGAACTGTAGCAAGGCTTTTGCAGCAACATTAGTTTCAGAGGTCTCTGGGATGACAACATCCACAATCACCACTTTGCCCTTCTCTGGTGTAGATTGGTGGCAGTTCTTGAGTAGTTTCAGGCACTGCTCATCATCCACCATGTGCACAACCCACTGAATTGAACCAAATCACCACAAATTTTGGCAGATGGGTTTATTAGTGCATAGCAAATAGTACCATATATTGATTTGCCCGTTAGATGTATTTCGCTGCTACATTTCGACGAATCAGATTCATCAATTACTACCTTTTTTTTTTTATCAAATTGGTTGTCGGATTTGGGTTTGAATATACCATAGCTATTGTTACTTGTTGGATATAGGAATTGTTAAAGACACTAACTCGGTTTTACCTTGATGAAGACGGCATCTCCTTGTGGGACACTTTCAAACATGTCCCCTGCCACATGCTCCACACCTGCAATAACATATCACACAACCAAATATCAAATGCACCATCTCATCAGAACACATGGAAATGTGATCTGGGGTTTTTTCTAGAATTCACCTGGAAATGATGGAGACTTCTGGATGACGGTAGGCAGATCGAAGTTGATAGCCTTGACGATCGTCGGGACCCTGGAGACTATCCGATGCATGGTCGATCCATCACCACCACCAACATCCACCAGTGACTTCACACCTGCAAAACCTTGCTGCTCTTCACAGTACCTGTCCACCACCGCCTCCGCGACAAGAGGGCTGAGCTCTGAATTGGAGGAGGCAAACACATCCTTGAACCTTGGATCCTTGTTCATGTACTCCATGCCGTTCATTCCATGAGCCTTGTAGAACGGTGTCCCGCCACCTTCCATCACCCAATCCTTCAAGTGCACCCTTTCACCACTCATAAAAGTCAGAATTACCAGAATATATTGTCACGAGGAAGATTCTAGAGCATTCTAGCGAGACTTGAGTGCTAAGTGCCGCACGGCCAAGAGTTGGTCCGTGACAATATCTAATGAGAGATCCTATAGCATGTCCTTAGTGCTGATAGCATGTACTGGAATTAATATCAATACCAATCTCAATAGGATAGTTCCAACAATTGGACATTTGGGAAGTGTGGATTGCACGAAAGGGCAAGGCCATTAACAAGGGGCAAGGAAGGTGTAAAAGGTCCTTGTAGAAGGGTACCGATCTTTGTTGTTACTTGTCAAGAACCAGTTAGCTCTCAATAATTCGAGTTGTTGGGAGAGGTTCAATCGTGGATCATATTCCACAACACTTACACGCCCCCTCAAACGAAAACCACTCACAAGGGCTTGAAGTTTGCACAGGTCTGAAGACAAGAATACCATGTGCTTAACAAATGGGGGTCACCTGGGAATCGAACACAAGACTTCTCGGTCACATAAGGCTCCGATACCATGTCAAGACCCAGTTGCTCTCAATAACTCGAATTGTTATGAGAGGTGCAATCGTTGGATCATATACCACAACACTAACATTACTATGGGATCCTAAAGTACAGGGGAATCTTAAGCGTTGGTGTCAATTAGGCGCGGTCCTGTGAACTTTTGTTGCTCTCCATGACGCTTTTCGGATCAATGTGTTTGATGTTACCGTCAATATGAGCTTGCTCGCTTTGGACATTTTCGTCCTTAATATTGCAATCGCATTCTCCGATCCGATTGCTGTTTCTGTTTAATTTACCCAATAGGTGGAATTTTGTACTAGTTATAGAAATAGAACATACAAGAAGGGAGCCAGAGACCCTCTTCTCTTGGTTAGAACCTTACCAGGAATCGAGAATGACTCTGTCCTGGACCAAGGACACGAAGGGAGCCAGAGACCCTCTTCTCTTGCCTTCACTGCTAGCTTTCCCATGATCCTTGAGGAAGAATTTCGCCACGGGAGCCAGGCCGTACGATCTGGGGAACCCATCACCGCTGGTTTCAGTAGGACAAGAAGTGAGGACAGAGTGGGAAGCTAGGAGGTGGAGGATTGGATCAAGCCTCTGGCCGACATCAGCAGCAGAGGCAGAGGAGTTGCTATCAGTAGTAGAAAAGGCAAGTTGGGAGGCGATTTGGGCAGGGGAGAGGGAAGCGGCGGGGCCGGCGGAGCTGATGATGTCGAACACGCCGAGATCGATGGCGGCTTTCAGCGCCATGGGTAAGACCGAAGCGGTGGCGAGCTGCATCGCGTAGAGCTCGTCGTTGTGGTCATCTTCCACCATAGGAGGAGCAGCACTGGAGGCAGAGGTGGCCATTTTTTGTTTGTTTGTTCTGTGATCTGATTGTGAGAGTTGTTTGGTTGCTGTATGTTGATGATTATAACTGGTTCGATTCAGTTGACAATTGCTACACGTACTGGTTTTTGACTAGTTTGTGAAGCAGCTGGCTGTTCTTCTCTGTTGCAAAAACAGAGTAGAATATTCAAGGACGGTGGAAAAATTATATAAAAAAATATATTGGGGAAGTTGAAAAATTCCATTGCCGGGAATCGAACCCGGGTCTCCTGGGTGAAAGCCAGATATCCTAACCGCTGGACGACAATGGAGGTTATTGATTATGTTAACAATATTAATAATATACTATACATATATTTTTTTCTGTAGGATAATTTCAAGATTATATTATTATGATTCATTAATGTTGCTGATGATGTGTATAGATTAAAAAAACTAATAGGTGACATAGCTAGATATTTTCAAAATATATTCATCTCCAAACTATCGATTATATCACTAAGTATATCTTACCACAAGATCCGTATGACTTCATCACTCATTGAGTTTCAGAATTTGTTATTATAATAATCACATAGTTCATAATGGAAAATGCACATTTGACATTTAGAATAGCGACTGATAGCAACAACACAAAATCTCACAAGTCTACACTCACACTTGACAAAATTATTGTGAACGGCTATTTGCCGCCAACAAAATTACTAATTGCCGCCAACTTTTTTTTTACAAAAAATCAAAAAATAAAAAACAACATGTAACTATCACCCGTCGACCACCGCAGGCATCATCGCCGGCAACTGTCACTCGCCGCTGACCACTTCAGAAAGATACTGGCCTTTTCCCATCGTTTTCCCCTAATTTTCCGGCATGTTTCCGATTTCCCGGCAAGTTTTAGACCGAACCAAAAGTTCCCGGCGGCCACACCTGGCGCGAGCCGAAGGATTCGGTCGGCCTGTCCTCCTGCCGGCCGGAAGTTTCCTTCGGCCCGTGCCAGGTGCTGCCGCCGGGAAATTTGATTTCGGCCAGCACGAGGCCAAGCCTGCCAATTTCTTCGGAACGGGAGTTTCGGCCACCACCAGGTGACGCCGCCTAGAAAACCCAAAATGGCCGGTACGTGGTTCAGCCGGGAGATTCCGCCGGCATGTCCTGGTCTCCGCCGTGTTATTCTTTCGGTCCTGCCTGGACAATGCCGAAATTTCCCTTCGGCTTGGACATTTCTCCGCGAGTCATCGGTCAGATTCCGGTCTCCATTGGACTCCCCAATATAATTCTTTCCTTCTTCTTCTTCTTGGTTCAGTAGTCCAATATCCAGTTCCCCGATCGCCGGAGCTCATTCGATTGGAGGACGTTCGCCGGACAAGCATGTCGTGTTGTGCTTGTGAATCAGGATTAATAGTAATAACAAATTAACAACTAAGTACTAACCAAATAAACGTGCATTGCCATGCACGTAAGAGAAATGTATCACAAACACAAATTATATTTATTGTTTAATTATGAAATTAATTATATTTAGTATTTAATTGAAAAATAACTATGTTAATAATGATAATTATTCAATGTTCTTATCAATTATATAATTTAAAACTAATTTATTTCACATATGTTTAATTATGATGATTAGTGTGCTCATTAATTGCATGTACAATGGTATTTTTGCGATTTCCCGAGCTACTCACATGAGAAATGGTCAAAATCTTCATTAGTCACTCGAAATGTGACCCCAAACGTGTTGGAATTGACCGTTACTCGATTTGAAGTCCCGGGTGAAGAAAGCATGAGTAGTATCAAATCTTTGATCGAGGTTTCGGGAGGCTCCAGAGATCGAAACATAAAATTTCTTGGGACTAGCATGAGTATTTCAATGATGCAAACAATTGTTGTTTGTGGAAGTTTGAACGATTTGGTCTCTAAGATGACGTCGTAAGAGGATCGGATGGATCGAGGTAGAACGTTGGTGGTTGAGGAAAAGGGTTTAGGGTTTGGGTCGGGAAATAGATGCATGTTCATCTTCTTGTTGTTGAATTTGTTACTACCGGTCGAGTTGGTTCTTCTTCCTGTAGAATTTTCCTATTCGTCAATTAAACAAAATTTACTTCTAAATTTAAACAATAAACATAATCATTTCTAAATTTAAACATTATACATAATTTATTTCTAAATGTAAATGATAAACCTTATCTATTTCTAAATTAAACTATTAATAATCACAATGTAAGAATTACAGTTATTAAGCATAATTTATTTATAAATTTAAACACTAAATCCCTAAATTTAAACGCTAAACATAATCCATTTTCAAAATTAAGCTCCAAACAAAATTCAATTCTTAGTTTAGACACTAAGAAAAAAAAAATCATTTCTTGGTTTAGACACTAAACACAATTCATTTGTGAAAGTGAATTTTAAATAAAAATAAAATTTTAAAAGTTGGCGGCAAATAGTAAAAAAGTTGGCGGCAAATAGCATGCCTCAAATTATTTCCCTAAAAAGCTCATCACCTATTTTAATCCAGTGAACCTCTCATCTGTTTTACACTTCAATGACTACGTACAATAGTGTTACAGATTATATACTTCGTCTTTCATATCTCACTTTCAACTCACTGTAATCCGAAGAATTTCAAGCAAGATTTACAACAGACACAAAAACTTATCAGAGTGGGAGACAAAAAGGAATACATATTTTTTCAGGAAACAAAGACAAGAGAAGAAGCAACGAGGGAGAATTTACTTTGACTCAATTTACTCATTCACAGATTTTTCACACCCTTTCAGCTTTCCCCTCCCCAAGGATCAACCTGGTCAGCCAACTGGGATCATCCGCAAAGGGCTTACACGACATCGGCAGTATCCCAAGGTCGCGACCGATTTCATTGTAATCGTTCAGAGCTGCTTCCATCTCGGCTTCAACCGAAGCATTGTCCACTACATCGATGGCGTTCATGCGTAGAACGTCAGCGTAATGCTGCTCCAGTTCTGGATCGTGGTGGAAGAGATCCCTCGCAGGGCCCTGTATCCGATGAATCCAAACACTTTAAAAGCTAAAAGGAGATACGTCCAAAGCACAAGGAATCAAAGTACAGTTAGGGTGTACATGGCCTTCCTATTAGTAGTTCAGGTGGGTTGGTTTACTAATATGGAGAATTTGGGCGGAGATGAACGACGTGATTGTTATGTTTGTTATTTGAAATTCCAACGATAAACTAGAAATCAAAGTACAGTTACCAAACTGGGAGTTTTCCTGAATATATTACCTGACATAATTCAGCATAATGTTTATATATCTCACTGTTTTCGTCTTGATCAGCCAGCAGTGAGCCACCGTACCACCCCGTGGCTTCATCAACAGAGGTCATTTCGAGGTATCTGTATAGACGAGTAGATGGTAGATTTCAACATTCTGCATAATGTGGGCGATGACGGAAAAATGCTCGTTCAAATAATGTTTACCTTTGGAAGACATCTTGTTCATTCGCATCACTGGAAGAGGACAGCCAATTTATATCACATAGAGTGCCAATGCCACCGTCTTCATCGCCTTCATTTTCGGTTTCTAGCTCGGCTTCCTTGGCAGTCGTCCCTTCATATTTCCTCTGGCCGAAGAGCCAATTTGGACTTTTAAGCTGGATTTCACTGCACAAATGGGGTCAGAACGTGTGTTATATCATAGGTGAGTAACGGCTTAACCGAACCAGAAACATATAACCTATTAAGGAATCAATAACTGAAACCAGATACTTAAAACCGAAACCGTTTGTATTATATGGTCACCAGGTAACTGTTAACCCCGGCCCATAGGGAAAATTTTATGTTAGGGATCCTTACGCTGCATCAGGGGCAACGCCTGAGGTTCCAGAGCCATAGCCTCCTGGTCGTTGATCAGGTTCACTCGACAATCTAACTTCTCTTATCGAACTGCATGTCCTCTCGATTAACCTATCGAATGATGTCAACTTCATTCGGGAAAAGTCTTCCTTGCAAGCAGGAATAGGAGCAAGGTTCAATCCTACTCCAGGTCCCAGATTAATTGTTCCAATGCTGCAAATGCAGTTGGTACAATTTAGTCAAGTGGGAAAATTATGAAAACTGAAGATCCGGAACTGCAAAGTTTTGTCTCTCTGCTAACCCATTCTCCACAGGGTCATCTCCAACGGCTGCAATGTGAAGATAGTAGTCGGTATCTAACTCCCAGAGAGCCGGTCTCCCTTCTTGTGGCCGGAAGTAACCAAGGAACCTGGTGAAATAGAATAGGAACCATTGAAAGAACTTTACTAGATGTTATAGTATAGTTTCGAAATGCAGAGGAAAGCACACATACAAGTTTATCGCATCCTGCTTTTCACCATCAGTATAAGCATTGCTGTAATATCTCTTGATTGATTTAATAAACTCTCTAGATTGAGTTGTAGCTTTCCACTTCCCTTGCCTCTCGGGGAAAACCTGAAATATACAATGACAGAGTTGAAGGACGAGAAAAGAATCACAATCAATCAACAAGTAAAAAATATCAGACTTAAGAATAGATACAGTGTTGTGCGCAGCTGAGCCACCATATTGCTGTGCAAGAGCGTCTCCCATACTCTGATACATATCCATGAGAGCTGCGGCAATGGAACTATTAGCATCCACTTTGGGCACATCCGTGAGATTCATCGCGTGAAGTTGTCGTCCTAATGCTGCTAAACCATAAGCATATTGGGCAACGTTGGTGCGGTCCAAGCAGTCGATGCAGTTAGTACGAAGAACTCCACTTTGGAAACGTGGTCCTTCCAAGTTGGGATTGCCTTGGTTGCTATGAAGAGGAGGAGCGGGATCTCTATCTCGATTAAGGATGGAGTTCAAGATCTCATTACTGCTTGCGACCCGTACAAGGTCACCAGAGCTAGTTCTGAGATCTCTAAGTGAAGCATCCCTGTAAAAGAATTGAGGACAAGGGGAAGATGAAAAATGTCTCGTTCCTCTTGAAATAAGTCTCACACAACTTTTGTATAATATGAAGCCTGTCACTCTATTAAT